GTCTATTTCTCTGGGGTTGGAGTCTCTGACGCTGTCCCAGAAGAAAATGGTCGCGGAGGTGTGCCGCGAAGCTATGGCAAATTTGCTTTTTTTGAATTCTTAGTGCAAAAAATTTGAGACTTTAGCAAAACAGTGACGGCGTTGCTATGGCCTAATGCTGACCTGAGACGTTGCGATCATCTCGCCTCGGGAAGGCGCAAAACCTCCCTCGCCTCGGGAAGGCGTTAAACTCGTACCGCTTCGGGAAGGCGTTAAAACCGTCCTGCCTCGGGAAGGCGTAAAATCCGTCTGGTCTCAGGGAGGCGCAAGACTTGAGAAAGCGCAAAACTCGTCCCGCCTCGGGAAGGCGCAAAACTCGCCCCGCCTTGGGTAGGCGTAAAACTCATCCCGCCGTAGGATCGATGGCGAAAAAATCGGCCCGTCTTTAGGGGAAGACGTTAAAAATTCCCTCGCCTCGCGATGGCGTTAAAAGCGTGCCGCCCCGAGAAGGCGTTAAAAGCGCTCCGCCCCGAGATGGCGGAAAAATCGTTCCGCCTTGCGCATGGCGATACGTGCGCCCCTCTGCGCCTATTTCTCTGGGGTTGGTGTCTCTGATGCCATCGCCCCAGAGGAAAATGGTCGCGGAGGTGTGCCGCGAAGCTATGGCAAATATGCTTTTTTTGAATTCTTAGGGCAATAATGTTGAGACTTTAGCAAAACGGTGGCGGCTTCTTTATGACATAGTGACCCGAGACATGGTGATAGTCTCGTCTCGGGAAGGCGTAGAACCCGCCTCGCCTCGGGAAGGCGTTAAACTCGTACCACCTCGGGAAGGCGTTAAAACCGTCCTGCCTTGGGAAGGCGTAAAATTCGTCCCGCCTCGGGAAGGTGTAAGAGAAATTTTGGACTCCTTGTCTTGGGTTCCTTGTCTGGGATTCCTTGTCTTGGATTCCCTGTCTTGGATTCTTTGTTTTGGCTTCCTTGTTTTGGCTTGGCTGTTTCAAATTCCTTATCTTTAAACTCTTTGTTTCGGTTTGGCTGTTTCAAATTCCTTGCTTCGGGTAAGGCTTTGGATTCCTTGTTTTGGATTCCTTGTTTTGGATTCCTTGTCTTGGCGTCCTTGTTTTGGATTCCCTGTTTTGGATTCCTTGTTTTGGATTCCTTATTTTGGATTCCTTGTTTTGGGTTGGCTGTTTCAAATTCCTTATTTTCAAGTGCCTTGTTTTGGATTGGCTTTTTTAAATTCTTTGTTTCGGGTTGGGTCCAAAAGTGGTCGCGTCTCGGTTATTATTATAGTATACCTCGGAGGCGAGCAGCGGGTGCTTGTGGGCCTCGTTGTGCAGGATCGACAACCTAACCTAGCCATACCTTGACGCTGCCTACCAGTAGGGACTAGGACTACGAGGACTAGTACCACTACTTCGACTTCTTTACTCCCGGTTGCATACTTTTTAAGTCTACTACTGTTCGTATCGGTAGGGTCGTTGGGGGAAAAGTCTTCCTACTGTTCTGAATATCTTCTAATGTTTTTCACCTTGTCGAGTACAGCTTCACAACCAGCACGAAGTGTCTCACAAACTCGCAACTGGACAAGAAGACATGTGGCCGGAATGATAATGCCGACAACAACCAACAGAAGGCCACATCTGACGAAGATTATGACCAGCTTTTTACGATCTTTGTTCCCAACATGATTGTGGTGTGTCGCTCTTTCTTCATAAAGTAGATGAAGAAGAGCCTGCAGCTGCGCCACTGCGAATGGCGCGCTCATAGGAGGCTACAGGTTTACCCTGTGGAAGGTGCTGGGCTCACGTCAATTCCTATTTTTCTATCCTAATTTAGTGAGAGGCAGGTACTTCAACCGAGATGGAGCAGAACACGAATTCTTCTTGCTCGCTATTTTAGTCACCGGCTCTAAGGGATGACCACTGATGTGCTATCTTAGACAGTGACAACTGGAGGATCGCCAGTGTTTGGTGATTTGAAGAGGCTGGAGCTTAGATCCACTTCCTCTGAGGAGATCATCATCATTCTACTTTATCTGGCTCACCTAGCAGTACTTTTGAAGCAGATTGTACAACTTCGTCTTCTCGTCACCAAGAACACGATTTTTACGATATGAATTAAAACCATTTTTCTTCTATCACTCTCTAAGAAATATACGAAAAGTCTGACTTTTTCCAGGTGGCTGCAGAGCTTGACTCCCGAAGAAACCTCCAGAACCCAGAAGCCGCGCCTGATCCTCCTCGCATCCTGGTTCCCCAAGCGGCGATCAAAGTGAACCCATCTACACTTCTCTTGTTAAGGAAAGTCGTTAGTAGAGGAACGAGGGTCCTTTATTACCTTTAGACGCCCTCTTCCTTTTTCGTGTTTCTTTCTCTCTTAGCTGGGGCTTTCTCTCTTAGTTAGCAGAAGAGAGCTCGGAGCAAGCACCTGGGGCTACACCATAAACATACTCATATTAGATATATTAATTTTATTAATTCATTACCGGAGATACATAGTCGTGTTAGTGCCTCTAAGGTTTAGTATTTGTTGTATCTGTATATGAATGTATGGAGAAAAGACATAGACATACAAAGCAAACACTTCTGGGATAGGTACAGTCATCAGCATCATACTTGCGGCACTAAGGCGCGATGTGTGTAGAGACGTCTTTGCGCCTGAGAATCGTATCGGGCTCAACGGGTTTTTCCGAGCTCATCCCCGTGACTTTGGCAGAAGCCCAGATAATAAGGCTGGGGCATCACTATCCCGCGTGGACTACGGTGAGTGGATTTCCATAAGTGAACAGGCCAAAGCCTAGACCACTGAACCAACCGCACAGTTGGGACAGTGGCTTAGGCGTTGGCCTGTTCACTTATCGGATTCCTTTCAGAAGCCCAGGAGATTACAAGGTGGAAAGAAGAGGGAATCCACTCAACCAGGGATAGTTGCAGACTACCTCTAAAGACGAGTGGATTACGTGGGATGCGATTGACCGATGTGGAGGCCCCTTACTTAAGACGCCTTACAGTGTTAAACTCCCATGTTCTTGATAATATTGATATACTGTTTATGTTAGTGAATGTTGAGTATGAGTCAGATAAACAGCTACTACTGCTTACTTTACTAGAAATATACACTGCTTACTATACTTACTCCTAGGCGAGGAAAAGTTAGACCCTAATCAAATTCAAAAATATACGAAGTCGACATGAATTGCGAAAATTTCTTCAGTCACAGGGGACGGAAATAAACTCCTACTTATAAGGGAAAAGTGGGTCAAGGCTTCTTGAGACAGGGGATACGAAAACTCAAGGAACAGGTAATAGCTTAGCTTAGCGCTTAGCCAGCTCTAGGATGGAATAGGTGTAACAACTGGGAAAAGCAGAACTCAGTGCCTCCTCTTACTCTGATGCCAGTAGTTAACATTTAGATATTGAGCATCTAACTGGGAGCAGCTCGTGGCTGAAATATAACTAACATAAAAGTAAAGATTATACTTGATAGTTTCGCATTCCATTTTCTTGCTTTCTTCGTGAGGTACAGCAAGGCTGAAAGGCCCACTTCCCTCCTGGCTTTAGTAGTTGTAGACTTTACTGGTCGGCTTTCCGGTTCCTCGTCTTGCAATTAAATGCTTCAGGCGTGTAGACAGTAGGACAACAAAAAAATGACCAGGAACAGAGGCGGCATGACCTGACAAAAGTACGACTTTTTTAATGGTCTCTTCCGTTCGGATGAACGATCTTGACCTTCAGTAAGAAGTCATAATGAGTTTAATTCTTACGCAGTTATTTCAATTTTGTTGCATTTGCAAAATAGATTTTCCTTCTCCCAGCGCTCTAATTCAAGCCTAGAAGACCAGGATAGAGGTGGCCGCATGACTGTGGGCGGCGAAGCGCCGGCTGTCCTTGTTATCTTAAGGCCCAACCTTCATTGATCACTGAGACTGGTCAGCACTGACACCGGAGAGGAGACCCCGCGAGAGAGCAGGGGAAAACAGCAGAAAAGCAGGCGCCTGGTCTCTCATTGTAGGGGCCTTGTCCGCCCTTGCTCCCTCAGCATCAGGGGCCAGCGATCCTGCCCGGCCACCTCTAATGATCCCGCAGCCTTTTGGCGTCATTCGCTACACGTACACGAAGAAGGGTAGCTTTAGTTTTAACTACCTCTATTGGCCTCTCACCACAGAGTCGTGGGAGCCGGGATGCTTTTATGTGCTTATCCAAAAAGTGGCTCATTTTCCTTCTCTTCCTTTTCGCACTCTACTTGTGACGCCGGTTTCTCAACAGGTCTGAGGATAAGCATTGGACAACTAGCACACCTTGATACTACTTACTTACTAGTAACTTAGAACTGTCACCGCTACCACTAGCAGCTTAAGCTTCTTGTTCTTTAGCGCATTAAGTATAAGTGCCTCTAATCCCTTATGACCGAGATAAAAGAAAATGTCCCTAACTTGATTAGTATATTAAGAAGTGCTTTATAATTGGGCATCTGTTCCATCCTTCGAACTCTCCCTCCGGCTCATTCCCTGTAACTTTGTAGATCTTGCCCTACCCCTAGAGCCTGGCACAATGATATAGTGAAAAATGAAACTAGAAGTATATGAAACTGCTCGAGGCGAAGGAGTGAACGGCCTAGAAGAATGAGTATGAACCCGGAAACTGATGGATATGAAAGATAGAAAATAATGAACCTAGAGAAGAACAATTCCTAGCTCATATGGAATAGAGGAAGAGCGAACTTATACAAGGACTGTGAACCTAGACCAGCATTATGAACCTAGACCAGGATAATGAACCTAGACAAGGATTATGAACCTAGACAAGGACTATGAACCTAGACAAGGATTATGAGCCTAGGAGAATGAACCTGCCTAGAAGGATGAACCTACCTAGGAGGAGTAATGATCTCCTCGACATCCTAGTGAGACTGAAAAGTAAGCCATCCTAGAAAAGAATGAGAGAGCGCCTCTTCAGTCTCCACCTCGTCTCTTCATAGTTTCACAGCCCCCTCCACTACGACGGGCACCGCCCAATGTCCGCTCAAAGAGGGGAAATATAAACTGGTGGCACCAGAAGTAGCCAAGCCCCCGTCCGCGTCTTCGTCGTTTCTAGACACCAGCTTCTACAACTCTATGAAAGGAAAAAGTGCACTGCACTCAGACATACTCAAAAAAGTAGCTACAACTTTCTTACTGCTGCCTAAGTCTTTGCCTTTCCTACTGTTACCTAAGTCTTCTCGAGTGTGAGTGCGCTTTTTCCTTTCATAAACTCCCGAGAAGCTACAACGACGACGTGGCCGAGTGACGACCATCTTATGGATGCTTATTAGATAGATGAAGAGGATGATGTCGATAAGAGTGGCTAGGTACAACTAGAACACGAGGACCTTTATGATGTACCTACTCTTGTTTTGTATCTGCCGAGTTTCAGGGTGGTTGATCACTATCCCACGTGGACTAAGAGTAACTATGCTGAGTCGAGTCTTTGTTGATTTAAAAGGGGAAGCTAAGGGCAACCCACTCGAGTCGAAGGCTACCGCTAACGAGTAGAAGACCCGAATCACCATTGTCGTCTAGCGAGAGAGAGAGACCTACCTAGTTCTTGTGGCTATTTTCGTGCCCTATGAATGTGAATCCGAATCGATATTATTGAACTGAAGACCTGTCTCATTTTCAAATACCCTTTCCAGAAATTTTGAGTACTACTTAGTAGCCAGTTAAGTTAGGTTCAATAGCTAGGCTGGCTAGCTAGCTTGTTTAAAGGTGGCCAGGCTGGTGGCAAGGGGACAGCAGCAGACACAGCTTCGAGCTCTGGGCTTGGGCTGATAGGATCTCTCCACCCATGTCTTAGCCAGGGCCCCAGTCCCTGAGCTTGAGCAAGTCGCCTGATGTTGTCGCTCGCGGAGGTCTGCGGCGCCAGGTGGTGCCGCAGACAAGTTGGAGCGAGAACACCTGAGGACCTGCCCTCCACATTCAAGGTCTCGCCCACCCTTTGAGGCAAGTGCGCTATCAGTCTCTACACACTGAGGTAAGCACTACGGGCGTCGCGCTGCGCGCGCCGCTGGGGGACTATTTTTGGAGGGAAAGAAGGAGGCAAGGGGAGCCGAGGAACGAACGAGCGAAGGGAAGAGAAGACGAGAGCGGAGAACGAGACGAGGGAAGAGGCGCGGGAAGTGCCGGAGGGAGCGGCGGTGGCGGGAGGCCGAACAGCGGAGAGCAAAGGGGCGCTGGCTGGAGCAGAACCCAAGGCGAAACACAGCGGCGGGGTGCAGCCAGCCAGCCAGCCTGGCCCTGAGCGCCACGAAGCAGACCTGGGCGGCCCGTTTGGTTGCGCGAAGGGCACAGAGAGGGGCAGGGCGCCGCGCCGCGATAGCGCTGCCACTTAGCGCACCCTGCGGGATAGAGCGGCGACGCATTTGGGACTGGGGTAGAGACGCGCCCGCCGCTGAACCCTCCGCGGGACACTCTGCGGAACACGCTGCGGGACAGCTGTGGAACAGCTAGGGGCCCAATAGGGACCCTCCGGGAGGCTTCCTCGGCCCTTAGCGCGGCGTCGGCTCCTCCGCCAGAAATAGAAGCATGCCGGAGTTAATTAGCGAATATAAAACACATATGCTTCAGGGTTCAGGGTAGCGCCCCCCCCAAGCGCGGGAGGGCCGTGGATTCCCGGACCCCTTTTGGAGGCGTCTGCTGGGAATGGAAGGCTTCCAAAGGGGTCCCAGGAGCCTCCTCCGCTCCCTTGCAGCTGCCTGCGTGCAGGAGGAAAGAAGAACACCGAGGGCAGTGGCATCAGGGTAACCGACCGTGATGGGAAACACAAAGGAACCGCCAGGACGGACAACGAGATCGCTGACGCTTTCCGCGAGAGAATAGAGGAGCCCTGGAGCATCGCCGAAGAAGGGGATAAGGATACCGACGAAAAACGGAACAAGACCAAGGAAGAAGCTGAGCCGGGAAAGTGGTCGGCCAATAAGCTTCGGAATGCGCTAAAAGTAGTGGGCGCCAGTGAATGGGCTACCATGGCAGGCCTTTAGGGAGGCAATCGAACAAGCCAAGTTCGCGAAGCGGCTGGGCCGGGCGGAATCATCGGGGAGGCCTTCAAGCTGGGCCCCGTGAACTGGGCGAAGGTTCTGAAGAAGATAGACGAAGCGAGCGGGGCTGAGGAGTTGCAAGCAGGATGGGTAGCATGGCTGTACAAAGGGAAGGGAAGCAAAGCGGAGAGAACAAACTACAGGCCAGGCGCCGCCCTGCAGGTTGCGCGCAAGATAATACGCAACGCGCACAAGCGCCAGCGCGAAGGAATCACAAGGGACACCATGGGGAGGGCCCGGCAGTATGGTTCCCAGGCCCGAATGGGATGCAGGGACTACCTCCGCGACGTCAAGGAACTAATAGAGGCAGGCGAGACGTCAGGCCTTGCCCTTGCGCTGTGCGATCTAAGTAAAGCCTTCGACCGGGCGAGAAGGGGCAAGCTCTGGAGGATCATGCTGGAGGTAGGTGTCCCAGCAGGATACGTCGAGAAGGTGAGGAACTTACACAGAAAGGCACGAATGGCGTCGCAGTGGGGAAAGCACCGAGCAGAAGAGACAGCAATCGGCCTCGGAGTGTATCAGGGGAGGGGTCGCCAGTATCCCCCTGCCTCTTCATCATCTACACGCTTGCGATGAGTGAGAAATCGAGCGAAGACTAGAGGGGGAAGGACTGAGGGGAGTAGAAGTGACCAAGCCAGCGAACGCGACTGAGGAACCGCGAAAAGGCTGGCAGAACAGCCAGCGCAAATGGAAGCCAAGGGTGAAGAAATGGGGCAGCCCGGCCCCTGAAGAGAGACAGCCGCGCAGAGGGGTGGTCTTGGAGCATCCAAGCGCGTGAGGGGCTGACAGAGACACAGACAGGGCCTGCAGCCTCACCATATACGCTGACGACGCAAGCATATGGGGGCACATGGTGGAGAGGACAGTCCGGGTGGTGGAGATATTCGAGGAAGTAGGACAGGACTACAGAACGATAGTGAACAAATCAAAAACGGAGACTCTCACGGGGGAGAAACTGACCCACCAGGAGAGGACGGACTCAAATAAGTGAGAGACTAGGAAGCAGCGACTTCGAGGCAAAAGGGACAGACCTGATTAAAAGAACTGGGCGTCTAGTTGGGGACACCATAAACATCTACGGCGCCACACCGCCGGAGGTGGCTGACCGGCTGAACAAGGCCAAAAAGGTCGCGAGGATGGTCAGCCCGCTCCTAAGAGATGAGGACATCGACCAAGCAACATGACAGGAAGACGCTAGGCGAAGCCCTGGCGGACGCCGTCGCACTCTACGGGCTCGACACGTCCAAACTGTCAGCCCATGACATGGAGCAGATGCAGCTGCAATTCCTGACCAAGCTGGTCCGGGTCGTGGCGGACCCGAAGGAAGAGAAGAGACTCGGAGAGACTTGGGGAAGGAAGGGGGCGGCCTTACCGCTCACGGATATGACAAAAGAGGAGATCCGCGCAGCATCCAGAATGGTGGAGAAGGAGCAGCGCCTGCCGCAGGAGGAGGTAGACAGGAGAGTCCGCCCCCCCACGGTTCGGAGCAAGTGGGAACGCCTCAGGCTTCTGGCAATAGTCGACAGATACAGGGAGGAAAAGTGGGGCAGAAGGCTCGGCCTGGGGATGACCCTCAAGGCCAACGAAGGGCCGAACACAATGCCCGCCAGGGGAGTCAGACTAGGAGAAAGGGACAACATGGAGGCGGAGACATGGAAGAAATTCAAGGAGAAGCTAGGGGAATTCCTCCAAAACGGACCGGGGAAGGGGTTCCGAACATGGAGGAACTAAGTGAGATAGTAGAAGTGACGCGGGACCCTGAGAAGCTGGGAGAGACGCCACGCGTACAGACCTGGGTGGAGCGGCTGGGAATGGCAGACGTGTGGAACCTCGTGACACGCTGCCCGCAGTCGATCCACTGGGAGGAACTATGGAACGCGGCAGCGAGAGTTCTGCACAATACCAGAAGAGGAGAACGAGAGGACAGGGACTGGACGACGTGCAAGCACTGCGCGCAGGAAGGCTCTAAAGGCCCAAGGGGCTTATTGGCGCACTGGGTAAGGACGGCAAAAAACTGGAAGGAGGAAGAACGCGCAAGCTGTGGCTACCAGGCAGAAAGCGAAAGAGGGCGAGAATGGAAGAAGGACCTTGGGGACATGATGGACGCCGGGGACCTGAAAAGGCTCTCGCATTTCCAGGAAATATACTTGGAGGAGGCAGGACACAGCCCCGAGGAGGTGAAAGTAAGAAGTGGCGAGCATATCGCTGAAAGGAAAAGAGTGGCCGTACGTAGGGAACGGCATGCACATCCAAGACAAGCAAGAGGCAGGAGAGCTCCGCAAACTTGTGGAAGGCTGGGAACACTATGAGCAGACAGGGGAAACCATCGACCAAGACAACCGGCGAGAGTGCCCCTTGGGGGGTGAAGAAATGCCAGGGGCCACAGTCGGACGCTCGCCGATGTGGTATGTGCCAGGTGATGCACGGCACAGGCCAGGCGCGCCAAGAGTGGCTAGAACAGGCCAAAAGGGTAAGGAAGGACGAGAAAAGGCGGGAGGCATACCACGGGGCCAAGCGAATGCGCTGGGACCCGATGACAAAGGTAAAGGCGTGCCCATACAAAGAGAAGGCGCGTGGCTGGCCGGTGGAGGAACCGGGAAGATGGTGCGAAGGGTGTAAAAGAATAGAAGGAGGAGAAATCTGGGCCACCCACTGCAGGGAAGTAGAGGAGAAAAAAAAAAAGGAGGACCCTGCGGGGAAGGAGCAGGAGGAAAAAGCCAAGGCCCAGAGAAAAAGACAGAAGGAAGAGGAGCGGGACGGTAAGGCAAAAAGAGAGGCCCAGCGCAAAACCCAAAAGAGAGAAGAGGCAGAGGAGAAGAGAAGGGAAGGAAAAAAGAGACCCGCGGGCAAACCGCTGGAGGGACTCAGGGAAGGGAAGAAGCCAAAGAAGCCCCCAGGGGCGGAAAAGGCTGGAGGAGAAAAGCGGCCGGCGGAGGAGCCGCTTATAGACCTCAGAAAAGGGAAGAAGGGGAAAAAGCATCCAGGAGACCAAGAGGAGGAGAAGGGCAACCGAGCAGCCCCACAGCAGTGAAGAGGAGGCAGCAACGAGAACAAAGGACAAGGCCGAAAGAGAGGAAAGAAGCCAGCGCAGAAGTGAAGAAAAAAGGAGAGAACGAAAGGGCGGAGGCCTGGCAAAGGGGCCGCCGGATGAAATGAGGCCAAGAAGACCACGAAGGGAACAGGACAGCAAAAAAAGAGGGCCGAAATGAAGGGGCCGCTTAAGGGGGGGCCCCCGATGAAGGGGAGGCAGTGCAGGAGGGTAAGAGCAAGCGAAGCGACCTCCCCTCGCCTCCTTGGGGTCCCCCGGAGAGGTGGCGGACGCGGGTCTGGCCTCTCTCTGCGGGGTCGAGTAGGGGCAATCTTTTACCTGGAAGTCTTTCAGGTAAAACGGTTGCAAGGATGAGATGGCACCCCGCCCCAACCGATCGGTGGGCTTGCATCATCATCATCGTCGTCAGCTGCTTGCGTGCTCCCTACCGCTCTCCTCTTTGTTGGCCCCTCGCCGAAGCAGCAGGGGGCCGGGTGTGGAAGGCCTCCGAAGGCGGCAAAAGGTGCCAGGCCGGACCGCTGGCGCTGTGTGGCTTGTACCCTCCGGGCCCTTGGTCATCGCCCTGCTGGCTTTTGCCGTGAATTTGATGAGGGCAGCCCAGCAAAAGGGGCCACGCCTCGAGACCGTGGTCGCCGCGGCGGCTTTCTGCCCCGGAGCCCTCCAGCCTGCGAGGGTCGGCAGAGGCCAGGGCGCCTTTTGGGAACATGTTGAGAGGCGTGAGGGGCTGCCCGCTCGGATTTTTCACGCCTTCCACCTCGAGCATCTGCGAAAAGCAGCGCGGAAAAGAGCGCGCAAGCGCCACCGCAGGGCCATGCATAGAGGGGGGGCGTGCGTCCTTGTGATTGTCTCATATGACATGTAAGTATGAACCAATCTGGGCGCTGTCCTTGAAGAATACGGCTACAATTTATTTTGAGCTTACCTCTACCATAAAGTCAGGCATCTTCTCTAGTGGCATAGAATAATCATTATCATAAGGGCCTTGTTACCTCCAGTACCATAGAATATGAATAATCAGAGTCGTCCTCAAACTTCTACAACAGAAGTTTGTTACAAGTTACAATACTTACATTCTAACGCGAGAAGCTCGAGCTCCGAGGCCAAGGAGGAGGCTAGCGGCGCAGATGGGGGAGCTTTTGCAGACGACTGGATTCTGTCCGTCACGCAGGAGAGGGAAGTGATGATATAGAAATCGCTTCCATTTCTAGTAGAAGATGTTAGATGAGATTTGGGATGATGATGATCAGGGTTAGGTGGTTAGACTCTGGTGGGATGGGGTTAGGGGGCGGGATGGGGCTAGGAGATGGGATGGGGTTAGGGGGTGGGATGGGATAAGATGTGGTTGCGGTAGAGATACAATGACAGTTGAGAGATTTATGGAGCAACGAGAGCCAATTGAGGTAGTGTAATTGGTTTCATTTAGGATTTGATAGTGGGCAATTCAGTACAAAAAATATAGATCTTAGATTATAGATTGTAGTAAGTAGCTGTAGCTTAGGTTGAGTAGAGAGAATACGATTTATAATATAAGATTCCAAATCCAAATAGTAGACTGTAGTACCAAAGCAGGCTAGGACTAGGTAGCAGAGAGCAGAACGAATACGGAACTGGAAGAAGGTCAAATATTTAGATATTGGTGTATATTCTAAGGTATGTTGGTCCCCCTTGCGTGCTGGCCTCTCGTCTTGTCTTAGGGTTCTTAACTGGGCTAGCGCTTGCGCCTAAGACCGAAGTATAGCGCGCACTATGTAAGCACAGCAATAGCATAATTGCCAACTACGACATGTATTTAAACTACGATGTATACACATCAGCACCACGTCAGGTCCCGTAAGGGTTTCATTTCAGAAAAGAGCAGGCGAAGCTTTTGATTGGACCCTATCCATGTTGTAAATTGCCTACCTTGCTATTGTAATGCGTTCTAGCGTTTATCCTTCTACTCAGAACAAGTGGCTTCGCGTCGTGCTATCTTTAAGATTAATCCTCTGCCTCAAGACTTGCGCTATGAAGAAATATTTGGATATCTTAAGACTTGCGCTATAGGAAGTGTGGCGTTTGATCCCTCACTTATTAGTGCATAGTCTAGTACTAACTGCTGTACGGCGCTGCTGAGGGTAAGAGGATTCGATAGGTGTATATCTAGAGTAGTAAAAGCACTCAGTTAAAAATATTCGCTCCAAAGTAGCTTATTAGTGCATAGCCTCAGGGTTGTTAGCGCATTGTCTCAGGGCTAGCGCATAGTCTCAGGGCTAGCGCATAGTCTCAGGGCTAGCGCATAGTCTCAGGGCGAGTGCATAGTCTCAGGGTTGTTAGCGCAGAGTCTTGGGTGCCCGGCGTACGCGCGGCGCACTCTCCACATGGCCCTCATCTGTAGTATTTGTTGTGGTCGTTGTAAGTAGTTGAAGATTCACCCTTCAATCTTGTTAGTTTCTTGGTGAATTGAAGCTCTCCTTCATCTCCTTGTCAAGTACTGACCATGCATAATTAAAACGACCTCCTGCCAGGCACACCTGTCAATCAACCAATCAAGTTCAGCACAGATTACACGATGCTGCCGGTGTAGTTAAATCGAGTCTAGTCTCTTAGATGATTTGTGCTGCTAGTGCTGTAGTGATCGTGGTCCTCTTTTAGATGATAGATTAATATTATGGCCAGCTCAAGAAAATTAACTTGGCAAAAGTCTTCAAAAATTTTCACCCCACGGCGAACTGACCCAATTATGCGTGCACTGGAATCCACTGGTCTGACGTCTGAGAAGCAAGATCCCGGCCCAGGGCACTTAGAAGGGTGGGGGAGTTGAAGCGAGCTCGAGGGAACCCATCTTACGAGGCAGACCTCTGACACAACGGCAGGCCCCATTTAGCAGTGGTCGTGGTCCTCTTTTAGATGATAGATTAATATGTAGTACTAGCCTTGTCTCTCGACTGATTATGTTGTCTAGTCTCGTCGTGGCCTAGTGATTATGTAGTTTAGTTTTTTAGATGATTACGCGGTCCAGTGGCCCCTGAGATGATTAATATGTAGTCTAGTGGTCTCTTAGAAGACGACTATGTAGTCTGGTCTCACTCTGAGATAATTATGTGGCCTAGTCTCTACTTCGCTGATTATGTAGTCTAGTCTCGTGGCCTAGTGATTATGTAGTCTAGGTTTTTAGATGATTACGCGGTCCAGGGGTCTCTGAGATGATTCATATGTAGTCTAGTTTCTTCGATGATTATGCGGCCCAATGGTCTCTGAGATGATTATGTAGTCTAGCAGCTTCTTAGATGATTGTCTAGTCTAGTTTCTTCGATGATTATGCGGCCCAATGGTCTCTGAGATGATTATGTAGTCTAGCAGCTTCTTAGATGATTGTCTAGTCTAGTTTCTTCGATGATTATGCGGCCCAATGGTCTCTGAGATGATTATGTAGTCTAGCAGCTTCTTAGATGATTGTCTAGTCTAGTTTCTTCGGTGATTATGTAGTCCAGTGGTCTCTTAGATAATTATGTAATCTAGTTTCTTAGATGAGTTGTAGATGACAGAGGCACCCGCATATCATGAGGTGTACAAGCGAAGAAAGGCAAACCGTGTCCTTGTGTGTCGTGTCTTTGTCGCGACAGCGTCAAGAGCCTAAACAGGAACTACCTAGACAAGAACGATCGAAGCAAGAACTACCTAGACGAGAACTACCGAAACAAGAACTACATAGACAAGAGCCACCGAGACAAGAACTACCGAGACAAGAACTACCTAGACTAGACGAACTACCCAGGCGAAAAAAACTACCTAGGCTTATTCACTATTCAGGCTCAATGAAATTTAGATCCATTCCTACAACAAGACACATGAACAACTCAAAGACAAGTTTGAGCTGTATTAGATGACATTGTGGCGAGATGGGTGAGAACTGGTATCAGATGGATTTTCTTTGTTAGCGTTACTAATACTAAATAAGGTGGTTTCTAATTATTATTTGAAGATGGTTCCTAATGTTGTAGAGGGTCATCGTGTTTCTTATTATTATTTGATGAAGAGTCTGATGTCTTGTTTACTATTATTTGAGGCAGAAGAATACGGGGATAAGATAGAAGAACGGCCATGAGTATCTCAGCAGGTGAATGTGTATTATAGTGGGCTGCTGAAATAGTCAAAATCTTTGTAAACAGTCATGACTTTTTTTTTTGCTGAAACGATGCGTGTCCTCTGACTGGAAAATATTGCGCTTGTGGAGTATTTTTTTCAAAAGTTATATGATTATGATAAGATAGAATGTTGATTGATGTGAAGGTGTCAAGGTTGTGGATCAGTCGTAAGAAGAAGGAGATGCAGTTGCGTTATCAAGAGCAGTTGTATGAAGTCAGAAGTTGTAGTACAGTCAGATTTTTGATGTGGCTTGATTCAATGGCGAGGAAAAGGTCGTAGGAAGTTTATGTGAAAGAGCAGGATTCTTGAACTATGTGAAGGAACATTATAACTATCCGCGAAGCGAGTATCAGTTTTCTATTTCTTTTCTCATCCTTTTTCTGAAAATCCGGGATGAAGAAGAGGATGATTTAGATCGCCGATTAAGAAAATGAAAAACGTTAGTACTGGTGGAGTCAACTACTCCTGATCTAACTGTTGCTAGCGTGGTTAAGTGAGTGATCCCTAATTTATGTAGGTTCTCTTCGTCAGTAGCTTCACTACACGCTGAGCAGGCACGTAATACCCTTGCAGGTCGTCGCGCTTGCTTTCAGGGCCCTACATTGTTAGGCTGTGCCTTAGTTGTATCTACAGAGGCTATGGGCATATAGTTCTCTCAGATAGTCTTAGGGTTTGGCCGTTGTGACACGGTCTTCTTGCTCCCCCGGTATGTAAGTTGTTAAATGAGGTTATTTAAGTAGTTGAATGGGAGGCAGCATGTAGTTCTATGGAAAAAAAATAATTAATCTGTTGTGAGAGAAACCTAATTTCAATGTATTTCTCTACCTACCAGGAGATTCACATTGTTGTTGGGTGGTCCGCCGGTCGCCTTTACGGAAACCGATTGGGACCTAGAGCGTTTTTTCTTTCTGTTGTGAGATTACACGAGAGATCCTATATGAATAATTGCATCACGCAAGGACGCACGGAGAAACTAGCAATGCAAGTTTTATATAATTCACATACGAGAGTCTAGCTTCTGTGTGAACATCTTCTCTGTCGTTCCTTTAGACCTCGTGATGTTGAGAGACTACCGATTATAAGATCATCCGCCCTGGTTGGTCTTTCCCCCTTGTCCTCCTACAATCGCTGATCAGAGACATCCACGCGAAGCCCGCACTAAAGGATAAGTGACACGCGTTTATACTGAGGATTTGTTGGTATGACTTGTGGTTATTCTTTATCATGGTATATGATGGTGTCTACAACAGATGTGAGCTATATATCCAGCTTGAATGTCGGTTCTGCAACACTTACGCAACTTATACAAATATATCAAGCGGTCGGCATTACCGCTTAGATTAATCGAATACGGTTACAAAAAAGAGCTGTTTAGTATTAACTATTACAATGTACTTTCGCTTCCCACCCAGCTTCGTCTCCCCCGCGGATGATTTTTTCTCAGAGAATTTGTTTAGCGAAGCCCGCCTTTGCTCTTTTTAGGATACTTTCATTTTTGTATGATTTGTTGAGGTTAAATAAGACACTCTTGATGATCCCAGCAAAGTAACACAGCGAGAAGGAGGAGGAAGGTGAGGCGGACAAGGAAGAAGCAAGCAGATGCTGGAGTGGAAAGGAAATGGCGACTGCGTTTTGAGCTGAAGCACAAGAACAAGCAGAAAAGTAGCTTTTTAAATTGTTAGGACGGCACTTATTGCCAACAGCAAAACACTCATCAGGCCGATTCACTACACTGCTAAGTCCCACAAGATTTTGTAAATTGGTTGAATAGAATGCACCTTTTTAATTAACCTAATTAAGAAAACAAAATATCAAGCGGTCGCAGCAACTGCTTTAATTCAGTTTTTACTGAAAGAAAAATTAGTCTTAGTGAGGCCTGCTCACATGATCTTCGCTGTTGATAGCCTTGTTAATTATTTAATCTCCTGGTTGTTTAGGCTCTTCTCCAGTAAGTCATTTTTCGATGGGCAGGCATGTCATACCCTTGCAGGTTGTAGCACTTGCTTTCAGGGCCCTACACTGTTAGGCTGTGCCTTAGTTGTTCTACAGGGGCTATTGTAATATAGTTCCCTCCGATAGTCGTAGGTTTTGGCCGTTGTGATACGGTCTTCTTGCTCCCCCGGTATGTAAGTTTTGTAAATGGATTGTTTAAGTAGTTGAATGGGAGGTGGCATGTAGTCCTATGGAAAAAAAAAAAAACAACGCAGAATTTTTGCGAGTAATGAATGAATGAAATGACTCGTCGTGGTGTTGGCAAAAGATAACTTGGATCGTCCGAAATATGTCTTGTAAGTCGTGACTACTAAAAGAATTGAAGTTGTATTCCTGGTGGAGGTTGTGGTGAAGAAATTGAATAAATGTCAATTTTTGTGGCGGAGGATAAGATGACCAATGTATGACGCCACTCATTGAGAAGGAGAACGAAGTTGTGGGAATGTCGTTCCCAAGTACGAAGGCAAAAGGGGAGCGACATTCTCCTTTCGGCCTTCTCAATGAGTGGAAGCATTCAACCAAAAAGAAAAGCTGGCGGCTGATGTTGAATGTAGTAATTTACAACTAACTGTCTTAAAAACAAGAATCAAACAGCACAACTTTTTCAGATATATGATATCTTCTGAGTAGCAAGAATGATAGAAGAAGTCCCCGTGAGATAGAGATTACTTGTAGAAAACGAATTATCTGTAGAAGTGGAGGTCGGTAAAAAATCTCGACAGAACCGGCGCAGAGCGCAACTGGCATGAAACGACTACCAGACTGCTACATATTTTTTGTATGTAAATGTTGAGTGTGTGGTATTGATACATAAAAATGTTGAGTGGTGGTCGGTGGTTGTTGTCATATCAAGGTCATGCGTGTCTTTTGAAAGATACTACCGTTCCAAGTTGTGAGGACTGATGGGTTACACTTCTACTTGTAGTCAGTGGTGAAGAAATTCCTGCGACCGACGGCCATCATGATGATCATTGAACAAGAGGCACATCAGCGATAGGCAACAGGGTTTGCTTGCAGCACGTATCACAGGATATCTACTCGCTACTTTCTTGTACTTAGCTGAAAAACCTGTTTGATGTTAATTTCCTGGTAACGTCCTCTTCGGGGCGATCTGCCGGATTGGTCCTGTCACCTTGTGTGGCGGCGAAGCCGAGGCAAAATATGATCCTATCCTATACTTACCTGGGCTTACTGATGAATTATGGCATCAACAGGGTCTATTTACAGCACGCACTTCCTCCACCTCTTTTTTCCAGATGTCGGTGCCTATCTTCTTGATCCCACGACCTATCGCCTAAAAAATCCCCTTTCAGTTACATTTCTTAACCTAGTACAAGAGTAGAAGAACAAGGAGTGTAGCTTACTTCGTCGTGTACTACAAAATTACAAGAAGAGGGAGTACTACATCCTGGTGTGCTTCCTACTGCAAGGAGCTGTGTCTTGTCATCAAACACCACAGGCTTCCTGATTTACAACAGATTTATTTGTGCATATCATGAATGGAAAGCATGATCACGACATGGCAGATTGATTACTAGACCGACGAGCACCCACTTGCGTCGAGTTGGGGACAACAGTCGTGAACATCGCTCCTCTTGTTCTGGTAGTCGCGCCTTTTGCAGTCCTGTTCCCACCAGTAGTCTTCGCGTCTTCGGTAGGAGTGGTGGAGTATCGAAAGCTGCTGCTAGAAAATAGCAGCGGTTGAACTCCTGCTGTTGTTGCTTTTCTTGTCGCGAGAGGTGGATTTCAAGTCCCAGAGTAGGAAAATACAACCAAACTCGGTTTCCTGTTGCTACAACTACTCTTAGCAGTGACTCAGGATCGGAGAAGAGGTCTGGCGGATCATTCTATTGTCGAAGAAATAACGGAGCACCATGTCAGCAGGCTTTCTTCGGCTCAAACGTTATAATCCATCTGGTTTTCTGCGGTATCATCAAGATGAAAGGCCCATTTGTCCCCCTACTCCCCATGCATAACATATATCCATACTTTTCAAGGATCGATGCAGCTAAAAGATGAATACTGGACAGCACTAAATGTACTTCTGCCGTCAGGAGGAGCTACAACTCGCCGTCGTGTGGAGCCAGGACCTCGAGAAGTTTCGACCTCGTCTACTGGCGTGGTCGAGTACAAGGTGTACCAGAACTTCTATCTTCGGCACAACAACCACATCATCAACTATCTACTTTGTCGTATGGGTGTGCTGGTGGCAGAGCAATTTTTGTTGGCACAGCACTAACACAAAAATCAAAAATGCGTTTCTTTCCTTCCTTTTTTCCAGAGCGACCACACTATTCCACAGAGCCGCCGTCAGAGAAGCCACCACTTCCACAACACAAGGTGCAAAAATTGTTGTGCGTTACGAAAACACACCCAAATACGAACACGTGGAAGAGGTACATCAACAATTTATCAGATAGGAGAGGTAGATCAACAGTTTATCACGTGGACGAGACCCATGGTCAACAGGAGGTGATCAGCAGTTGATGTACTACTCGTACTCGTCTAGACAAGTAAAACAAGTAATTGTTGAGATCGATGGAAAATTTTGTACTACTTGTACCACCTTGAATATTATTTTTATCATACGATGGCGCATCACCGGAGGCGTTGCACAGGGCTTCGGCCTGCCTTCGAAGGTGAGACCTCTGGGGCTGACAGGACCACGACAGCGCCGGCGCTTAGTTAGTAGTAGATAAATTCTTGCCTTGCTTTTCTTTTTTCGGTTTTTGTTTTTTTCTAGTTTGTTGGACCACAAGAACACAGGCCTCCGAGCCACGTTCGTTCGTTTCTCAGTGGAAGCGCAGAGTTTGAATCTTGAATGCGAGCAAGTCCCAGTATGCCTGCCTGTGACTTATGATCACTGGCGGGCTTAGTCCCTGTTTGGTTCATTGGATAAGATGAGTCACGTCATTCATCATCATCAACATACGCACGTCAGAAGGGACCGGGCTGGACATGCTTCATACGACTAGGATCAGGGGGGCCCTGCCTAGTCTACCCTTTTGCTCACTATGATTGAGCAAGGGAGTATCATTCATGATCATTGACATTCATGCGCATTGAGATCATCCCGATGACAGTTGAGCACGAGGCTTAGTGTGAGCCACTGAGAACAGAACAACGCGGCACCCGAGAGGCTTGCGCCATACATGACCCACGTAGTTAGATATGCTCGGCTAACTTTATTATACGATGGCGCGTCTACTTTTCATTTTGGATTTACTTTGATGGTCAGCTGCTCCCAGATTACTCGGTCTAGGTCTAGGCAGGTCGATGCTGAAGCTCATACCCGAACACTTCTCCTTTCCCCTTGTGCAAACTTCAGACGTACCTCTGGACTGGGTTTACTAATACAACCCATGCTACTACTCCTACTACCCCTACTTACTACTGTACTCCTACTACTGTACTCCTACTACTGTGCTCCTACTACTACTCCTACTCCTACTGCTGCTCCTACTCCTCCTACTCCTACCCCTACTACTACTCCTACTTACTTCTACCGCTCCTACTTACTCCTACTTACTCCTACTTACTCCTACGCACTCTTACTCACTCCTACTTACTCGTGCTACTCCTACTTTACTTACTCCTACTTACTCCTACTACACCTACTACTCCTAATACTCCTACTACAACTCCTACTACTCCTACTATTCCTACTATTCCTACTACCCCTACTACTCCTACTGGCTGCCCACCTCCTCAGGTATCTGCATCCGCAGCGGCACTCTCTTCAGCACAGCTCCCTTCTCGTCTCTTCTCGTTTTCAAGTAGAAATTGGCTAAAAGATGCTGGGGCAGATGTGCCCTTAGTCTTTCCACTATCGTGATAGTAGTCGTAGGATCTGCATGAGCGCGCCGCCGTAGTGAGCGACTAGCCCTAGTTCTAGTAGAAGGGTGCCGTCGTATAGTCTAGGGGCAAGCATGCTAGCCAATGATAGACTCAATGGAGTGGAATTTTTGAGTTTCTAATACAGGAGGATGCACTGGCCTCGCCCTCGCGCCCTTTCAAAGCTGTTAAGGAACTTCAAATATCTGCTTCCCTCGCATAAAAATTCATAAATCATCTCGGGCCCTTCCTAAAAACGAAGAATTTTCAAGCAAGACGAAACTAACTCTCTACCAGACAGAAGATGTTGAGTCAAAACTTGGCCTGTAGTTCAAAGCGGTAATTTGAAATCAGGCACAATTAATGGCGGGAAGATCATTTTAAAACTAGCTACGTTGTCCTTGTTTGTTTGTATTGATGCGCCCCGGGCAGCGCGTACGGCCTCCCAGGGTTTCCAGTCCAAGAATAGCAATACTTCTTACCGGATTCAGATAATTTAGAGTATTTACTCAGATAATAAATGATGATGAGCGCCAGGACTTCTCAAGTTTTACGTGGTCGAGTTACCTAGAAAAGGGACTAAAGACACGTAGAGCTGGTAGTGGAGGTTTGCCTTTATTGAGTCCCGCGATGATCTTACCCTTCTAGGACAATAACCACCAGCAATATCAGATCCAGATGATGGCGATTGCTGATGCAGAAGTTTCAATATCACTCAGTTGCAGATCTATACGGAAAAATAGACAGGAGGAGGAACATGAACAAAGAATATACCATCAGAGCTGGTATATCAGAAGCAGTTCGCTCGCGCCAGAACTGATCGCCGGGTGATGGACGTGGGCGTGAAGATTCAGCATTCTGGCATCTAAATTGGTCGGTTCTTGACACAACGGGTCGGTTTGTATTCCTTCTTGAGTTGCATTGAGAGTCTAGGATCTTCAAGAAGAAACCGATCAACAACATATGATCAAGTGATATTGATTTACATATGGAGCTGGACTCACATCCAGAGCCACGCTCTAGCACTTGTCTAGATGTCTCACGTATGCAGGGTACTAGAGTGTAGCATTTGCTTTTGCGTCGATGCATTAATTTAGATTATTTAGATTTATCCTTAGAAGGGACGAGCACGAGAGCAACTACAAGAGAATTAGTAGCTCGAACTGTTCAATGAACTATTTAGGTTCTTCAGTTCGGATTCCACTTCAAGAATTAGAATAGCAATACTTAATAAAAAAAATTTACATTTAGATAATTTAGATTTTTTAGATTATGGTCTTCTCAAGTTTTATTCTTGGTGATTTTCGCATTTATTTCTCTTACTAACGGTTTTTATGGGTGGCATACGTATTAGAGTCAACCGCTACCTAGAAAAAGTACTAGTTAGACGTAGAGCTGGTAGTTGTGGAGACCTGGTTTTATTGAGTCCCGCGGTGATCTTACCCTCCGCGGACAATTATATCCACAATTAATATCAGATGATGGCGATTGCTGACGCAGGAGCTTCGACATTACTTTTACTCAGTTGCAGATCTATAAGTAAAAGACAGAAACAGGAGGAACAAAGAATATACCACGACAATCAGTAAAGCTGGCAAAGCAGAACGAGCAGTCCGCTCGCACCACGGGTAGCCAAAATTGAGCGCTCGCCGAGTCATGGACATGGCTGATAGAGACAAGGTATGAAAACTCACCATTCCGAAATCCAAGTTGGTCGGTGTTTGACACAACGGGTCGGTTTGTATTCCTTCTTGAGTTGGATTGAGAGTCTAGGATCTTCAAGAAGAAAGGGAGTACTTAACCTATGATCGACTGATATTGAAAACGATCAACAAATTTGGACCATGGCATACTCTAAGAATGAGTCTGAGAGGTCCATACTTAGAGCGCAACGGTCTTACGCAATTGCTTGATCGAGCAGTGGTGCTCTCACAAGGATTGCCAAAGAAGAATGCGGCTTCAGAAAAGCTCCTGTAAGCTGCCGGCAAGCCAGAGGATTTCAAAAAAGACTCATTCGATACCACTTACACTCTTACGGACCGTTCCACTGATCCATCCTCAAAGTTTCCTTCTAGCATAATACTCGCCTGTGAGAGTATCTATTCTACACAGCTGCACAACAAAGAGGGTGGAAAGTGGAGCGTTGTTAAGTATCTGCTTTCCGGGTCACTCAAGGACGAGGGAATTGGTTGCATGTAACATCTACCGCGTTTATCTAATCAACACTAGGTGCGCGAAGTGGTGGACTCTTCGGAGGCGCGGCTTCGAAACCAGACGACTCAGCTCCAGGAGGTGGACTTTTTGGCGCTGCTGCTGGAGGTTCCTTGTTTGGTGCACGAGGAGGAGCTTCTCCTACAAAGGGAAAAGATAATAAAGAACCTAGTCCTGCTCTGGCTACAGGAGATAAGGCCGCGGCTAAGGAAACAACTGGAGGTGGAGGTCTTTTTGTTGGTGGAGCTGCTGGTGGACTCTTCGGTGGAGGTGCCCTAGGTTTGGAAGACAAGAAAGAAGAGGACAAGCTTGGCGGACTCTTTGGTGGAGGTCTGAATCTTAATGCAGATCGAGATCATGATGACAAGAGCAAGAACAAGGCTCTCTTTGGTGCTTTAGGTGCTTTGGAAGACGGGAGCAAGCATGATGACAAAGCTGAGCAGTCAAATTAACTCATGTTGTCCAACATCAAACCTAAAGCACTTGGTTTGGATGGCCCTACTTCTCCAGACGCTCCTTTACTACCAACGCAATTATTTGACGGAGATGGAGAAGATTCTTCTTTTGCGGATGGGCTTGGTGAAAAAAAAGCATCAGGCGTACCGGTTGGACGTGGAGCAGGAGAATTGCAGCAGCAAGTTGACTCTCCAGTTTTCGGGTCAGCTTTGAAAGGGAGTGCCGAAAGTCCTATTTTCAACATCAATGTAGAAGAACCAGAAACAAATAGTAGAACTCGTCCCCCAGTACCAGTATTCGGCAACGCTTCATCTGGTGTACCATCGGCGATTCTGCAGAAAGTGTTTGCACCGATGGAGGAAAAACTCTCTGAAGTCGAAACTTTAGCCAAGTCTGTGTCCCCTCACCAGGAGAGCAGCAAGAACCGACACACCATGCTGGCGGAACTAGACCAGGAAGCGGGAAAAGTCACGAGTAAGGTGAAACTAGTGGCGCTGGACGTGGTGGGTACCGAAACGGACGACTTGGAGCGAGTGCAATTGCAACAGGAACTAGCAGAAAGTCGAGCAAAACTAGTGGAATTGGCAGAAGCTACCTTGCAGAATAGATTGCATGAACTGGATCTAGTTGGACCAAGCTCTGGAGGAGGACTTCTAAGGCTTGGAGGCGGACTTCTAAGTCAAGAAGGGTCGAGAGCAGGTTCTTCTTCTTCGACGCGAGGTACACCTGTTTCAACCCCTTCTTCAACTACGCCATTACGATCGCCAGGAAGAAGTCCTGGAGCTGCACATCCTTTCTCTAATGGTGCTGGATCTTCTAGTACGTCGAATAGGAATACGAGAGAACATGAGCATGTGCACATTTTGCATCGACGCCTCCAGGGTCTCTTGACGACTGTGCGACAGATAGAAACCCAAATAGACGAAACAACGTTGTTGTGCAACTACGCAGTTAAAACAGCCAATGGAGCCAATGGGCTTGGAGGTAGAGCAGGAACGTCGAGAGAGCAATTGCAACATCATCAAGGCCTTGATATGCGAACAAGAGCTGCTCCTGAATACAATGGGCTAACCAGTAGGTCTCCTGGAGGTGGAGCTGGAGGGAAGCATCCAATTGGTGGTGCTAATGGACACGGACGAGGCCCCTCTGCATCTACTTTGTTTCAAGAACAACTACAGCAGCATACAAGATCTACTGGCACGGCTTCTTTTCGTGCGACTGGCCGTCCACCACCTCTGAATCCTGTTCTCTATAGAGACCATGTTTGTACTTCTAGGACATGGGAAGAGAAGTGGAGGCGCCTCTAAGTCCTCTGCGCAGATATCTACGCCAGCCTCAGCGCGGTCAGCAAAGGGATCTACGGCTTATGGCCTTCACTTCTTGGAGGATGAAGGTGGGATCACGTGGGTTGGAGCTGCTGGAGGATCTAAGAACTCAAAATCTTCAATCGCCTCATCTGCCGGACGTTCGCAGCAGCTAGGACATGCCGGAGGACATCAGATGCCGCTCAAGTACACAACATCTTCGAGTTCGACCTTTCAGCATGTAAATGCCTACGAGAACGCAGTACCTCTTCATCAGAATGCCTTTGAGCAGGGACCACTGTTATCTCGCGGAATCCGAGGGACACTGCTGCATGCAGGAGCTAATATCAATGCGGGAGGAAGCGGAGGAGCTCCAACTTCCTCTTACTTCTGTGATTTTGCACCACAGATACATGAGCTATTGAACGATCTGGAATTGGACCAAGATGGAGGACCTAGTGAAAATAGTAAACCTAAAGTTGCCGTGGAGAGGAACAAGAACCCTCTAAAGCGCAAGACGAAGGGAACGAAGCTGCAACAAACCGTGGGAACAGCGAAGAGAGACGCGAATCTTCAAAGTTGTCTTCGGGATGTCAATATGAAGAGTAGTACAACAACAACTTCTGCTTCTGCACAATTTCGCGTCGGAGGAGCCACGGCGTCTGATGAACAGAACACGAAGGAGATCGTGGATGTGCTAAAAAATGGCAAGAAAAGTGCGAGCAAGGACCCTCATGATATGGACTTAGAGGCTCGCGTAGCTGAGCTTTTAGAAAAAGAGGAGGCGGAAGTGGACCTAGGGACGCGCATCCACGACCAACTACAAGCCTACACTCAATGCGTAAGAGCGAATGGTACAACTTCTCAAGAGCGGGAATCACAGAGCAGCACCAATCAAAACATCGCATCTCACAAACTACTACATCCAGACCAGAACCAGAAGAGTCAACCGAAGAATTTGAAGTATCTTCAACCTCCAGCTCCTCCGCAGAACAATGCACCTCATCAAGCTCAATGTCGTCTACAGAACAACCATGGGGATGTAAAAAACCTTCATCGCACTTCTTCCACCTCATCACTCGGCGTAGGTCCCACCAGTAGCAGTGCGAGCTGGCTCAACAAAGAGCATCAATCCGGAGCCTCTTCAAACGGTTCCGAGACCGACTCGGTGTCTTCCTACAACACACACGTAACCGTTCTAGGCGGAGGAGGTGCTCGTGGAGGCGCTGGGGCTGGAACAATTGGACTTGGAGTTGGAGGAGTTCAAGTCTCTCAAAACAACAAGTCGTCTTCAGGTTCTGGCTCGTCTAAAAGTAATGGAGGTAGTACAACAATAACGTCAGGCTCAGGAGAAACCCTAAGCTGTAAGCAACAAGAACAGTCCTCCTTGTCTCCTCCCGATAACAAACAGAAGTTGGGTGATCTCCGACAATTGCAAAAGATGGCAGCCAATGGACTCGTGCCGGGAGGTGCGGAAACACCGACTTTTGGCTCGAGGAGGCACTCCTTCGACTCACAAGAGAGCTATCAACAGAGACAAGGAGTTCTTGGAGCTACACAAGCCCAACTACAAAATAGTACTAGTGCCACTGCTGGAAGTTGTCAAGGTGGCAGAATGGCTCCTCCTCAGCTAGTACCCAACAAGAAAAAGGGTAACAACGTTTTGCAGAAGCATGACAGCATTACGAGCTTGAGCAACACCAGCGTCTGCGGAGCAGCGGGAACGACTTCAAATACCCCAGACAACACGCCGTCAGTCTGCGGACACTCAGCAATATCAGTCTCGGGAAGTGCTTTACTGGACGGTTCGGTTGTAAGTTTTGGCGCACAGAGACAAAAACCATCATTAACTTTCAGTGGTGACGTCATGAGTGCAGCGTTGATGAGCGGAGAAAAGGAGAAGCCAAGTCCTGGCGCTGTGACTAGTACAACAAGCGCTGGAGCAGGGAGTGGTTTTTTGTTTGGTGCAGCTCCTGGTTCTGGAGCTGCATTCGCTGGAGCCGCGGGCACTACAACCAAAACAGGAGCAGATACAACGAAGACTACAGAGACATCATCAAAAACTACTTACATCTTCTACTGCAGCCACAGGTGGTCTGTTTGGTGGAGGAGTGTCAACCTCAACCGAAGGAGATAAACCCTCTAGTACAGCCGGTGGTGGTCTGTTTGGTGGATCGACAAGTACTGCCTCGTCTGGTGGTGGTCTGTTTGGTGGATCAACTAGTACAGCTGGTACTGTCTCAGGCTCTGGAGGAGGACTCTTTGGCGCAGCATCCACCAAGGATGGAGGCGAAGAAAAAATAGATGAAAGTGCGAAGCCAGCTGCGACAACAGGAGGATTGTTCCCTTCCACAGCAGCTGCATCGTCAGAAGATGGTACCAAAAAAGGTGAGGAAGCAAAGACTAGTATTAATAAAGAACAACCCGCAGCACCAACAGGTGGTCTTTTTGGAAGTACAACTACCCCAACGGCCACAACTACCACTCCAACCGGCGCCGCGACTACTCCCACCGATGCAACAACCTCCAATAAGCAAACCTTCGCAAATCTGACAGACCTTGTTAGACACAAGATGGCTCAGATCTATCAGAAGCACAAGCCAGAGAAGATCGCTAAGGTTGACGAATTGTTGAGAGGCAAGTACGCGACAAAACCTTTGGAACTGTATCTGAAACTCTGCACTACGTATAAGGAAACACCTGAAGACTTGGACACACAATTCAAACAGCAGTCGACCGCAACTGCGGCGACGGGAGGAGTTGCGGCAGCCCCTGGTGCAGGTACTTTTTTTTTCTATTGGACTTCTTGAGGGTTTAGCGTGGTAATCAATGTGGTTTACCATGATTTAATCTTCTAGAAGTTGTACAAGCATGTGCTAAAAATGTAGTGATTATTAGAAATCTAACTCTTCGACGCCTTCTATCACTTTCTCGAACCTTCATTAAATCCATCAAAACTACATCAGCTGCTCCCGCCGCACCGACAGGTGGTCTTTTTGGAAGCGCTCCTGCAGCGCAGCAACCGCTACACCAAACGGGTGGCTTATTTGGAAATACAGCTGCAGCAGCTGCGCAACCTCAACAACAGCCACCACAACCAACCGCTGGCTTATTCGGAGGTGGTAGCACGACGGCCACACAGCAACTACTTGGAGGAACCTCGCCAGCACCACAGCAAAGTGGAGGTCTGTTTGGAGGGGCTACTCCCGCTCCCACAGTTCCAGCGCAGCAAATGACGCCTGAGGAACAGGTAAAAATTGAAATTTTTGTTCTAAAACTTGATGTTGTTGATGCGTGTTAGTTGTTACTTGAAGTTCAGGTGCAAGAACAAACTTGATCAAATTTCTATATGATCTACGCATCGCGATCGCCAAAAATTTCTACTAGATGTAGCACTATCAGCTGCCGCTAGTTATAGCAAGAATGCCTATACGTAGAGCATTTCCTAAGATGGGCGCAGATGGCTCGCATGGATTGCAATGCATTGCATTCCGGCCGCCCGATGGACAGACGTGGACGGACGGGATGGAAGAGGCTCAGAGCGCGGCGCTGGGTTACGCCGAGCGCCAGGAAATCCCAGACAGCGCGACGCGGCACAACGCACGCGCAGAGCTGCTGGACCTCGTAGAGAGGCACGAGACCAAAGTGCTCCCGGCCGTTTTCGTGTGGCCGTTGTGATCGACGCTATACAGTGGCGACACTCCAAAGGCAGACCCAAGCACTGACAACGATGACGCCCGTGAGGTGGAGCCGACGAGGAAGGAGGCCAAGAGGGAAGCCCGCGCTACCAAGATCAAGGAGCTAGGAGGGGCGGAGAGGCTGGCGGAGGCCGTGCCGAAGGGGCAGGGTGGCGCTCTCTTTAAGAAGCGAGCCGCTTGGGAACCAATGTGGGCACCGTGGCCCAGCATCGACGTGACAACGCTGGGAACCAACGAGGGGAGCTCCTTGACCCGTCTTCTTAATCACGAGAGTGCGCGCAAGCTAGCAAAGCCCTGAGCATCGAGACGGGCGCGCGCGAAGGCGAGGGACCTCATCGAGGAGAGAGGGACGGCTTTCGGGGACGCTTTTAATGACTTAGGCTGAGACGCTCCAACCGATGGAGACGCCGACAAGTGGAGAGGTCCAGGCGGCAGCTCCTGGCGTCTGCGTGGCGATGAAGTTAGGCAAGCATATAGAGGGAATTAGAAAGGAGGCACAGCGCAGGCGGGCGCGCGCCTTGGTTCGGGTGTTGCCACTGCTGGGCGGCTTTCGTTCCCCCACTGACATCCGCGGGCGCCAAGTGGGCAAGGCTTGGGGTCGCGCTGTTCAGTTCGCCGTAAGGCGCCGCCGCGCTGACCAGGATGGGTGAGCGAATAAACTGCATGGATGGCATGGCCAGCAGGGGCGAAGGCGTGACCTTTTTAAAGGGGGGGCGCGCACTTCTCTGCTTGAACGCAGCGCCTCGCCTGACAAGGCCACAGGAGGGCCGTCGCCTTGCTTGTCTTGTTGTGTTCTGCCCGCTTGCGGATAGGGGGGCCGTTTCTCGTAGGGGTGAGGCCGCGCGTGGACTCCCTTTCGGTTCGAGCTGGCTGCAGGGAGGACGCAGAGCGCCTGACGCCTGGCCGCGTTGGAGATGCCTGCAAACAAACTAGCCTAGACGTTCGCAGCTAGATAGAAGCTGGGCCCCTGAGTAAGTGCGCAATGGTCGATGGGCGTAAGTGCTTCAGATGTTTGCTAGGTTATGAAGTCCCCCATTGCCTCCCGGGATCGATGGCATTGCCATGCTTGCGACCAGTGTGCTCGCAGTATATTGATTCTTATACTTTTTCGCTATGGGCTTGCGTTATAAGTGACAGGAATGCAGTGGCGTCTGGCTTTCAGTCTAGCCTTGGCGTCCGGCTGGGTTTAAGCAGGCACGCGGCAAGTGCGCTAGTTCTCTTGTGTGCACAGGCTACGACGCGTATGGTATCTTCTATGGCCCTCTGTGTTGCTGGCGTTGGGGAGGTGGTCTCTGGAGGGGGGTGCTCTGACTGTGGCCTGCGTATGCTGCTCCCGGGTGTGAATGCTTCGAGGCTGCTTGTGCCCAAGCTGTTGGAAGGTGGCTGGGACGCGACTAAAGTACGCGCGGACGATGGCACCCGAGGGGCGCCCTGAAAAAAGACCTTAGTTCTAAATAGTGCCATCCATTGCCATGCATGCAATCCATGCCGTGCATTTTAGAAATCCGGAAAAAGCGAAGCTCTCTATTATAGACACACCTCTCCTGGAACTTGATCATCTTCAGGCACGGCAAATCTACCAGAAGTATAGTGTTGCGAAGATGGGAGAAATACCAGGAATCCTGCAGAAATATGCAGGCCAATTACCAACACTTTTGCAGAAATTGGTAAAGAAGTATAATGTTGCACCCGGTGAGTTCGGAATTGGCGCCGTTTTTGGTGCTGCTGTTCTCGGTAGTGCTGCTGCTGGAGGAGCGCCATCTCCGTTTGGGCAAGCGGGTGCAGCTGGAGCACCGTCTCCCTTTGGACAAGCTGCTCCGGCTGCTGGCACGGGCTTGTTTGGTGGGAACGCCGCGGCACAACCACAGCAGCCAGCGGCCCCAGGAAGTCTGTTTGGTGGAGCGCAGCCAGCACAACAACAGCAAGCTTCCGGGGGCCTATTTGGTGGAGCGCAGCCAGCACAACAGCAGCCGGCATCGGGTGGTTTATTCGGTGGGGCCCAGCCAGCACAACCACAGCAAGCTACCGGAGGCCTATTTGGTGGAGCGCAGCCAGCACAACAACAAACAGCTACGGGAGATCTATTTGGTGGAGCGCAGCCAGCACAACAGCAGCCGGCATCGGGCGGTTTATTCGGTGGGGCCCAGCCAGCACAACCACAGCAAGCTACCGGAGGCCTCTTTGGTGGAGCGCAGCCAGCACAACAACAAACAGCCACGGAAGGTCTATTTAGTGGGGCGCAGCCAGCGCAGCAGCAGCCGGCATCGGGCGGTTTATTCGGTGGGGCCCAGCCAGCACAACAACAGCAAGCTACCGGAGGCCTATTTGGTGGAGCGTAGCCAGCACAAGCACAGCCAGCTACAGGAGGTCTATTTGGTGGCGCGCAAACGCAGCAGCAGCCACAGCAACAGACCGGTGGCCTATTTGGTGGTGCACAATCTCAGCAGCAGCCACCGCAACAAAGCGGCGGGTTATTCGGTGGGGCGCAACGTCAGCAGCAGCCACAGCAGCAAACCGGTGGCTTGTTCAGTGGGGCTCAACCAGCACAACCGCAACAACAAAGCGGTGGGCTTTTTGGCGGATCAGCGCAGCCTCAGCAACAGCCGCAACAACAAAGCCTATTAGGTGGCGCAGCTGCGAATACCGGTGCACCCTCACCTTTTGCTCTGAATAGCTCAGCTTCTACACAGCAGGCTGGCGGAGGTGGTCTCTCCGGTGGTGGTCAGCCGACCAGCTTTCAGGGTGCAGGCTTCTCTGGATTCCGCTAGTTCGTGGCACTGTAGATTGATACATCAAAACATTACAGTGTCTGCCTGGTGATGCGCATTTCAAGAGATAACTGATTGTTCCGTACGATGAATGCAAAAATTGTAAAACAAAACCTCCTCTGGCTCTGTTGATATTAATCGAAGAAGTGCATGCGCATGTGCGTGCTTCTTTATTGACAATCACCTTGACCCTCTTTTTCTTGATGTCTGAATTGCCCCTCTCATCCTTGTCAAGACAAAGCTTCATCTTCACAAGATGAAAAAGAAAAACTTTTTTCTGCGCGCGCGCTGTCGAAAGCATGGGTCTTGAGAATGATGAAGTTGTAGCTTCGTATCCTCGAATTTGGATGCTGATCTATCGTGTTCGTGGATCAGAAGCGACTTCAAATTTTCATACAGTGCTAATGGAGAATGCAATTCCAATGCTCTCCTGTTGATGTCAGCAGCTAAATTGATCTTTCATGCATCTGTCCACTTACTTGCAAATCGGTTTCACCCGTCCATTTCTCTTGCATTTGAAAAGACAGGAATTAGAAATTTAGCATTCTCTTTCATAATTTATTGAATTTGAATCCGGCAAAATACAACGACAACAAGCAGCTACTTCATCGCACTAAGTACATGGTCATGGTGTTTATGTTTCCCTTAACCTCTCCATGATTATTGTGCTTCTTCCATCCTATGATATATAAGTAGCTATCGGTAGTACTAGTACTACAAGAACTAGAAGTATATTTGCACGTCCCTCACCATGGCTCCAAAAGTAAACCGTGCTTCTCGTGGCGTTGCCGATGTTGGCGGCAGTACCATGGGCCGCCAGAGGCTTCTAAAGGAATACAAATCGATGCAAGCGGATCTGGCAAAACAAGGGGAACAACTACAGGTGGGAGGTGCTAGTGCTTCTTCTTCAATTATGAAAGTTGTAAGCGTGGTTAGGGTTCTTAGCCTTTCATGATAAATCATCTTGGTGTTGTTCAGACCGATTACAGACAGTTCGGAACAACTCCTAGCACGTTCATTTGAGGAGTGAGTACTAGGGAAATATAAGCACTAGTCTGTTGTATAATGCCTCTACTTGTTGGAATTCTAGTTTTTTACCAAACAAGGTCATATACATATTTCTAACGCATGCAGAAGTAGTTCAAGTAAGAAAAAGAGCTCAGCAGCAGCTCCTCCGTCCTTGCCTGTGGACCCGAATGGCATCGATGCTCATCCTACACCGGACAACGTCTTTGTCTGGTACTACTTGTTTGAACCGACGCAGCCACCCTTTATTAAGGCTCCTTCGTTCTTCCCTAATTAAAATGGAAAGGAACCTAACCAGAAGCGAGATAATCATCTTCAAGTCCTAGAGTAGAGGCTTTGTTTTTATGGGTGGAAAAAGAGAGCAGGACGTGAACATCGCTCCTCTTGTTCTGGTAGTCGCGCCTTTTGCAGTTCTGGATCTCGCCCCACCAGTAGTCTTCGCGTCTTGGGCAGGAGTGGTGGAGTATCAAAAGCTGCTGCTACAGCCTAGGTAGTGTTGATTTTTTGTCGGGAGAGGTGGATCTCAAGTCCCAGAGTAGGAAAATACAACTAAACTCGGTTTCATGTTGCTACAACTACTCGTAGTACTACACGAAAAATCGTGGACTCAGTATCGTAGAAGAGGTCTGGCGGATCATGCTATTGTCCGTCATAGAAGAAATAATGGAGCGCCGGATCATGTCAACAGGCTTTCTTCGGCTCAAACGTTATAATCCATCTGGTTTTCTTCGGTATCATCAAGATGAAAGGCCCACTTGTCTCCCTACACCGCCTACACCCCTCCCAGCACCCCCTTCTTTAAATTTGCTCTCGCATCCTCGCGCTGCTTTTCTAGTGTAATTCTTGACAATAAGGTACTACATAGAACTGGTTTTACAAGAGTGTTGGCATTCTTATTCCAATAGTTGCCTGGTATCATAATAATTCGCCTTGTTGTCAAACGAATATTATTTTTCATCATGGCACGACGTTTCTCTTTCTTCACCACCTCCTTATCGAGCGACAGCCATGGCTTAAGAACAAAGCCTTGGTTGCTTGGTTCTGCCAAGCGCTCACCGAAGAGCGTCGCTGTTGATTCTACAGGGGGAGGGCTGCTGTTTGGGCGCAGCTCCTACTCATCATCTGAGACGACATTTATTAAGGCTCTCACTGCTTCACCTTTATTTCGCTGCATCCTTGAAAACATAAAGTATGGGGTCGTTCTACCACAGGAAAATACTGCCCCATACAGCTACAGCTGAATACTAACCAGCGTCTACCACAGGGGTCTACCACAGGGAGACACTTATGCTCCGCATATATGTTTTAGGGCTGCACGGTGCCCCCCCTGTGGTATGGTCTGTGGTGGCGCGCGCGCGCGCTTTTCCGCGCTGATTTTCGCGGGTTCTAGTGGTGGAAGGCGTCAAAACTTGGCGCAGGCGGTCCCCTGCGCCTCTCTGCGTGTCCCTCAGGGACCTCCTGGCCTCTGCTGACCCTCGCAGGCGGGAGGCCTCCGGGGTAAAAGGCCGCCGAAGGCGGCCACGGTCGCAAGATCTAGCAAGCCGATGGCCAAGGGCCCGGAGGGTACAGGCCGCGCGGCTCAAGGGGTCCAGCCCCTCGCCTTTTGCCGCCTTCGGAGGCCTTCGCTCCACAACCGGCGCACTGCTGCGGTGGCGAAGCACATCGGAGGCACTTAGGGCACACGCAGGCACCTGGAAGGGGGCGGGGGCGGTCCCTCGGGCTCCTTTTGAAGCCGCCCACCTACATCGGAGGCCTGTAAGGGACGGCCAGGCAGCTGGAAGGGAGCGGAGGAGGCCACTTGGCCCCCTTTTGAGGCCTTCCATCCACCTACGGCGAAAGCCTCTAGGGGACAGCCAAGCAGATGGAAAGGAAGCAGAGGCGGCTCCGTGGGCCCCTCTTGAGGCCTTCCACCGACGTCGGAGGCCTCTAGGGGACACCCAAGCACCTGGAAGGAGGCAGCGGCGTTCCTTGGCCTCTTTTTGAAGCCTTTTCCCCCGGCACACGGCTCCTGGAAGGGTCCGGGGCTACCGGTACCCCCCCCTGCGCTAGGGGGGCACCGGTAGCCGCAAGCTTTGGAGCATATATGTCCAAGGGCTCAGGGCTGAAGGCCCCCCGATCTAACTTTTTGAGGGGGGGCTCCGGAAGACCGGGCGGGCGCCGTAAAGACCGCAAACCTAAATCTTTTCCCCCTCTTGCCCCTATTATAGGAGGGGAGGCGGGAGGGCTTGCTAGCTCTTTCTTACGCGTGACACGCGTCACGCCTCATGACTGAGCGCGACTGAGCTGCCCAAAGCGCCTCATGATCTGAGACAAATCCGCGAGCGCTCTTATTATCTGAGGCAAATCCGTGGGCAGCCTTATGCATGACCTGAGACAGGCCTGCGGGTGGTCTGCTTATGACCTGCGGCAAGTCTGGGGACGGCGTTAGAATCTGGGGCAAACCTGTGGGCGGCCTTATGATCTGAGACAAATCGGCAGAGCGGCGAGCCCTCCCGACGACCTGGGACAAATCTGGGGACGGCCTTAGGGTCTGAGGCAAATCTGTGGGCGGCCTTACGATCTGCGACAAGCCTGCGCACGGCTTTCGCCTATGATCTGGGGCAGGTCGATGGGTGCCCTTTTTATGACCCACCTAAGGCAAGTCTGCGCCTGGCCTTATGGCTTGAGGTAAATCCGTGGGCAGCCTTATGATCTGAGAAAAATCCCGTGGCTCTTTTGCTTTGTTAAGCGAACAACTAGAGAGCCACTCACAGCGGGCGGCTTGCGTTGATAAAGGACGCAAAAAGAGCCCCGGCTCTGTCGTGGGTCAGCTATCTTGCTGGGGTGTGGGTGGGCTTGCGTTGGCTATCCTTCCACGCTGTGCAGTGGTCACCCATCTCAAGCGGGCTCGGGTCAGGGGTGCAGTTTGGGCATTGGTCAGCCCCTTTGTGACTGGGTGGGCTCAGGTCAAGAATCGAGAGCGGGCCAGCCATCCCAAGGAAGTGGGTCGCCGTGCTTGCTTAGTCGAGTCGCCCGCGGTCTTTGCGCCACTCTGTAGGCCATTAGGTAGCGCGGGCGTGCTGGTGGTCGGCTGTAGTGGCTTACAAAAAAAGCCACTCCGAATGTTTGGCGAAGGTTTACTACTCAAGACACCTCGGGAGCGTTGCGGGGTGTGCTCTTTGTCAGGGTGTCTGTGGCGAGGCGCTCAGGAGTCAGGACGGTCCAGCACATGGGCGGGCCTTGGCGTGACGCGCGCGGCGGTCTCTCGCTCGCTCAGTCTCAAACTAGTTAGCTTCGTAGCGCTGCTGGGGTCCATCGAATGAGAAGCAAGCGGGGGCACCAAGTCGATGACTTACAGCACAGCTCTTTACTTAGCTAGCGCCTTCGCGTAAGTCAGGCGGATCCTTGTAGACCATGCACACGCGCCACACCTTCCTGCGCCTCTTTAACGCCCCCCCGCGCGTTACGCTCCTCAGCGCGTCACGCTAATACCCCCCCCACGCGTCACGCCTTTCAGGTGGAAGCGGCGCTCGCAGGGTTCTACGGACGGAGGGCCCCCAGCCCCGGGCCCTTTTTTTCGAGGGACTGCCAGGCGGGAAGGCCTCCAAAAGGCCTCCAGGCGCCCTCCTCCGACCCCTTCCCGCTTGTTGCTTGGACGCTACAGAGGCCCCATCTTTGAGGCTGTCGGAGCGCCGGGGGCTAGGGGTGTAAGGCTTCCGAAGGTGGCCAAGGTGGCAAGGCTGGACCCCCTTACCGTGGTGCGTGTACCCTACAGACTGGGCAAAGATGGCAAGGCGGGACCCCCTTGACGTGTTGCATGTACAGACCTCCCGGGTGCGGGTTCTTGCTCACCGGAGGGGCTTGGCCTCGGCTGCCCCCATGAGGGCCAAAGGGGCCACGCCTCGCGACCGTAACCTTGTGTGGCCGCCTTCAGCGGCTTTCTTCCCCCGGAGGCTGTCCCTCTGATAGGGTCCAAGAGTCGGGGCGCCTTTTGGGTACACGCGGAGAGCCGCCAGGGGCCACCGGCTCCGCCTTTTGAGGCTTTCCCCCCCGTGAGCCATTGCATGTCACCACCGCGAAAAAAAGGGCGCGTGGACGCCACTCCCGCCCCATCCACAGGGGGGGGCCTTCCTCCCTGGTACGTATATACTTTTCAAGGATCGACGCAGCTAAAATATGAATACTGGACAGCGTGAAATGTACTTCTGCCGTCAGGAACTACAGCTCACCGGCGTGTGGAGCCAGGACCTCGAGAAGTTTCGACCTCGTCTACTGGCGTGGTCGAGTACAAGGTGCACCAGTACCACAACTTCTATTTTCGGCACAACAACCACATCATCAACTATCTACTTTGTTGTGTGGGTATGCTGGTGGCAGAACGATTTTTATTGGCACAGCACTAGCACAAAAATCCAAAGTGCGTTTCTTTTCTTCCTTTTTTCCAGAGCGACCACAATATTACACAGAGCCGCCGTCAGATAAGCCACCACTTCCACAGCACAAGGTGCAAAAAATTGTTGTGCGTTACGAAAACACACCCAAATACGAACACGTGGAAGAGGTACATCAACAGTTTGTCACGTCGAAGAGGTACGTCAACAGTTTATCACGTGGAAGAGACCCACGATCAACAGGAGGTGATCAACAGTTGATGTACTACTCGTACGCTAGACAAGTAGAACAACTAATTGCTGAGGTCGATGGAGAATTTTGCACTACTTCTTGCACCACCTTGAATATTATTTTTATTATACTAGTATGGCTCATCTAGTAGATCTACATCTACATCTATTTATATTTTTCATTTTCCATTTACTTTGATGACCAAGAAAGATGATGATCAGCTGCTCCCAGATTACTAGCTCTACCTATGCAGGTCGATGCTGAAGTTCCTTCGTAACCCACCTACTCAGGTGTAATCTACATTCGCAACAAAACTCTTTTCAACTATCGCCCAACCCCACCGCCTTATACACCAAGGTATCTGAGTCGGCAGAAACTCTTTTAGACGTGATACAAGAGTTGCAATTACCTGTCGAAGCAGCATGTGACGTATGGATGATGTTTTTTCTCTCCTCTAGCTAGGTCAGATAAGCATCTAGGCTTCTACTGCCTCTTTTCCTATTGAAAGTGTGTAGCACTCATTGAGAATGTCGATAGGGGAATGTCTTTTCCCCTTTACCTTCTGACTTAGAAGGAAGGCGGAGCCTCGAAGCATGGTCTACCCTGTATATCAATCATGTTTAGGTCAAAGGGGATGTACTATTTATAGGTCAAGAAAGCGGAGCCTCGAAGCATGGTCTACAACCCCCTTCTAGAAGCGAAGCATGGTGCTACCCCTACCCCCTTCTAGAACAAGCATGGTCGGGGACCCCCTTTTCTCCGAAAATAAAACGCCATTCTTCATACGATGGAATAGCCGCATGTAGCACGTGCCATTGCTACTTGGATTCCCCGAGCTTTGGATCCTTGCCAAACATAGAGGATCATGAGGAGTTATGGGTTACTGAAGTATAGAAAAGAACGAGGACCTCAATGCCATATGATAGCTAAAGCTCAGCATTCATTGGTCACTGACTCTGAACGAAAGAGACCCCCTCCAAAGCTCTCCCATTTCCCTTCGTTTTCCCCTGTTCTCTCAACAGGTCGCCTCTTCGATCTCAGTGACCAACCCCGACGACCATAGAAAGCTGAGCCTTCAGATAGGGCGGGCCATGCGGTAACATGACATGGCTAGCTCAGTAATAGCACCACTTCTAGGGAAGTGGGCCAATACACAGGGAAGTATCAACTACAGAAAGTGTTTTGTCTTGCCGAAGGTACAGAGTGACATTTTGAGACACAATGACGATGAGATAAAATAAACATGCACATCCGGAATATATATATGACTCAACAGGTAATAGTACATAGACAACTAACAACTACAACAAGCACCTTCAGTGAAGTTACTATGAAGATGCGCTTTGTGCCGTCAAGAGCTTTAAACCAAGACATGCTCGAGCTTGCAGCGAATCGGCGTGAAACAAGTCGCCTCGCATGCCAAATCATGCTGCACCAGTTCAAGTTTGAAAATGGATTATGGTGATGACATTCTCCCCTCTCCTCTTCCCTTTTCTTGCCGTTTTGCTTACCCCGAGAATGGGTAAACTACTACGACTACTACTACTACTACTACTACTGCTGCTACTACTACTACTACTCCTACCCCTACTACGAAGGCACGAATTGAAGGCGTTCGGCCACTCCTAAAACACGAATTGAAGGCGTTCAACTACTACTAGAACACGAATTGAAGGCGTTCACTTCAGTTGCGAACTTCTTGATTTTTCTAACCAAACAAAGGACCACACCTGCTAAAAACCCTGGTGGCAGCACCGAATCGTCCGCGTACGGCACGAGGAGTAAAGGGAAAAATACTTAAGGACTACCACTACAGCAAACCGGGCACCTTCTTCTAGATTTTTGTGCACGCATCTGGTCAGAAGTCGACGATGATCAGTACAGGTCTCAAGTACTGGAGCATCATAAGGGCGTTTATTCAAAGCAGGTAGGATAGTACTTTAGATAATGACACGAATTACTGGGTCAGGATACAACTCTAGATCATAACTCTCTAAAGTCCGATCACCATCACGCTTCCTTCGAAGGTGAACAACTTGATGGATTTTATACCTTTCGAGGATCCAAAGTGATCTGCTTTACTCCTCCACAGCAGCACGAAACGAAATGGCTCTTGTTGGACCTCATGATGGCTCTTGTTGGACTTCATGATGGCTCTTGTTGGACTTCATCATGGCTCTTGGACACTTCATGATGGTTCTTGGACACTTCATGATGGTTCTTGGTGGACTAGAAATTAAGAGTTGTACTTGTAGACATTGACTGGTGTTGTGTCTAGCATGTTGAAAAGGTAAAGAGGATGTGGCTCCCACGTTGGAAGGAAAAGAGGGTTCTTATCGGAGCTGAGAGATTATAGAGACTCTAGTACTGACAAGAGATCATAGAGACTCCGCGAACCACACTGAGAGATCATCGAAGCGACTCTGTGGCTGTGGTTGAGGCGCAAATGCTAAGATAGGCATAACGATTGCTATGAGTGGTCTCGAGTCGTGGTGCAAATGTTACTGCTATGAGTGGTCTCGAGTGAATGTGCGTTCAGATGCTGATAGATACAAGTTGTACTGCAAATTGTATGATCAATAATGAAATCAAAAACAAGGACACACAATTGTCTGCTCCCGGTATTTGGTGACCTGAATTTGATCATATGGGAAAACAAGGAGAGAACCCTCGTGATCAAATTCAGGTTACCACATACCGGAACCATTCACAGGTTACCACATACCGGAACCATTCAACAGTAACGAAATTAAAAAGAAGGCCAAAAACACCTCTTAAACATAAAGAAGACACCTCCTGCGTCAACCACGACGCCAACCATTCTCTATCGATTATTATCGAAAGCTCTCGTAGATGTAGAAAAGTATCTACATCTTCCTACATCAGCATCTTCAACATCCAACACAAGTAAATTGCTTAGCAGAAAAATGGAGCTCGAGCACGCAATAGGCTGCAACGTAAAGTGGACCGACATCGCCAGATATCATCCTTCCGGTTCGCTTGTATCCGCGGTTGGAGCGCAGGTGGTTATATCGAACATCAATGACCACCACGATCAAAAATTTCTACACGGCCACAACGACTTCATCTCCTGTCTCGCCGTATCGAATAGTTACATTGTTATGTTCTTGGGTGTGGGGCTTGGTAAAAGTCTATGTCCGTAGCTATAATATTGTTATGTTCTTGGGTTCGGGAGGTGGTAAAAATCTATTTGTCCTCTACCTATATTATTATCCTCTTGGGTTCGGGAGGTGGTAAAAATCTATGTGTCTAGCTATATCCTTATGTCCTTGGATTTGGGTTCTAATTGTCTAATATTTGAATATCACCAAAGAAAAGTATCTGAATCTGTCTGCTGCTAGGCTAGTGTGTCACATGCATTGTGAATCAGTGAAGATATTTCCTAATTTTTAGTGGAAGTATAACCTTATTGGAAGCGGTCACTTGTTAAGTGAAGGAGCCAGACGTGTTTTTCAAAAATATGGCATCTTCTAATGTTGCGACCGGGCAGCAAGGGAAGCAGGCGGATGTGCTACTTTATGATGAGGCTGGAAAACCATAACCAAAACCGATTCAAAAATGAGTTTTGCTTTAGCAGCGTTTCCTGATCATCCTGCTTCAGCACAACTTTTATTTTGTCGGTGTAATTATTAAGTAATAAATACATATAGATACAAATACTTCTTAGAAGTTAGAATCAACTGACATACTAAAACAACTGTCGTCATAGTAATCGTTTTTCCTATGGCAACGTCTCTTCATTTCAACTGGGATTACCATTCTGGGACCTTGAAGTTCCGATTTCAAGAGCACGACTACGGCGTCCAACGCGTCGCTTTTTCTCACGATGAAAGGCTACTGCTGTCTTTAAGAAAGTGAAAGGTTGGAGAAGTTTTTAGAGGTCATAGAACTTACACTTAGTTCTTAGAAGTCTTATTTATTTTGAATGTAACCAAATAACGAGCCACTTATTCCATTATCGATTTTGATTTTCAGCACAGTCTCGAATGATTTGAAAAATGCACTACAACGAACCCTCAGCACTGCATCAACCCCTGGGTCTCATCAAGCATATCACCGCCATCACTACCGAAGTCCCTTCGTCTCAAGAGCCTCCCTTTCTGATCAATCCCCCCCTGTGGTCAATCCCCACCCCTTCTCATTCCCTGCTGATGATCAATCCTATTACTTCAACTACTGGCGTTCTTTCTAACTCTTGCTGGTTTTCAAGATGATCGCCGTCTTTTCGCATGGAGTACGGAAACGGGACTTATCGTCGCCTACGTCTCCCTCGAGCAACATCCAGGCGTTATTCCGAGCTTTCTGAATGGTGGCTTTGTCCGAGATATCAAACGCAGAGATACACCACTCTATTAAGGCTCCTTCGACGTTCCTGTCTTTAGAAAGAATATATATTTTCGTTGGTCTTTGTTCGTCAAGAAATTTTTAGAGACGCCACTTTATTAAGCAGGCTATTTTACAAATAAAAATACTTACTGTTTTCTTTAAGAGTACGAAAGTAAAGACACGCCATAGCCATTTTATTAAGGCTATAAAGCAATGCACCGAGACTGACTGTTCGTTTCTTTTCTAAGAATAAGGAGATACAAAGAAATGACATAGAGATAGGCGAGCACTTGACTCATTAGCAAGGCAAGAATATGGCAACGCCAAACAGGAGAACTGAAACTCACACACTGAACAGCTCAGTTCCACTGTTCTAATCTTCCCAGTTCGCTTCTTGTGGTGGACAGACTGTGGCAGTGTGGAATCTCGATACCGAACGAGGCGCCTTCGCTCAAAACAACGTGAATGCGGCTGACAAGACTAGGCGGGAGTACACTGCACTCTGTTTTTCGAAAAATTTGGAGTACCTCTACGCTGGGACAACGACCGGGGATATCTTATGGGCTAGGAGTAGTAGACGTAGAGCAGTTGAACTAGGAGTATTAGATAGAGCTATCTTATGGGCTAGGAGTAGTAGAGCAGTTCTATACTGACGAATTACTAGTACTTAGATGATTGATGGCAGCAAGAACGTCTTCTACTATGTTGAGCTTGAGTACTCTAAAAAAAAATACTAGAAGCTGAAAAAATAGATGTTGCTGTGGTTTGTAACTACTCAAACTCTCAATCATAGAACTGGTGCTCATTTTCAAACTTCAATGACATCAACCACAAACGCACGCAGACGATCATCATGCACCGCACTAGTATGAAACCAACAGACACCAGCTTTTCACCAATCGGGAAGACGAGTCTTAAGCTCTAAGTAGACTTAGACTCTAATCATCGCGTGCATCTACCTGAAAAACCGGGTAGTGCAGCGCTACGTTGCTGCGATCGGCCATGATATCAGCTCTGTGAAATGTATCCAAACCCTATCCACCCGAGTAGGAGAGTATCTCTTCGTTGCGGGTGTCAGCGGAGTCTTGACGTTGTTCAAATTAAGGCTTCCATGCTTCATATTTCATGTCTCACTAACTATGTTACTTTTCAGGCTTCATACTCATATTTCTGTAGTGGGTTGCTTAGCTGTAGAATGGTAGTTCTTTCATGCTTCACTATGTATATGTTGATAAACATAAATATTTAGCTGTACTAAAATGGTGCGTAGTTCTCTTCTAGGCAGTATGTTAGTTTAGCTGCAGAAAAATGGTAGTTCTCTTGCTCCAACAGGCTGCCTTATCGAATGTTGATAGTGGTCTGATATGTTCTTTTGGATGAAGCAACTCGGACGGGTCCTTTCCCTTCCTCCCTGTAGAACTACACTGGCGTAAGATAATTCCTCCTGCTCTAAGAAAGGGAGAAACCTATGAAGATCTGACTGATTCCGACCAGGTTCGGCTGGGGTCCGCCATTCTGGGTCTCTGCCTGGATCAGACAGAACAGGAACTTTTGGCATGCTGCAGCAACGGAAACATCTTTCGAGTGAAAACGGCAGTAGAACCTGGTCAAGCGAAAAATGCATTGGCTTTCAATTATGATGTTTGTTGAAGTAGCAGGAGGTACATCTGAAGCAAACCTAGGCCATCTCGGACATGCAGGCGGAAGCTGACAAAGACTGATTTAGATTTTGGTTTTTGTTTCTACTTTTGTAGGAGAGAGCACCCGGATCCGCGCCTCGAATGGGATTTCAGATGACAAGGACAACTGTAACTTTTCTATATTTAATAAATATCTTGTCCTTTTTACCCCTTTCAATCTTCCCGATCCAGATTCAGACTTTCCCGCATTCCCACATTCCTAAACAGAGTGAAAATCTCTAACCTCGAGTCTGGACCCAGAATCCTTCCGGAGAGGTAAATGACGTGGTTTTTCCTTTTGGTTCCTGTGATAGGTTAAGGCTGAAAGAACCTGCCTCCACGTGAAGTAATCCCGTGAAATTATGAGTACTTCGATCTAAAAAAGAGCAGGTAAGAACCTCCCGTGCCAGAGACTCGGGCTGTACTGAGACAGGTACTCCTCGTACACGTCCTGGCTCCTCGACTCGAGTATGATTTTCATCACAGTATAATTTCATACTTCACGACGGGACAGCAGGTTAGGTTTACGTCTAACTAGGATCATCACCTGCTCGAAAGATGCCACTGTGACCCTGTGGGACCTGAACGACTACTCTGCCAAACTCGTGTGTGCGGAACGGGCATCGTCGATACCTATGTGCGCCACTGGTTCTCCGGATATCATTTTAAGGTTTATATTTATACTCGACGTTATTATATAAGCTTGATGTGCTTCTTGACGAGAATGAGAAGTTGACCTGAAAGACACTAGCGAGGAAGACGCCGACTTCATCCAAGATCATCGTCTTCACGCACATAGATACAACATCGTTATAAGTTAAACTTCACGTCGTCGGAAGTTGAACTCTTTTTTCACCTTTACGTTAAACTCCACCACTTCCTATCAAGGTTCTTCATCCTCGTATTTATCTGCGTTTCTTCTACTTTACGAGAAGTATCTTCATCTTCATCTTCTGTACAAGTCTTTTACTACTTTCTCCTTCTATTCATGGGCAATCTCGTCTAATCATCGTTGCTGGCTACCAAGATGGACGGCTGAAAGCGTATGACTGTGTACATGGCGAGCCCTTGTGGAAGGTCGATAATGGGCAGAAAGATGGTGTTTCAACGCTTGATTTATGACGGAAACAAGAAATGGGGATATCTTTATTAACGTGGCATTTTTAGTATCTTTAGCGTGGCCTTTTTAGAAGATGACAAGTCCTCATGGCTGCCACCTTACAGATATTTTTTATGACTAACATCGTGATCAAGATCGACCAGCATCAGGATCAACATCAAACTCTACAAATTAATAACGAGTTCTAAGCAACCTAGCTTCCAACATGCGATTTGTCCTTAGTACTGGCGCACAGGGAGACCTCAGGGTATGGGAGATGAAGACTCGCGAGATGATAACGCACATGATTAAGGCTTCCACCCCTAAAAATTCTTTATAGGGATGATCCCTCAACTCCGTATGCGCCCTCGAACAAGGGGTATACTCTTGAGGCATACTTCTTTTGAGGGATCATTTTCACAGGGATGAACTTGGGAGAGGTCTAACCTGAAGGAGCACACTGGGAGAGTGAATGCCTCAGCTCTCTTCACAAACGATCAATACGCGATTACATGTGGACGCGACCGCTGTCTTTTTTTATGATGCATTTTGAGTCACGCAGTAACCTTGACTTGTACATAGTATGGTATCACTATGGGGAGGCCGAGTCAGTAGGGGAGCTGTTCTTCTTGTATTATGTAATTCATAGAAATCGACTATGTTCACTATTAGAAGGTACAAATAGGCTGAACTACCTCAAGGCGACGTACTTGACCACGTAGCTTAAGAGGGCACATGACACGACTATGTTCACTATCAGAACTTAGCAGCGTCGTCAGGGATACACGCATGACGTGACTATCTACTTGGACAAAAAATCTATGACTTACTATCAGACCCTTTACCTTGTATATGTAAGCACCGTTTCTAAGGCCAACGTGGGATCTACGTGCCGAGCGACGGCTGACGATGCATAGGGAAAAGCATGGCGGACTCAACGGTCTCGTAATGGGTTCTGACCAGACGACCGTAATCACAGTCGGAATGGAGAAGACGATGACGTTTTGTTATGATGAACGATATACAATGAAAATGTGTAGCACTAACTTAGTTATTATTGCTGGTCCCAATCCCATGCTCTGTAAAAATAGAAGTGTAGAAGTAGTGATAGATGAAGATGGTCCCTTTCCCGAAATGTTCTGTCCTACCACTTCGAGCTGGTTTTTTTGTTGAAAGACGAGATACAAGACATCAGCAAGGTCCTCGTAGGCAATGATCGCAGATACCAACACAAGCCATTTTTTCTCTGTTGTCCTCGTAGGCAATGATCGTAGATACCAACACAAAGAATTCTTTCTCTCTAACCTTAGGACCTCCGACAAGCGGATGCTAGTTACTACATTGATATTCCAGATGAAGAGGTCCTAGCCATCGACATGAGCAGCAACGAAAAGCACCTTGTGACTGGTGGAACGGGATTGGGAGTCAAACTCTGGGATGTGCGTAACGTACATTATGGCTTGTGGCTGTGGTCCACCTTTTGAGCATCACTCAGCATGTACTAGTACAACTAGAACAACTTGGCAATCCCAAACAATCTTGCTCCCCGCATGTACAACTAGTACTAGAACAACTTGGCAATCCCAAAAAATCTTGCTCCCCGCATGTACAACTAGGACTAGAACAACTTGGCAATCAGAAACAATCTTGCTCCCCCAATCTTGCAAACAACAATAAACTTGGCAATCAGAAACAACAATAATGCTCCCCGGTTCTAAGACACACAAGGTCCCCTTTCTGTGGGTATGGGGCATAGTCGCGATATCGTTTCCGTTAAGTTTGCCCCGGATTGCAAACAGGCAGTGTCAGGTGCTCACGACCACAGCATCCTAGTCTGGAACCTATACGACGATGCGCCTCCTGCGTGATTCACATCTCATCAGGTGTTGATCAATCACGCTGCGTGAAGAGGATCGATTCACATCTTGATTCACATCTCATCTTCAGGACATCTCATCAGGTGTTGATCAATCTTGGATAAGTTTAGCTTTAGTTAGTCATGTACTTGATCTAACAGATGATCGATCGGATTATCTTCTTGTTTTCTCCTAAAGATGTTGAGGTGAGCGTGAGGGGTCTCATTGTGGAAATACTGAAGAACTGTTCTTGGAAACACGAAATACTTCTTAGGCACGTATTTTAGACACGTAATGGCCGTGCCGAGTAGCAAGTCGCAATTCTATCTGTATGTTGTTGCCCATGTACGTGCTAGTATCGTTCCCTCTGGTTTTAGTAGATCTACTTATTTTGAGCTTTCTTGATGTGATGCGGGGTCCGCAGTCCACAGGCACTGATGCCATACCTTGAACAAGACAAACTTAATAACTAATATTCTAGTTCTACGTTTCTTTACTTTTCACATTCAACTACTAGTACAACTAGCACGATTACAAAAATTTTGACCCAGAAGAAATACAGTAGAGCAGTAGCTGGACCCAGATCTGAATTGGCAGTAGAATCTACTTACTTCAGACAGTATACATAAGCAAGAAATTAATCTCATGATACTGATATGTTTGGCATTTTTTTCAAAAAGAAATAATACACTTAGACATCGTGCTTACCTGAAATGATCTTTCTGGATAGAAAAACTTCTGTTAAATAGAATGTCTTAAAAACGACCGCCCACCACAGAGAGTTGTAAGGATTGAATTATGAAGTCTTGCAATTATAAGGGAGGAAACAGTTGTAAGTACAAACTCTGCACCTCTGAGAGGTGTAATTGAAAGAAGTATTTTCTCTCCTAATGGCGCAGGTGGTAGAGATTGGTCCCCATCATCATGGCGTCTCTTTTTATTTTTAAGTTTAACAAGTCTACTTACGCGGCCACAACCGCATGCACATGCCGAGCATCTGTTTCGCTGCAAGTCTGAATCTGTCCCACCGAGAACGAAGTCGCGAGACACTCCTGAAACGGAATCTTCTGTGAAAATAGATTGTGCAGTGACCGAGTAAGGATTTCAGCAGAAGATGATGTACGAGATCCAGGAGGTCTACTGTCGGTTGTACCCTGTGTGCCTAGTAGTTTCCTCTGCAGTAGTGTAACATGTCACCAGACCTCCACTTCTTGTTGGAGAATTTTCGTCAATCGCCATGCCGAAAAAAAATACAAATAGTAGAACATGAAAAATGCAGTCGTCGCTCAGTCAACATGCAAGTCGGGTACGGCCAGTGCTTGTAATGTGTCTCAAATTCCGAGATACAGCAGACATCAAGAATCTCGCTGTTCCTCAGGCTGTTATGCAGCATAGATGAAGGAAGAGAATTGCTACAACTGCATATAAATGAATCTTAGGTAGATCATTGCGTGTCGAGTAGATTTACATCATCATCATAAATGACACTTCTAGAAGAAGGCTGACTAATAGGTAGTAAATCCATCGGTAGATGAAGTGCTAGTGCCGCGATCATTTTCACTTTTATGTACTATTTGCTTTCGCCCAAACAACAACGATTCTAATCTACCAGAAGGAGAAGACACCACAGAAGACCAGGAATATAGTAGAAGTGCCAACAGGAAAGGGATTACGGCGTTAGGCGGGTTCTCAGAAGTAGAGCTAGAGGATCGTTATGGAGAAAATTTACGCCTCTTGCAGAAGCTGGTGCTGTGCGAGATCGTACTAGGATGTTGGAAGGGGAGGTTGGCGTTGTTCGATGCTTTGAGTTTATGGAAGAACAATCAATAAATCACAATTACACGACTACAGTACGTAGGATTAAGCAGCTGTTGCATCTTCCATGAGAAGAAACAGAAATTAACCAACGACCACAACCAGAACCAAAAGAACATGGATTCTCTTGTTCATGGATTCTCTTGTTCAAAAGAAACAAACAAACATGGATTCTCTTGTTATAAACATGTAATATCCGGCATCACCGGATTATACCACAACATTTCATTCATCTCCACCATATTTCATTCTGTCCGCATTGTGGTCAATTGCTTCGGACTGGCTTGGATATCTATCCGGAACAGCACACGATCCTAGACTTCCCTCTTTTGACTTTACTGCAAAAGAAGGCCTTTCTTGGTGTCACGTTTTTCGAGGATGGAGACGACCGGGAAGAAGAAGAAGAAAGGATCTTATGACCAGTGAGGTCATTATTCTTATTGGAAGAAGAACAAACTAATTGAACAAATGCTGGAAATGCACTCGAGGTGGACGATGCTGCATCATTATGTCTCTAGTAAATCATTGTTGTTTGCGAAATGCACTGTCTCCCACGCCCAGACTGTCTGGAGCCATGGCCCCTGAAACCAAGCCAGAAATCTTCTAATTCCAATTCTAATCTCTAATATGAACTCGCGGGAGTAGCACAACATCAACAGCCAAAGAGGATATTCCCGCTGCGTTTTTATTGGAGAAATTGGAGGAGACTTTGAGCGCATTGTCCTTCACACTGCCTGCTGCCATAGTGAAAAGACTAGAAGGAGCACAGAGACATGTATGAAGACAGGGAAAGGGGAAACTATGGTCAACATTTAGTGTCCATCATTCTCGGCATCTTGGTCCCCTTTTGTTCCCCTGTATTCTTCTCATGAATATTACAAGGTAAAAGGGACCCCAAGAAAAGGGGGGCCGAGATGTAATCTAGCAGACTCTAAGGAGAGATCGCTCACTCGTGATCCTAGAAGTGTCATTATATACTTTCTCCTAATGCGTCGAAAAGATTCCTTACTTGTGATAGAAGTCTATCGTAGTACAACTTATTCGAGAACGTCAACAGTATGCTCAAGGAGGTCATGAGCAGTTAGCAGCTACTACCTACTAAGTAAGTTAGAAATACAACAAACTAAATGTTGTTGCCGATACAGAGGAGAAAAATCTACTGTGTCGAGTGCTATCGGATTGCATTCCTTGTTCTAACCCTCGTCCTCGCGTCTACCTCCTATCCGAAGGATGAAGAGGACCCCCTGCGGGAAGCTTTGTTGGACTTGCTACTTTTTCAATCTGCTTCGGATGATTCAGATGACAAAGAACTTGAATATTGGCAATCTATGACACGAGAAGGTGTACTCATCGTCAGAAGATTTGCTACTTCCCTGCTCAAAAAATTTGAGCTAAGTACTTAGACTTGCTTAGTAGTACTTCTAAGTTGTATGAGGAGCTTACTTAAGTTTATTAGGGGTAGTCAAACACAAACTATTTTTAGCAGCTCAAGTCGGGCATGCTAAGTGAACAGGCCAACGCCTAAACCACTAAGCCAACTGCGCAGTTAGCTTAGAAGTGGCTTAGGCGTTGGCCTGTTCACTTAAGTCACTGAGTATGATGAGTGCGCCTTTTCGTGTCATACAATGCATGTTATTACTCCAAGACGTTCCGGTTCTACAGTTCGCGCAGAAGATGGGTTTTTTGAAGGAACTTTTCGCTTTGCACGAACCAGCTGAACTGAAGATGCTTTTCGATGAAGGGCTACCCCACATGGCGTATTTGATTGTTATGAAGCACGTTTGATTGAGGGTCTACCCACATAGCGATAGCACATTTGATCGTTATGTGGAAAATTGATTATGCCCTTCGATGAGGGTCTTCCAACAACACATGATGTTAACATGTGATCAATAGGTCTGCATACCTTCTAACATGAGTGCAAAATCCAGAGAAAAAATCGAGGAGGCGCGAGATTGGGCCGCGAACAGTTTCGACATGAAACAGTTTCGAGATCAGATGGCACAAGTAGATGCCACAACTAGTACCTTCGAGATGAACCCAACAAGAACAGCTGCACCAAATCTAAAACAATTTTGGCTTGGAAGTTGACCCATCTAGGAGCATATCTATGACCTTTTCAAGGAAGAAAAGGATAGATGTGCAGCTGGATCGGTCAACCTGCAACCGCTAAAACAACAAGAAGATGAAGAAGACGCCATCGAAATGACTACCAGCAACCAGCTGGGAAGCGTCATATCGTCCCAAGTTCGCGGGAGTCAACCTCTACTGCGAGGACCTGATGGAGGTGGAGATGATGGCACAGTACATCTTCCCCGACTTGTTGAATCTACTACTTTACAACCTGAATCTACTTCACAACGACCTGAATCTTTTCTACAGCCTTCATCCTTTGCACCCAGACTTTCTGGGCAAGAAGATCAAAAACAAAATGCGCAAGATCAAGAGGGACATCCATCTTTTTCACCTGAAGCTATATTCATGGGACTGGGAAGGGATAGCTTTGCCAAAAGAATTGTTAAGGCTACTCCAAATATCTACAGCACGACTCGTAGGTACTGCTACTTGTACTTACTTTACTGTAGTAAGAAAGTATGTTTATAATATTACAGAAAACTTTAATATAGACAGTGGGAAGGTGGGCACGGTGGGCGGATCCTTGGCAGACATGCGGAGCACGGTTGGCGCACGCTGGGCGCGTATGGCGTTGCCCCGCTGCTTCAGATCATGCGCAGGGCCGCAGACAAGGACCACCCGGCGCTGCGCTCCTGTGCGTGGTGGCCTCGTTCTCGCTGCTTGCAATGCTTCGCTGCTGCATCGCATGCACTGCGTCGCGGCCTGGGTGTGTACAGTGCTGCTGTGTGCAGTGCTCTGCTGCAGTGTTCGGCGCTGCTGGTGGGTATTTCCAGACGGGTCAGTAAGTGCGCGCCCGGATTCGTATGCAGCTTGTTGCGCATTTAAGGTTCAAACGCTTGCTCTGCCAACCGGCTTCAGAAACAGGCGCCCGGAGAGCGCTTCGATTTTTGACCCCCGGCCTCACGGTGGGAGCACGGTGGGCGAAATGTTTGGCAGAAGAGGCACTTTGAGGTCGCCCAGCGTGCCAAGCGTCCCCAGCGTGCCAATTGTGGCGAAGGAGTGAACCTCTCTCCTTGACACCAGGACAATCCAAGAAATTCAAAAAAGTATGTGACTCTACTCAAGAAAGTAGATAATGCGGACGCAGTAGTGCGTGGCTCTAAGATTGAGGAGTACACCAACGATTTTCAATTGGTGGAATATTCGACGTTTGCTCAGCTCTACGTGAGGACGCTGGCAGGCTGGCCTCTTCTTGCAGCAATCACTGCGCTTCCTTTTTTCTAAGAAAAAGGGTAGATGCCGAGGCAGAAGTAGACGGGATAGAGATCATCAATCTACTCGTGAACTTGAAGTAAAAACCGAGTTAGAAATGACTGTAGGAGTAGGAGAGGTACCTTCAACAAGTCAGTTTATCGAGTATAACCAAATCTACATCAATCATTTTTCTTTAGTGGAGGTTTCTAGACTCCATTCTTCTTCTGCTGTGGAAAACTCACTGACTCTAAACTCCATTTTTCTTCTGTGGCGGTCTTGCTGGTCCGCAATCTGATTTCACATTAGGAAGTCGCCAGAACCTGATGCAAGCTTTCGGCTTAGACGTTTTGGGGGACAATCTGAGTCCTCTGTTGAACTTGGCACCGATCGATTTTGGGGATGTACGGGATGACCCTGAAGGGCAGGATGATGCAGCCGATGAGAATCGTCGTGTGAATTTACCACCAAGAGCAGCAGCTTACTCAACAACTATTGATCATCTTCCTACTCGTCAACTACTCGACGAACAAGAACAAGATATCACTAGACGAGACGGACTGGTGCAGCAACAGCATGATGTAGTTAACGACGCAGTAGAAGTTGAAAAAGTAGTACTAAAAGAGGACGATTACAAGCACATAGAACTAGATGAAGAGCCACTAGTAGAAGTACAACAACAGCAACATACTCCGGACTCGTCTGGAGGTGTACTAGGGAGACGGGGAAGAATTTCCTCAGGAGAGGAGCAGAAAAGGCGAATGCTCTTAGCACGGAAGGCAAATCTGTATCAGCTTTCTCAGCCTGCGGAGAAGAGTCAGGCTGCTCTCAGAGATGCGGCAAATTTACGCCAGCAAGAAGAGGACGCTTTGAGCCGGGTAATTCTACCGCCACACGCGTCAATGAGCCTGAGCAGAAGTATGAAAATATCAAGGACAGATGGGGAGACCAGATTGTGGTACATCGACGTCTCGCTTGCTCTGACGCTTTTTCTGACCGTTGCCTTGTGCTTTTTCGTACTGTTCCTGAAACATCACCTAGCCCTAGCCCAAGTCCGTCTGAGGGAGAACCGAAAAAAGAACATGCAGACTTTCTCGAAGCGCTATCCTCGCACGCATACAAAAAGGACGAGTCATGGTTCCCGAAAGAAGGAGGTAGAGTTAAGGCGACCGCCCAAGCATCCTCAACGCCGTCCCTGCCTTCTTTTTCAAGGGGGGAAAGGGCTCAGGGATGCACCCAGGGATGCGACGTGGCAGCTGCAGCTCCAAAAGAGGAGGAAGAAGATGAAGATGATGAGGTAGGACAACGCGGCGACGAGTCTGATACCTCCCAAGAACAGCGGTCATCAACTGTGACATTTGCCGGATCGACATCGACAAGAACCACGACGCCTGATGTTGATTTTTAAGGCTCCTACAATAATTCTGTACTTATATATCTTTTAGTACCTACTATCCTTCCTTTTTCTTTTCCTAGTTATCTTGGCTCCCCCCGTATATTATCTGTAACCCATGATCTCGGTAATGAGTATAGAGAAATATTATCTAATGTGACCCATCTACTTACTCTATAGTTATAATCTAGTAGAGATCCCTATCCCTTGATGTTGATCTAGAAGATGTACTGGAAGATCGTCCCTCGCTGCACTTATAGAGATCCATATCACGTGGATACTCTTGAGGCATCTCCTCCACAGCAGGGGTTTAAAGAGTATAAATTAGAATGAAGAAAAATTTGGGATAGCTATAGTTCCTTCTAAGTTCTTTCGCCAAGTCCTCCAACGCCGGATGTAGTTAATGCAGCAAATAGACGCCGCATTGGGAGACAGGCAGACATAGCAGATCGGGTTGCGATGTCGATAATGCTGGAACGCGAGTCATTGTCGGATATTTTAGCTGCAACATTTTATGCTTTTTAGAATAGCTGCCTGGATCCCTCGTCTTCTGATATGTGTGACACCCCTTATAAACTTGTTAGGGGACATCACAACCACACCCGTGCTCCTCAAGCTTGGGAGAAATGAATCGCTACGGGGAAACCGCTACAGATCGAGACGCAACAGATCCAGTAGTTTTAAGCATTCAAACATTGCGCGGGAGTGATCCAAAAAAGGACTTTTTCGATAAGAAGCTTGGAGATCTCAGCGATGCTCTACTCGCATTAGAAACTCAGGGAAGAACAGAGCAATTGAATTTGCAGGGCGATTTCTTGAAGAAAGTAGGTTTGAGAAGTGAACCTGAAGCTGAACGTACATCAAATACGTCAACGTCACTCCCCTCAACAAGCAGGAGAACTGCAAGAAGTCCTCTCTTAGAGGGCAGTACGAGTGGTGTCTACTATTGGCACTGCTTACAGAACTTTACAGAGACGACATTTCAAGAGGCGGCAGCTAGCAACGTTCTCGTGCCGTCATTGGTTGCGAGATTCGCGCTCGTTTTTCTCCTTTTGTGCCTTCTCTCTTAAGAAAGAACTTTCCATCTTTCTCCAACAGACTCTCCATCATACCTCCACGCTCCATCTCTTGTAACTCTCCTTCTTGTTCTTGTGGAACATAATCAATACCCTCACATGCTCGTGGAACATAATCAATACCCTCACATGCTCTAACTATCCTTCTTCCTGTTCAGCATCATGAAGGGCATGTACAAGCTGCAAAACCACTTCGAGCATCTAGTAGCAACGCGAGCCGAAATACAGGAGGTGCTAGGGGGGTCCTTGGTCTGGTACCTCCTATACACAAACGTTCCTGCGTTATGGGTTGTACTAGAAAAGAATATTCATACATTCTAGAAGTAGGTCAAGTACAACCTGTAAGAAAATCTACTCTCTCCCGGCTCTAACAGGGTTCCGGTAATGCTCGATGTGAAGCACTGACCTCTAGAGAAGGTCACTATGATCGTCGCCACATTCAAAATTGGGACAGAGGCGTCCATCCTTTTTCTTGTGACTTCCACCAAGAATATCTACTAGACTCTTTCTACCATTTATATGTAAGTACCACTGGTGCAACAGGATCCTCTAGCTTCGCTTCGTCCACAGCTGCTATGCATTTTTCAACCTCCTGCTGCACTGGCAACATCCTTCATTCCGTCTATATCTTGTTGCTCAGTTCTCTCCTTTGGTTAGGGTTGTCACTGTAGCTCTAGGATCCCTACAACCTCTAGCACCACAAGTCTTATTCTATTGCAATCTTTGCGTGAGATATATCGCGTAGACCATCTATGCCGCCCTTATGGCAGTCTCGCACTACAAAAAAAAAAGCGAGATTAATTGTATTGTATTGTATTGCATTCCTCACCTACCCTCAACCTCTAACACAAGTCCTATTCTGCTGTTTCATGCCACTGTTTGTGCAACCTGTGGCCTATGTGCTGGCAAAATTATTGACCAACCTCGAAGGCCGACTCCTGCGAGATGGGTACAACACGTCACTGGGGCTGAAGCGAGCTTTTCTTATGTTCCGTCGATGTGAATGTGTTGGTGTTTGTGTCTGTGTTAGTGTTTGTGTCGTTGTATGTAGTGATAAAGATTATAAAGATAGGGAACATCTTCTAGCATTTTTCTTCTTATGAATCACCTAAAAATGTCGTGAAAAGAGGTCAGAAGATGGACGACTGAGGTGAGAGGCGCATACGATGATGTCCTTGGCTTCTCCAGGAGGTGAAACCAAAGTAGATCAAAGCGTAGTTAGAAGTTGCTTTGTTGTAGCTAGTTGTCCGTCCTAGGACCATCTAATGCCTTGGTACAATCATGTAGCAGGCGTCTCTTCTTAGCAACATTCCTGATCTTCAACTTCATGTAAGAATATGAATATCTTTCTGTAGGTGTCCTCTAATGCCCTCGATGCCATGGTCCAACTATCTTGGGTTATGTACCTGATTTTAGTGGAGAATGAGCCAGGTCGAGCCAGCTTCTACGGTTTGTTCGACCTAATCCTGCGATTTTTAAGGCTACTGCTACTAGTGTATGATAATCACAGCTGTCCGCATATGGACAATGCTGAGTGGACAATGCTTTCCCTTTGAAGTCTGTCAGTGTCTACGGGATCATCTTCACGGAAGAAGGAACAAGGGGAACCCAGTAGACCCACTCAGCCTCCACAGATAGCGAAAAACTACATCTTCTAAGCTTCGGCGTAATAAATCCGATTGTGCGATTGCTCCCCTATTTTTGGGGCCTCTATTGTCAGATGTCAGCGGAACGAGACCTGGTTGGGGAAGAGGAAAAGCATCAAAAGATATTTTATGGTGATTGATCTAGATCTTGTAAATGGATTATAGAATCTCGGATCATTAGAGGAGTCGAAACCTTGACATCGCGGTTGTATTCGTTTTGTCGTGTTAGCAGGGTAAGAGAACTTCTAGCAACGCCAGCGCGATCAAAACTTCGCTCTATCATATATCGTGCTCATTCATATTTATATGGCTTAGGGCTGGACGGTGCCCCCCCTGTGGTCTGGTCTGTGGTGGCGCGCGCGCGCGCATTCCCGCGCGGAATCTAGTGGGGGAAGGCGTCCAAACTTGGCGCGGGCCTCCCCTTGGGCCTCTCAGCGGGTTCCTCAGGGACCTCCTGGCCTCTGCTGACCCTCGCAGGCGGGAGGCCTCCGGGGTAAAAGGGCGCCGAGGGCGGCCACGGTCGCAACAGCAAGCAAGCCAATGACCAAGGGCCTGGAGGGAGCAAGCTGCACGGCTCAGCAGGGGGCCCGGCCCCTCGCCTCCTGCCGCCTTCAGAGGCCTTCCAACACCGGCGCACTGCTGCGGCGGCGACGCATATCGGAGGCACTTAGGGCACAGGCAGGCACCTGGAAGGGGGCGCGGGCGGGGATTTGGGCTCCTTTTGAAGCCTCCCACCTACATCGGGGGCCTGTAGGCAACAGCCAAGCAGCGGGAAGGAAGCGGAGGAGGCTACTTGGCCGCCTCTTGAGGCCTTCCACCTACTTACATCGGAGGCCTCTAGAGGAGAGCCAAGCACCTGGAAGGGAGCGAAGGAGGCCACTTGGCCCCCTTTTGAGGCCTTCCACGCCCGGCAGACGCCTCCAAAAGGGGTCCGGGGCTGCCGGTACCCCCCCCTACGCTAGGGGGGGCACCGGCAGCCCCAAGCCCTGGATCATATATGAAAAAGAAATCTTAGGCAAGCTGCCGAACAGATCCGATTTCGAGTCGTCAGCACATTTGAGACGAAGACCAAGACCCTCGTCTGCGAATCTTCATCATCCTCTCTCGCTCTAATCTCCTCTCGACGCGCAATTGAATGTGCGGAGAAGAACATTGGACAACTATTTTCTAGCCATTTCGTTTCCTTATTGGGACCGACGTGTGGACCTCTATGAAAGAAAAAAGTGCACTCACACTCAAAAAAAGTGGCTATTTTCCTACAGAATGAAATCATAGTCGATTCCTTGAGTGTGAGTGCACTTTTTCGCTTCATAACCTCTATGGAGAATACATGGAGCTTTTCGTTTCGTTCTGCTATGTTTGTTTATGGAGCAAGGAGAAGGATCTTCCAACGGACTGTGAGTTGTCTGTGTGTCTCTCTAGTAAATAGTCTCGAGGCCGTCTCCATAGACACACCGTTCGTCACTATCTTGTCTTGCTGGCAGTGGAGTAGTACTGTCTAAGACACAAATGAGTGAGCTAGTGCATCTAAATGCTTTGGTACTCATACCAGGGAAAGATCTTGCGTTGCATCAAACGTTTAACCTTGTTGTAGCTTTTTTTGAGCTTCTACGGCAATCATGCGAGGACTGTTGCAACAGCAGCATCGTTGTTGTTTATTCTGGTAAAAACTACAACATGTATCAGAACATCAGTAAAATGTTGATATTCATATTTGTTCCTACATACGCCCATATAGCGGAATATCAGAATATCCATCAGCCTAAACGAACTCTCTAACTTGCCTCCTCTTCGTTTTGTTACCAGTGTTGATTCCTGTCGCGTGGCTTCACATGTGGCTGCATTCGCGGACCCATACGCTGACCCTCACAACCCTCAGCCGAAGAAATTACAAGACATCGGGATTGACGAAAGTTATGATTTTAAGATGGCTGACAGATATCCAACAGTGTAGGTTTTTAGAAACAGAAACAATTCAACTTGAAAAAACTTGACAATTCGAGAGTGTAGGTGTTTGCTTTTTTTATCCACTACCTGACAACCGTTCTTTATTGTGTCTCATATTTTGCGGAATCAACATACTAGCAGCTAGTCCGACTCAAATCGATCAACAACTTTTCCGCAATCGACCACAAGCTTGTTATGTTTTTACATGCATGTAGTGTGAAAAATCTATGTAATATTACACCTTCGGACGAGTCGAGCAGGTCCTAACCGATCTTCCTGGAACTAACAAGATTACTGCTCCTCGCCTCTACGTTCTAAACGAAAAGTCCTCAGCGTTTTCGTTACTCTTCACGCGGCTGCCAGCTTGCTATTTTTGACATGGAACTGGGCCTACGTTTCAACCCGGTTGATTAAGGCAACCAAGGAGGCATCCTCAGCATCATCCCGAAGCTCTTTTTCAAGGGGAAAAGGACCCAAGGGTTAGGGTTTAGGGATGCTACGCGGTAGCTCTAAGTTGAACGTGGTCAGCACTTCTCGCAGCACGATCATCATGGTAGCTGGTTATGATACATCAGGACTAATGAAGCGAAGAAGATCGAGTCGTTTAGTACTGACTATGCATATATTGAAAATGATTGAAGCAGGACTCTTGGGTTTGAAGGAGTTTCGTAGCAAGGGTGAAATGCACGACGTGCCTCGTAGATTACTCTTGATCTGAAGAATTGTCTCGGTATTTGGTAAAAACCTGAAGTTGATCACAGGGATTCTCTTCCTGTTTTCCCTTAATATGATCAAAATCAGGTCATTGAATCAGGGAACCGAACGATACATCGTGATCGTTGATCTTCAAGTTCCGCGATTCATTTCACATGTTCTTCTTGTGAGCCTGAGTGCCATTCTGAACAATAACAGTGAACCCTTCCTCCCATTCTGAGTATCATGAACATAAATAATAGCCCAAAAAGATTCTTGCTCTTCAGTTTCAGTAGTAATATGGGTAAACATTAACATACACCACGCCTCTGCTCTATCTCATCCCAAATTCCAGTATCTTCCCAATCTACATCTGTTGAGTGAACCCCTCATCTAAATCTAAATCTATAAATCCCAATGATCCCTATCCTTCATACTAGCGCATTATCTGTGACCTTCTTTCTGTACATGCACCTTCTAGTCCCGCCTAGGCCAGAGCATCTACAAGTACGCCGTCTCCTGGACCGGGCAAGGAGTAGATTGCGCAGTTTGATAGGAGGATGAAAAAGGGACGACCTACAACAAAAAACATCAGTGGAAGAGGACTACTAACATTTTTGATTAACCTGAAATTAGCTTCATCTTGAAATTGGTGTGGAGATACGAATCATAATATATTTGTACGAGCACAAATCCGACTCAACTAACTACGTCATCATTGGTTCGTACCGGCACGAGATTGAGATTCTTGTTACTGCTTCATTAATATTGATATTCATCTTAGTAGAAATGCTGGAGAGAAAACACGCATGATCTGAGACCTTTCTCACTTCGTTGATTGCTGACAAGGACATCATCTGTTGCTGTTGTGCTGTCTGATGTGGACACACATGGATTTCTTGCTTTTCCTGCAGTTGATTTTGGAGGTTTTTCGAAGGCAGTAAACAACTCGTTTGCGCAGTGCAGATCTTCTTTTCGGTTCCCTCCTACTCTGTCAAACGAGGGAAGTGCGTCAGCGTCTGTAGAAGACTATGAACTGTCCTAGAGGAAAAGGATCTGTCAGGAATAACACGGTTTGGCTGCGACTGCTGCTTGTTGTAGACTTTGACTTTTTCACATCTGTTCTTGGTTTCACCACTGTTCAGCTTCAGTTTGCTAGCAAAAATAGAAGAGCGACTGACATTAATATGGCGTCACATCAAAACACGAACTAAGTAAACAGAAAAAACAAGCTCTGGTCCTCTTCCTAATGTAGGTGTCACTCGGTTCTTGAAAAGGAGAGTTCTAAACAGAAAAAAAGACACAAAAAAACTATGTTGGCGAATTGAAGCGATCAATGGTTAGAATTCACAAGCGAACAAATTTTCGACATTGTCTACTTTTGTTGTATTGAGCATGATACAAATGAAAAAGCATACCCCTGCTGCAGCGGCCCGATAACTCATGCAGTAACATTAGTAAGGTCAACAGTATTGACCTAAACCTATAGTAGGTAACCCCTAGAACGATCAAACTTGAACTTCGGACTGGGACACCAGCTTAGCATTAGATAAAACAACATGTCGTTCTCTTTTGACTTCGTCGAGAGCTGCGGTGACTCCTGGTAAGGTACGTGGCCAACGAGGCCTTGCGGATGAAGATCTTACCGTTTAGGAAAAATGGCAAATCCCTGAGGGAAGTGGCCGCCGAACAAAAAAACGACAACATCATTAAGGAAGCTCAAACTGATTATAATTCATTTAAAGCGCTCTCTCCTAGAATAGAACAGTAAACTCATCATGCAACTAAGTTCTCGGCACTTGTTCTCTTCAGCTTACCAGTCATTTCAATCGCTCATTTGGATTTGCTTCTATTTCCTTTACAACAATTCTGAAGTTATATATAAGTACATTTATTTCTTGTAATAATCTTGAGCTTCTCCGAGGCCCTCTAACTACAGTTATAAGACCCGAAAAAAAGAAGGACCTCGACCTACTTCTACTAGAACAACAGGACCTTCTACTAGAACGACAGGACCTTCAACATCACGACCTTCAGTGGATTGCGCTGATTGCTGTACTTTTGGTGATGACGTGTGGCCACTACCACATCACTGCTTGGTCGAAGAGAAGGATCTCCCCAATGAGCAGACACAACAACATGCCCCTCATGAAAATTCTCAAAGACCCGCCTCGTACTCTTTCGAGCAAAAAGATAAAGTAAGCATAGAAGAAGATAAACTGAGACATGATCGTGAAAAAGACGACTCCTACATCCAGCATGTTGAACATTCTCAAGTGGCAAATAGCAAGAATAAGACACAAGAACTAGTACTCCTACAAGAGACCTTTGAATCTACCTTCACGTCTTTACCCTCAGCATCGACTTCGAGTTCATCTCATCTTCATCATGCACTACATGAATCTGCTCCGAGTAGCTCCTCCTCCTCCTCCTCCGCTATCGCTGCCAAGCCAATCGGAACAAGAAACTTCAGCAGCAAAAACCAAGAAAGTCTCCAAGCAGATCGTAGAAATTCACCGAATAGCGTGGTCTTTGGGCAAGAACAGGTAGCATCATCATCTGCGACATCTTCATCTTCTGCTACAACTCGAGAGGCAAGAACAAGCAATAACAATAATTATATCAAGAAAGAAGAAGAACGAGGTGGACGAGCAGACCAGCATACTACAACTACTTCTTCCTCTAGTATCAAAGAGGACCAAGCAAAGGCGCATCGTGCCTCCTGTATTGAGGAGGACAGAGACAACGGGCACTCTTGCTGTCCACCTCGTGCTCTCTCGAAGATGCTTTCAAACGAATGCTCCCAGAAGTTTCAGGTTTGTTGCTCTCCATGCAGATCGAATGAGGAAAGCCAGGAGGGCACGAAAAGCGCCACGGCGTCGTCGTCGTTTATGATGAATTTCGAAAACTCAAAATAAGCAAGCTACTGGCTGAAATAAGGGAGGTAAGTAGTGATTAGTGAGTTAGTCGTAGTCTGCATGTGTCAATTAGAGCAGTTGGTGTCCAATTTCTTTGCAGGATGAAAAGCTGACAAAGGACTTGCTTACTAAAGATAGTATAGTAGGGCCACCATCTTTCAAATACTTATAAGAAACACTTAGTCCTCTCAGTTCTTCGCAAGACGAGGGTATCAAGAGAACAAGACAAGGGTTTAGGGTTTAGGGTAACATGCTAATACATACATACATACATACATACATACATACATACATACATACCTACGTACATACGCACGCACGCACATACATACACACACACATACATACATACATACTTAGTCTTAGTTCTTCGCATGCACATCTTCTACGAAGAGGATGATAACCCATGATCGCTCTAATCTTCCCGGCGGTTCCCCTAGGGCAGCCTCCACAGCTACGTCCAGGCGGAACGGCTTTCAGAAGCCACTGAATGGCTTACAAATAGCATCATGGACGCTGGTGTTTGCCAACTTTTTGCTCTTTACATTAAGACAAGAACTGTTAAGTAGTAACATGTGAACCTAGGTGTAACACACAGTCACAGACAAGAATCAAAACAGATGATCGTTCGTCTATGCGGCTAGGCTAGTAAGTAGTTGCATAGTCAAAGCAGCTAGAACATGAAAACCCTATCTGAACCATTATCTCTATTATCTTAACCTTTAGCCTCGTTTCGCCTGTATCTGTGGGACTAGAATATTAGGGCTGTGGCTAGTATCATCCGCTTTCATGATCTGTAGCCTACCTAGATGGATAGGTAGGCTATTCCTAGTATCATCCTTCTAAAGTAAATATGGATCTTTCCACAATGTTTTGCGGTGAGGCACAGTCGGATAGGAGTCAATCCCGCAGATGGGGACAGCACAGAACAGAATGCCGCATCCAAAAGTGTCTTGCTTTTAAGGGATTTGAGATTTTTCTACTTTTACTTTTATAGTAATTGTAATGATAACAAACTGGCATTGGGTATCCGTATCCGTTCAAGCATAACCTGAGCTAACCATTGCCATTAGGTGTCGGTATACATCATAGCTCTTGAATGTATTCCTGATACGAAGTAATCCCCTTGGGACTAGCTAAATACCTGGAGGTAATGGTTATGTTATCAAGGCCTTTGTTGTAAGGCGCCAGCCCTCGCTATTAAGGATAGAAGACTACTTAGGACTTCTACCTACTGGACGTAGACGAAGTAAAGCTGACTACCACCTAAAGTGACTACCAGATAAAAACTCTCCGCGCTCTAATACCTGTCATCCTCGGCTGTCTCTATTACGTGGCGCACTGGACGTTGTTTGTGTCCGCTTATATGGCTGAGGAGTGCGACCCAGTAGATCCTCTGGTCGTGTCACATGATTGTTATGAAACTGAAAGGTGCTTGAAAGTAGTTTTAGTTTTAGTGTCACATGATTGTTGTGAAATATGGTGCTGGAGTACTAGTGAGTCACTATAATTTATAATTTTGATTGTCATTTGGAGGAGCCATTGAGTTCATTTCGGTACGGATTTCATTCCCAATGCCGTCGGTAAGACGTGGTAGAGGAAGAAGATAGCAACATAAAGTAAACACTAGTTGCACAACATCAAGTTGTACAACATCAGTTGTACAACATCAAGATCCACCCTACTCGTCTGCTCATCCTGAGCCCATCCTGGTGACAGCTATAACATCTGCAACAACGCAAGCGCGATGGCGAGATTTCAGCAGAATGCTTGTTGGACATTGGAGACCACGACACCAAAGCAGCTGGTCCGAAAGCAGCTGCTTTGTTGGCAGAAAGACTGTTGAGGATAGGACTCAGGTATTGTGTTGGGTCTTCGAATTGTGTTGGATTTCATTTAACATTCCTTTCGTTGGATCAGATGAAGTTTCGTTGAACGGTTCCAACAGGGTAACGACTTTGACTGTTGAACTCTCTAACGCTAGTAAATTGATTTGGATATCATGACTACAACTTTGAGTACTTCTACATACTTACTATTACTAACTACTTACATACTCAATCGTCTTCAGGTCATACCCACCCAGCCGTCCAGTGACTTTACGCTCAACGCCACTGCATTGGCTGACAGAGCGTTTTGCTCATACATCATGGTCTGCGCAAAGCTACATAGCGACGAGCATAAAAGACATATTTTCAGCCACAGCAGGACGAAGGTACGCCGTAGACCCAGCGCAGGACTCCTCGTCAACTCAATTTATGCTGAGGGAGTGGTAAGTAGCAGGGGTTTCTTATATTCAATATATCAGTTAGCTCTAGGAGGTCTGGCGAAACAAGGTTTGCTTTTATTGTCAAAATGAAACCAGTATTTTGTGACATAAAAATTTGGGCTATGCTTATTTCTTCTAATCCACTCCTCCACTGTCCCGCTTGCCGCTGCAAGGTCAACTACACGTCCAAGCATTGCGTAGAATGTAATAAATGCGTGGTCCATTTCGACCACCATTGTGTCTGGCTCAACAACTGTGTCGGACAAAGCAATTATCATTATGGTTATACGAGTTGTGAGAGTGAGCGTGGGAGTACGTCTATCTTAGCCCTCAACGCCTTGCTCCTCTTCTCGTGCTCACAATCAGGGACCACGACGGACAACTAAGCTCCCTTCTATTTTCGGTATTGCAGCTTCGTACTCAATATCAAGCTCGTAGTCGTTTTGTTAAGAATCCTACTCATACCATGCTTAGATGAGGTTCCATCGCTTACAACCCTCATTCGGAATTATAATCCGGATAACAAGAAAAACCCTTGTAAAGACTAATTTGATTATGATATTATCACATAGAAATAGAGATAGAAATAGAAAAAACTTTTAGATTAGAAGCCAGAAATAAAAATATTATGATTTTTAGAGACCTTCCACGAAAGGCACTGCAAACGCCTCATGCTAGGCTCATTAATTCCTTCACTGATACATCTTCTCTGTTCTAATGCCACTATTTCCTTACGTGTATTAGCGCAGCCGTGTCCAGCTGTCTCTTCATCTCCATAGTTACAGCGGTCATGCTGACCGACTATTTCGCAGTGGTGCACGCTGACCACGGTGATGATTCAGTTTCCTCTTCAGGGGACGAATATTATCACCATATCCTTCGGAATCCAAGTTTTAGCGAGACGCTGTGGGATTGCGGGTTGCAAGGTACTCTGTGTACATAGATACAACAACATAGATACATAATTATTAGAGATAGAACAAAGCTAGACCACCTAGTTGTACGTGGCTACTACTTTACGACTACGAGGTCTAGTAGTACCACACACCAGGTTACACTGCCACAACGCGACGCACTTTCTGCACTGTTCAAGCTGGAGTAAGTATAGCGCTGGTGACGGTGAATAGCATCTTCTGCTTCTTAAATAGTCAGCTGCTTTTCTTAAGGCTAGTTTATCACCATGATCCCATGTGGGCCGACTATGCTGAGTGGAGCCCCCCTTTTTGTTTGTTAGGGGGAAACAGAAAGAACAAGAATAAGGGAGAACAAAAAGGTCAACTCAGACACTCAACCAGGGATTATAGTGTGGGACTACCTCTAATTTTCCTGCATGCCTACCTGAACTGGAACAATCTGACGACATACGAGTACATCATGATAAAGCTCGCGGACGAACAGGATAAGGATTATGAACGGATAAAACTAGCTACTGGCAGTCCTAGAAGTACTTCTAAGTAGCTTCGAACATGCACAGACCTGTTCTTCCATGCACAGACCTGACCCCTGAACCCCTAAACCCTTTCATACACAGAAGAAGAAGCAAGCAAAGGAGGAAGACACTTCTAGGAACTCTGGGACAAAAGACGTACAGTTGAAGAGCGGACGGCGATTGTCAGTGGCTAGGGGGTTTAGGGCATTACCAGCTGTGTTTGACTGGTTCCTTTTTCGGAAGCCGAAAACACGTGTCCGTTCAGTCGCAGACGGCGAAGGCAAAAGTAAAGATGAAGGAGGTAAGGATAGAGACTCTAATTCTAATTGTAGTTCTACAGCTAGGAACTTTCGTTGGTCATAGGGGTTGGTCACTGAAATCGAAGAGGGCCTCCTTGAGAGAACAGGGGAAAACGAAGGGAAAGGGGAGAGCCCTGGAGGGGGTCTCTTCCGTTCAGAGTCATGATGACCAAGGAATGCTGGGCTTTAATATTAGGAGTAAAGAAAAAGATAAGAACAAAAGTGACCATACGATTAGTACCATAGGAATGAAGAAAGAGGATCCCTCATCATCAACATCGACGCTTGTAGAGGGAGGAGGAGAAAGAGGACGAGGAGGTGACCCAAAGACGAAAAAGCCCTGTAGTAGTAGCAGCGGCGACGTAGCAAGCATAGGTGAAGTAGTAAACCTCGAAAAGAGTGCTGCATACTATTATGGATCCTTTTTACCGCTTTGTAGCGTCGTCGCAGTTTCTTCTTAGATAACTTCTGAAGCAACTACTACGACTACTAACTTAGACTCGAGCAAAAAGTAAACCTCTTCAAGAACCTGTTTAACATCGCATGTGAAACCCCGAGAACAATAAAAGCCCGTCGATCTTCCTCTAATCCGACCACACAACTACTACAGGCCAAGTTATTACATCTTCTGCAGCAGCGAGTGGTAGTGGATCTTCCAATGTCTTTTTCGTGAAAACGTTCCCTCAGACGAGGCAAGAAGAAGAGAGCACCCAACTTGAGGGCCAACATGCAGATTTCAGGCCGTCACCCACCTCATCTGATGACGAACTACTTCCTCCCAGTACTATTACTGTGACTGGTAGTAGAAGTAAGCAGGATTCTGGAGGTGGTCCTAGTGCTGGTGGTGGGAGTGGTACTAGCGCTGGTGGTGAGAGTGGTACTAGTGCTGGTGGTGGGAGTGGTGGGCGAGGTGCTTACCCAACTGGTAGAACTATTACTGGTGGTCATGTTGGCAGTACTAGTGTTCTTAAGCCGGGCGCTGGTGCTAGTGGCGGGCTAAGCATAACCAGTATCAGCAACAGCAGAGGGGAACGAGGTGAGCAAGGACCTCCACTGCCGTCTTCAGCTCAGGATGAAAATCCCCAAGCCTCTGGGTCTGGCGCGAACATGCCAATACATTCACCGCTGATTCAAGGCACTTCTATTAAGGTTAGATTACCACGATCCCACTGAGGGGAGTACGCTGAGTGGAGTCCCCCTCTATTTAGCTACTTTACCACGATCCCATGTGGAGTACGCTGAGTGGAGTCCGCCTTGATTTAGCTACTATACCACGATCCCAAGTGGAGTACGCTGAGTGGAGTTCGCCTTGATTTTAATAAAAGGCGAACTAAGGAGAACACAGGGCATCTCACTCAACCAAGGATAGTGAAAAACTAGCGCTAAACCTAGTAGAAGCAGCGCTGGCGGGACCCCTATAGCAGTGTTTGAAACAATAGGTCTTAAATATTGCGGACCAGCCGATCGTGAGGAGAGGTCCAGTGACTACAGATCGGGCATGATGCCTTCAGGAGTGTTACGGATGGCAATACTCGTAGTAGTTTTTACTTGTTTAACAGTTCTTGTGTAATCCTATGTTAGGTGCTACTGTACAGCAGTTCAGCTGTGCCAAAAGTTACCAAAAGTGAACATCCTAGAAAATAGGTCTGCTATCATTGCTTGTATTTCCCGGCTCTTATCTCTCGCTTACTAGTTTTTACTTTGACCAATTAAAAGGCCTAAGCAAATGGGTCGTTGTAGCGAAGTACTTTATCTCACGTACTTGATCAACAAGAATGGTGTTGCACAGCCTCTACTCAATCGCAATCTTTCTTCTACCTCGTTACGTTCTTCTAACAATCGGCGCAACGACATCAATCGCCAGCAGTGCTATAGAACGGAATAGCACAGTTCGCGGCGATCCCGATGCAAGTCCTGTGGAGTCCAGCGGATCGGGCCTATCCGTAGATGTAGGAGAGGTCAACCTATTGGCTAAGACAAAGTCGTTTACGACTGGTGGGGGACGTTAGGATTAGGTATCCATTAGACTTAATGTTAGGTATCCATTAGACTTAATGTTTGTGGTTGTTAGGTATCCATTAGACTTAATGTTACGTAACGACTGGTGGGGGACAGACTTAATGTTGGTGGTTGTAGTCGTCTCTTCTGTAGTTCATCCTTCTTAGCGAGGCGTGTGGCCGCAGCCAGCCCTATGAATGTACCTGTTTTTGAGCTATTACGTGTATAATAGATATGTTAATTATAGGCTTAGGCTCGTATCATGCCATGGCTATTTATTCTGTCTCATTTGATGATCTTATGGAACTAGAACTACTTCAATTTTTTAGATTTTTTCGCCGAAAGTAGAACTTACGCAATCTCAATCAAGAAGAAAGAAAAATCTCCATCTTGTAGTTATCATGATGAGTTTGCTTCCGCTCCTCCTTCACAACAACCTCTGCGCAAGAGCCGCGTTTGTACGCAATTCCGATGACCGTCTCGAAATTAACAATAACAGATTTTTTGACATATAAATATTTTCCGGTGTTGTTTTGTCCTTGACTGTGTTGAGGGCTTGAGCCACAAACGAGAGAGAGAGAGGAGAAACCGCCGACACCCGCGCCAACTAAGGCCAACGCGTTGAAAGTGGTGCCGGTGGGTGCCTTGTTCGCCTGGCGATCTTGGTCATTTTGGTGATCTTCATGCGTCTGATCTTTGTGACATTTCATGACTGTGACCTTGACAAACAAAATATCCTGTAGTAAGTACTTCATGAAGGATAATATGCAGCACGTGCACGGGGGCAGAGGAAGTAGCACAAGTACTACAAAAAGAGGACTCGTCGCTGAGGTTGAGAGATGATCCGTATTTTTGGTTGTACTAACGGCGTTTGATGACTCTGTCTCATCTCCCTGGACAAATATTTATAAGTACATTTTTTTGGCTATGGATTTGGCTACTAGATTTCGTATCATGGCCTCATTAACTTGTATGAGTATGAACCTGAAGTACACTACTTTTTCGACGCAGCTGCTTAGACGAACAAAGATGTTGAGCTTAGGTGCTGCTCATGCACTTCTTACCACTAGCACTACCCGAAACTAATAACTGAAGACTGTCGCGTCTGCGTGTCTGTTCTCGCATGAAACGAGGTTGTTTAAGTTCGGAGGATCGTGGTAGTGCCTGTAGTAATGCAGTCCGAGTAGGGTCTGTTCCAGCAACAGCATGATCAGGATCGTTTTCTTTTCAACGGATCATGATCATCATTCAAAATTATTATTCATAGTGGGATCCAGTACAAAAGGTGGCTTCAGATCACACAACGATCTACAACACGAAATGCCTCTCCTGTATTAAAAAAAAGAAAAAAGTGTTAAACTAACAAGTAGCACAATCACACACATCCAGATGACCCATCGTATGCATATCAAAGAAACGCATTACAACAATGAAGGCCGCTGCGCAGCATCAAACGATTCCACAGGGCTGGCGTCGAGGACCATCACGTGCGCCCCGCTTTTAAGGCTCCCCCTAATCCATCTCTTCTATAGGGATCCCTCAAGCATATGCACCCCAATACAAGGGAGACGCTGACGCATATGCTTGACGGATTTCCACAGGGATGAATAGGGGAGAGGTCTAACGCTTGAGTCAGCTGATCGGAGACGGTGATCAACATGTAAAAACACGCAAGAATGAGAGGACACAGTCGAAGAACAGTATCAATATGACACAAACAGCTTCTGAGCTAGATCATCACAAGGCGAGGAAGCAAAAGATAAAGGACAACTTTCAAAAGAATTACAACATCAAAACTCGAGGAAAACTACAATATGCTGTAACCACAACTAGTACAACTACAACGACCACGACGAAACTTAACAAGGCCAAAGACCGTCCCTACCTCCAGAAGAAAGGCAACACTCGTCAAAACATGCGTCAAAAGAAAGACGATAAACGACAGTTTGCTGAGCCCCTGAGCATTGTCCTACGAGAGCATGGCTATGGTACTATTAGTAATGGCTATGGTCTTGAGCATGGCTATGGTACTATTAGTACGTCTCAGTACAAGACGAACTACCTCCAGAATCAGCAAACAAGTCGTGATTTCTGGCGATCCATAGCCGAAGAGTTAACGACAAACTTGGAACGTCGAAGTCGACGTGATCTCTGTCTTGGTTTGGATGCCTTGTCGAAGCACTGGAAGAACGAACAAAAGTCAGATCAAGAGGGAGAGCATCATTCGCAAGAACAAGCTACTACTCCTAGAGAGACACAAGACGAGCAAGATGAAGCTACAGCTTTCTTTTTATGCAATCGTGGAGGAAAAATTTCTCATCAACTTTTATTTTTCTACAATATTATATATAATTGTCACGTTGTAGCACCAGTTGGTGTCAGCACGTAACACTAGTAGTTGATGTAGTCTGCTGAAACTACAAGAACTTCTGCTATTTACTTCGTTTTCGCTCGCTTACGCATACGCTCTAACAGAATCCGCCAATTCCCCCTTCTGTCGCAAACTACTAGTGCACCTGACTCCAGCACGACTTTCGCGGAGTTATCGTATGCAGGACACTCTTTTGTTACTTCAAAGTTTCTTGCGGGGGTCCTGCAAAAGTTTCACTGACAGTTTCGACGGTCAAGGCCAACAACATCGTCCAGTTCTACATCCCGTAGTCGATATCTTGTTGTCGGATATGGAAGGGAAATTAGAGAAGTTGAGAGGGGAACTACAACTACTTCAGCAGAGCTACAAGAGGTTGCCTGTCGTAGAGAACAAGAGGCTAATTTCAGTGGATCGTGCTGATACAGGTGCACGACGCGATGCTGGAGGCAAGCAAAGCCAGAGTAGAAGTAGAAAAGGAACAGACAATGCAGCTGCTCTTCGCACCGACTGCCTCCAGCAAGGTCAGCAGGCTTTAGAAGACCTAGACTCTTTGATTCAGTGGCTAACGTCTTCTTCTAGTACCATTTGTTCGGATGAGAAGACTACAACCAGGTATCATGGTCTTCGAATACAGAAATTGTTCCATCAGGCGATGGAAACTTGTGCCACTTCTATGTCTTATCCTCCGCTTCCGGACAAACATCGTGAAGGTCAGGATCAGGATCATCATATGAGTCTACAACAGACTTCCACTTGCTCTTTCTATGACCTCCAACTGAGCCAATTTCGTCTTCACGTCCGAACATTATATGGCTGCACACGCACAGTGGAAAGTTTTGATCTTTTGCAGCGGGTTGAAGCCAAGAATTGTTCAACAGGTGGAGACGGAGTACCTCAAGGTGGAGTGCAATTGCTTTTATGACGAGGCACCTGCTTCAACATCACGACCTCTAACAAGTTACTGCTCTTAACCTCTACGACCTCTAACAGTGTTGCAGCTAGCCGACCAGTATATATCTTCGCAAGGCACATCAAGCACATCCTCTTCCCCACGTGCGCCAACAGGGCAGGACGAGGGCGTGCGCCTCATCAAACGGGTAAGCAAGACGTGGCGTAATCTGTCGGAAGTTGATTGCTTGGCACTCCTATGCTTCTCGATAGGTCGTCTTTCGATATTAGAGCTGGAACTGAGACGGAGAAAGGCCCATAGAGAGAGAGCTTCGAAGAAAAAGAGTCGTATTGATATGGAGGAGGAGAAAACGGAGGATCCCGGAGTGATTAGCGCGGACGATGTCCCACAGCACGACGACAATGTGGATCATGAGCTACAATGTGGACCATCAGATGCCTCAAGAGGCACGAGCACTACTCTGCAGAGTACCACAGGAGCGATTGCCGCGCCATCAAAGGCGTTTCTGAAAAAGCTACTAACGCGAATAGCAGGAAGAATTGTCGTGTTGCAAGAGAACAATCAACAGCAAGCCCACAAGAAGAACGGCATGTCAACAAGAGCAAAAGTCGGTCTAGAAGACGACAAAAACAGCGACCTCATGTCAGTAGCACAACTAGCTGTAGTGACGCGGACATTCTTGGAGTTCGGGCTTTTCTCTGTACGCTTCGTCCTGCACCTTCTGAATATCCTAGGGCAAACCCCAGAATGGAAGCAAGTCCAACGTGAATGTGAGACCAAAGTTGAGCTTCAGCCGGTTGGGAAACTGAATGAAGTAGAGGTCTCATTTACCAGAAACGATCAGAAGGAGGATAATTACGTTGAGACTAAAACAACAAGTTCGGAGGAAACGGGCTACATGAGCACTTCTGCAGATTCACAAACCTCATTAGCTAGTACGAAGGTGATGACAATAGCAGACTACCTTGCTATGACGAGTAAAACCGACAGGGCTTCGAAGAGTACTTCTACTTCGCAAGAGGATGATCCCTTCAACACGACCTTTATTGATGAGAAGAACGCCCGGGGGGAGGAGCTCCACCGGCAAAGAACATCAAGACTCGACCAAACGAGTCTGAAGCGATGTATCCGCACGCTTCGAGGAAGCACTCGTCGGCTTTTGGCACTATGGAATGACAACTATACGCTATCTCCTGTTGAACAAGAGCAAGAATCAGAGCTACAGATGTGGGAAGCTCGATTGAACAAAGCGATGGACCATATTTTTGGAAATAAGGTAGCTTAGTCTGACTTTGATCGATGTGTTACTTTATCCTGGCCCAAGAACATCTAATTGTTCATTTTGAATTTTATTCGTTCTTGAAAAACAAGACGGATTACTTGTTACGCATTTTGAGATGCTGGCGGGGTTCTTAATCTGGAGTACACAGCAGCAGCTCGTCGATACGATATATTATTTCTAAAAGCTGCGCTCTATGATCATGAGTGTGCGATACACATCAGGTGAGTTCTCCGAGCGACTAGCGAAAAACGGAAATTTTCAAGAGCTGAAACTTATCTCAAGCGATGTGCTCAAGCTCAACATCTGTTCATCAATTTCTCATTGTCGGTTTCCTCCACGCCGCGACCCACTTCCCCTGTTACAACAATGAATTGTGAAACAACACCACTTCTTCGACCTCCACTAGTTGTTTTTTCGACTTCACCGTTGTGGTTATTAGCACATTGAAAAATACACACCAAATGGTTTCATAGAACACTTCTACATCAACGGTGCATGGACGTTGTAGGAAAAATGGCGAGCCGCGGCCTTCCTTTACGGATGGGCTCGCGAGAGTTTCTTGTTGCGTTTCGATCCATTTCACACCAGACATGCAGAGGACCACGACCGGAGGTCCTAAAACAAGCCTTCCTCCAGGATTCCTTGGCACATGCAGAGGTCCTAAAACAAGCCTTGGCAACCACGCCTCATCCTCAACACATCGCGATTAGGTCTTCCAGACGCCGTAGTCGTGATGAACTCCTGTTTATGCTAAGCAGGAGGAGAGCTTTGTCCTCACAAGCAGGAAAGGGTGGTCCGCAGAAGGATGCTGCGACATCAACGGCAGCTACTGCTGCAACTAATCCTAATGAAATGATAGTAGACGACCGAGATGAGCCTAAAAAGGACTTCCGACTCACAACTGAAGAAGCAGACAAGTATAATCGATGGAGTGTGTTTCCCAAAGTGTTTCTCGTGCAAATACCAACTTATGATCACAACTTTTACAACAGTTTGAATGATGTGCTAGCATCTCTTACTCCCAGAAGATATGATTCATTTTGCACGTAAGCTACATCCCGATGATTGATTATTTTGTGGAACAAGAATTGCTTATTTGTAAAATCCTGCGGTTAAGAAATTCTGCCATCTATTTGTATTTCACATTTTGTTAAGCTTAAGTCTACTTATATCTTCTAATCTTCCGGCGCCGTCTACGCCTGGTCGATGTGGGCACCCGATTTGTGCAAGTCATTGGGCGTCGTCTCAGCTGCAGCGTTGGATTGGAGTCTTGCTAGTGTGGGCATGACTTTCTCCAGTCTAGCAGTTGGATTTGGCATCTCTGTAGGCCTCCTGGGCCCTACAATGGAGAAATACGGTGCGAGGAAGAGCTCCTTCGTAGGAGGCCTCCTTTTTGGAGGTGGACACTTAGCTAAGGTTCCTGTAGTAATCTACTAGTCTACCCTAATTAAATGTCTCTGCTACCTCTTGAATGGGTACACTACTACTACTACTACTCTAATCTATGAAACGAAAATTTGTTATCATTCCTTTTTCTTTTCCTAGTTAGCTTGGCTCCACTCGTATTTATTATCAAGTTTCTGAAGAAGAAAAGCATGATAATGATAACAGATTTTCTTTTCATATAATCTAATCTTTGAATACTGTCTCTGAACACGTCTCCATGTATGGTTCGATCACAAGGATTCCCTTCTTGTTTTCCTCATGAAGATCGAAATCAGGTTACCAAATACCAGCACCATTCACTCTACGGCCATCATGAACGATGGTAACAGAGACAGCAGCAGGCATCCACTGCATAGCTCTTGAAAACTATCCATGGGGTAGTACAACTCTTTCCTTGATTTCACTGCGAGTTTGCGATACTCTTCAAGGATGCAGTTGGAGCACGGAACTTTCTGCTTTGTCAAATAATTCGTGTTGACCTTGTTTTTAGTCAAATTGACCTTGTGGTCTACATCTAATTTAGTATCTGCTTTGGGATGCTATTACCACTTCTTGCCTGCTATATGGTTAGGCTGGGGCTTCGCAGGTGGGCTTGGCTGGGGACTTGGGTATATTCCACCAATTGGGTTGTTGGTTAAGTTAAGGTACAATCATCATCATCATCATCATCATCAAGAATGGCTTCTCACTGACTTCTAGGCACCAACCATGGGCTTACTAGTTAGGTCGTTAGGAGCTTGACAAGCTTGTAGTCGATCAAATTATACGTATTTCTTAGTCGCTTAAAGCCAAGACACTGCATCTTAATCATTATAATCTATGGTCCAGTAAGAGTAATATCAGATTAATGATGATAGTTGCCCTCTTCTCTTTTCTATTTTCCTCTGGTCTTTCTTTTTTCTAGTTAGGTCGTCTCCGCCACAAATATCAGAATCTTCATCTCAAAAATACTTCATCTTTCTACCCTTTGACATCTTCTTCTTACTAGTCGTATTTCAGGTTGTGTTTTTCACTGTTTCCCTTATGTATCCCAATCGTAACCTTCTGGTTCCCTTTTCTAACCTTCTGTTTCCCTTTTATCCCTTTTCTAACCTTCTGGTTCCCTGATCGTAAAGGCACTGCTACCGGAGCTGGCATTGCGGCGTTCGCTAGCGGAGGACTTTTTGCAGCTCCAATGATAGAAGGATTGAAGACGGCGTTTGCGAAACCTCCTGTTTCACTTCCGGTCGGCGATTTGAGCATTTTGAATACCAAAGTTGAAATATGAAAGGAAAAAGTGTGTACCTGTACTCATTCTCATAGTCATGCTCTTCAAGACAAGAGGGTTTAGGGTCAGGGTTTCCTACTCAGCACGTGCCTCGTAGTTGCTTGCGGGTGAGTAGAGTACACCTTCTCCGGTCATAAGAAGAAGGCAGACAATGGATACAGCTTGCCGCGGATACAGGCCTCCCGAATTGGCATGAGGTGATCCAAGAGGGGGACTTCCTTTACCAAGTTGGGACTGGAGAGACTGGCTGCGCAGGAGCCTTTGCGAGTTTAGGCCTGTTGTATACGCTATCTATGACCCTTGGAAGTTCGACGTTGAAAGAGCCACCAGTAGGGTGGCTGCCGCCTGCTATGAGGATCGCAGCGCAAGAAGCGCCTACATCAGTAGCAAATTCCGCAGGAGATGGTAACACCACTAAAACATCAGAACAAGAAGCTTCCTCGTCGACAGCGCTCGTCGACACCTCTGTCTCAGCTCAGGACGCCATGAAAACCTCGCAGTTCTACCTCCTCTGGCTAACTCTAGCCTGCAACGCTAGTGCCGGTGTTTGCGTGATCTCGTCCGCAAAACTGATGATGGGAGATATCTTCGCAGCGAAATTCCCTGCTGTTTAGGGAAGACCCTGATTTCTTGAAACAAAGGGCTATTATTTAACAAACAATTCCCATTTTGGAGTTTTTAACGACTAAATCTTCATCTTCTAGCTCAACAGTCAAGACGGTAAAAATATTGTTTTTCTCAACAAGGATTATAGGCTTAAGATCCAGATTTACTCATAGTACTCATACTTTCCCACCTGCTCCTAAGTCAAGATCCTCGTCCTTTCTATTTCATTCTTTCGTCACCACTGGCTTTACGACGGGCTTCGTAGGCGCATTATCAGTTGCAAACGCAGGTGGGCGATTAGTCTGGGCGAGCTGTAGTGACATTATTGGCCGAAAAAGTACCATGTTCGTCACTTCCTTGTCGCTTCCATTAAGGCTACAAGAAATCCACCTGCTCAAACATCTTGTTGCCTTTTTTTAAGGGAAAAGGGGAACCAACGCGGATACTTCTTCTGCTGAAGCTGGACTTGTGATGGGTCTAATTTCAGCGTGCTTGTTAGTGCCGCAGATAACAGGGATGCTTGGTCAGCCGGAGGTGGGCAATGGCGCTTTGAATTATGAAGAATGAGTATTTTTGACTTGTACTTAAAAAAAGACTACATGTAGTTCTTGTTGTTATATCTAGCAAATATAGAAGAAAAAATTCTACTTCAACGGCAACATGATAATATAGATAGCGAGCTATGCCGTGGAATGTTTACAATAATTGGCGGGGTTTTGTGTTGAGGTGTCGAGGAGCAATGTTGTGGGATAATACAGAAGATTGTACTACAAACATTGCTCCTCGACACCTCAGCAGAAACTGTCCTACCCCCCCAACGGAGACTGTCCCACCCCTAATCCTCCCTAGCAGCTGGCGCTACCGATCCTTCTCTTTTACCGCTCTACGTCTTTTATGGGACTACCTTTGCGATTGTTAGTTGGTACGGTGGCGTCTTGGCGCTTGTTCCAAGCTATGCTGCTGACGTATTCGGCACGCGGGAAGTGAATGTGATCTATTTACGATGACCATGAATTACGCTAATTCTAAACCTAATCTATCTTCCGAAGCATCTTGGAGCATAAAAATGAGACTGGGCGGTAAAGAGAAGTAAGCTCTTGAGAAAAGGTGAAGCAACATCTTGGAGCTGTCCCATAACAATATGGGGACAAGACCAGAAGCAGGACCTTAAAAGATACTTGTATCTGCTAAAAAAGATACAGCATCTACTTCTTCAAGATGTTGATCAATCTCAATTTATTATTTGTGGATATTAATTTCTCTCTCGCTTAGAAATACTGATCTTAGAAAGTCCTAGGTTCATCTTATTATTTCTCTGTCGCATCTCTCTTATTTCTCTCTCTAATCTCTGGCCGCCTCATGACGGGCTGGTCAGTCTCCGCGATCGGCACGCCTGGATTGTTAGCTTACCTGCGATCTGTGGACGAACGGAAAGCCATAGAGAACCTAGTGAAGCAAATTCCTCCCGAGAAGTTCCAAGAAAGGTTTGCGGTGAATGCGTCTTATGAAGAAACATGAAAAACTGAAGAGTGATCTCGGAATCGCGGCTACAAGTTGTAGACTCGTCTTCAATCCAAATATTAGAAAAAAAAGGTTCACTAGTCGTGGTTCTACTAGTACCTCTTGAACTTCTCCAAAGAGGATTCGGATTGTGTTTTTTATTCTCTAAAAGAACATGATGTATTCGAAAACTCGAAATAAGCGAGTTACTGACTGAAATAAGAGAGGCTTGACTACATTCCTCTTCTTTCTTCAGTATCTCCCTTCTTTTCACTAGTCACTCGCTTATTTCAGTTTATCGAATAGTTTATTTTGCTCAGTGCTGGTCCGCTTTCTACTTCTAGTTGGGTAGATTTTCCATTTCCACTTCTAACATCTCCCTGAAGCTTTGGATACGTTGATCCAGGCAAAAGCGGTCACGATCAAGCGCCTCCTGGAAATCGCGCCAGAGGGTGTGATCGACCCCACGCCGTTCCTCTACGACACCACTTTCTACAGCATATCTGGGATTCTGGCGGTAGCTGCGGTCTCAAATGCACTCATTCGAAAGGTGAAATGAGCATACTATCGCGTGCAATCATCAGGAAGGTAAATAATTGGCTCACAGCACTGTTGTTGTTGGTTGAAGGTATTATGGCTGACTTAACAACTCATTTAAGGTGGAAATGTGATTGTGAAGTGAATGAAATATACGATTATGGATACACGCTACATTGTTCAGAAATAGAAAGGGCGAAAGTACAGTAGAGTGGTAGTTGATGAACTGTAGGGATGGAGGTTGCAGTGCTGGATTGCGCAACGACATCTCAAAAACTTACGTCATGTGTGTCGCTGATACGTAGCAGTAGCACTAATCATGGCACCTAGAACTAGATATTCTAAGAACAAGATGGGCATTCGAAATTAGAAAGGTTTCAGCCCGTTTTACTTGATAGGCTGCAATCTTGTAATCGAAGGAGAAAAATAGATACATTAGGAGTCCGCGTAAGATTCTGGAAACATGATCCCTGAGCGAGGGAAGTAGTAGGTCACATCCGAACTACCTCAAGCTGCTCACATCCTAAATTAGAAACTCTACTAGTGCTGTAGTGTCGAACAGTCGACACAAAGAACTGAAGTCACAGACTCTATAGTTTTGAACACCATTTAGTATGCAGAACTAGGTACTGAGAACAGTTGATCATCTCGCTCTTTAAGTAGCGTCAAAAGTAACGTTAGCGGGAGTAAGTACCTGGTTGCTTGCAAAAAATGATAATAACTCACGAAAAATAGGGCGAAGCAAGTGCAGTACTACAGATGAATGGCGCAAGAAGAACATGGAGTAGATTCTACTTACTATCCTTCTAGAACGTAAAAGTCTTGCGCCTGTCAAATTAGACGAAGTGACAAGACGAGCTGTAGTATCTACTTGAAGATAAGCTCGTCCGATTAGCGTGCCGACTTCTAGTAGACTCGTGATGCGTGAACATCAGGATCAGACCTGCTCTTCACCAACTACCACTCAAAAATAAGCACGGCCGGCACATGATAGATCAAAAAAAAATGAAATTAAGAAGAAGGGACACGTGCACGTCGAAGCTGACACGGTAAAAAAGAGAGAAAGTATCATGTTGGCCGTGTTGTGAAACCGATACAGGTTTGGTGAAGCATCTTCTTTGGCTTCGGATGAACCGCAAAAATATGCAAAACTATGTCTGTTGATACAAAAAACTGCCTGTGACTGTAAGTAACCGGCAAGGTACGTCGCGCAGGAGCGACCACAAAAAAACAAGGCCTACTAGAACCAAAGGGAGGAAAATTGTCGAACAGTCGTGAAAAAGAACTGACTACAAAGAAGAAAAAGCTGTGGCCTTATTGCTGCACCTGAAAGCATTCTTTTTCTTAGTTGTACTACACTCTCACTCTGACGAGTCTTTCACGAGCTCCACGCCTCTACCTCTACAACTTGTTCTTTTTGACGAGAGTTCTTGTGCTTAAACAAGAACAAAATCATGCCAGCCGCGTCGACACCAGGCAGTACGACGAGGACTTCCTCGGGCCGAACAGCTCCGCCAGTCGGCGGCGTAGGGCAAGCAAGAGCTGGCGTCAGAACAGGGGTACCGGTTGGCGCTGCTTCTGTCAATCCGACTCCCGCGACTTCATCCACTACCATTATGTTTTTTTATCGCATCGGCAAGTAGAAGAACCTTGACAGACAGGTCAGGACATCAAAGTGTTGAGAAGATGGAGGTTTTATGTTGATTATGATCATTACCTGTTAAACTTTGACAGACATATTGTCAAGATTCTAGAGTTCGCCCTTCTTTCTCTTCTCTAGTACGTATGAGAAAGTAATTTCTATTTCATCTGCAACATCTCGTCCATCTGCTCTTCTAAGTCACTGAAAGCTGCTACTTCGGTTTCCGACATCGCAACGTCTTCCGAGTCGTCTGGTATTGATTGGACAGGCGTCGTTCTGGACTTAGCAAGCGGAATTGTACCACCACCAGAAAGGCTCTTCGATCTGGCGATGATATTGTTACGTGAGACAGGTGTTGCGATAGCCCAGAAAAATACAAATAGTATGTCATGTGACAATTGACGAAAATGTAGTGATTCGAAGTACTTATATAGTTTTTCCATCCCAGTGTTTTCCTTTGATTGTTCATCTTCATGAGAGAACTGCGCTAGGATCTTCTGGTAAAAGTGCTAGAGAAGGTACACGCAGAAACGAGTAGAGAATAAATCTGAACTAGTGAAAATATCTAGCACTATCTGATAGTCTATTCCTATTGAGCTTCTGTTTTGTTCTAGCAATTGATTTTTTTTTCAGGAACGCCGGGCTCTCTGGTTCCTTTTCTATGACTCTTATATGACTCTAATCCCAATGCTGCTTGTAGCGGGATTTCATTGCTTCATGCATTTCTTCTTCTTGTACTACTTCGACTCAGAGACGGCCAAGCGAAAAAAAGCCAAGAAAGAGCAAGACGAGGGAAAAAAATTTCCGTACTACTTCTCACTTCATTCAGCTTCCTTGTACTCATCATGTGTACGTCGATGAGTCATAGCATTCTGTGTGTGATGGGTGAAGTTTCCAAGAAAGAGGGACAAGAAGAACGTGTAGCATCTCAGATAAAAACGAGTACTAGCAGACTACACTAGAAGCTATGTTGGCGTTGGGTGTAATAGCTAGCTCCGATGATCCCAATTTCATTAGTTTCCACGTTCTAACGTCCGAATGCACTAATCTAAATTTTCAGGTTTGCAATCGTTGTGGGCGCGTTTACTCTTGCAGTTGTCGGATACGAGTATGGCGGATGTTACGCCTGTGCTTTCAAGAAATATCTTGGCATGACCACCAGTTTGATCCAAGGAGCACCGGAAGCAGGGCTACCGGTTGGCGGTGAGCTATAATAGCAATAGCAAAGAAGTAGCTGCAGTGTGGCAGAAGAAAAATCCATGAAATATTAATGGAACCCCACGATTTATTCATCTACTTTCATCATGTCGATCCAAAGAAGAGATTCCCGTTTAATACAATACAGAAGCATCATGCAAGTGCAACTGTCCCCTACTTGTGACCTTTATGGTTTTTCATTTTCAACAAGGGCGACCCTGGTGTTGAGGGAAAAAGAAATGACTGTCCTTTTCGCAATGCTGCTGTAAAAGAAACTATTTAGACTTTAAGTTGACCTCGGTCAACTTCATTATTCGGCAGAGTGTGACGCGAGACACCAACTCGACGAAAACTTGGCGACTCGATTGACTGTAGTAAACAACCAAAACGGCAGGACTCTTCTCAGAAATTCATCTTGGTCCTTTAAGGCGAACAAAAACTATAAAAATTAGCTCTGACTGATCATCAACCTTCGCTTTCTCCACCTCTCCCTCTGACTGATCATCAACCTTCGCCTTCTGTCTATCGTGTGTTTTTATTTTCCGTTTGTCATGAAGAGGTAAGAACAAGAAGTCACTACTGAGTTAACTATAAAATACTGTCAGACCACGTCTCTACGGTCACTATGAAAGGTGATAACAGGGACAACAGCATGCATACCGTGCCTCTCTAGTCGTAGTACTAGTACTGGAGTGAATCACGCAAGTTCCACGCTCGCCTCGCATGTGCTCAACGAATACGTAGATCAGGGACATCGACGGACAACTAAAACAATTGTACAGGAAGTGGATGAATTTAGTTTCATTTCACGACTTCTAGGGTCTAGACATCATGGCAAGCAGCCCAGGAATAGTTCCTTCTGGATCGTCCGAGGATGACATCAGCAGAAATAGTACAATTGGTGTGTCATCCCAGGAGGACCCCAGATCATACGATGCACGACAAGTCGAGGCTGACGGTATTTTTGAGCAGCCGGAGCACCAGCGGACGAGTGCCAATCTTCCAGGAGCACCAGAGCAACGGCATGGAGCCGGCGACCAGACTGATGAAGACCACGACCTGAGCGACACCGAAGTTGAAGGAGAGCAGATATACGGATCGGCTGATTTTCTAAACGAAGACCACTGCAGCAATATGGTTCGTCCTCCTCAAGTACGCGATTGGCATAGTGTCGAGGCGCCACAACCTGCAAAACCGCGACCGACAGCACATTATGGACAGGTTTTGCTCTGTATGCTTTTTAGAAGAGTATAAGAAGAAGCTATCCTACCCGATCCTAAGATCAAGAAGAGACAACAGCAGCTGAGGTTGTCACGTGGTTCGTCATGGGGTCGAGTTATCATGTTGACTTGACTCCGTAACACTCTACTACTGAGTTATCACGTTGACTTCACACTATAATAATTGTGGTTCTAGTACTTGGTAACCTGGATTCGATCAAAATCAGGTTACCTCCTTGTTTTCCTCATGATCAAAATCAGGTTACCAAATACAAGCACCACTCGCGCACTCCTGTACGAAAACTCGCTCACCACGGTCTCTAAGTCTTCGAGGAAGCAACAGACTTCGGTCGCGACAGCCGATCAACAGTCGCGACGTCTCGCTGTGGGCTCCAAAGCTCCTTCTTTTCCTCCTGCAACTACCAAGGCTCGAATAGTGTTCAGAATGGCGTTGCGAGTGTTGTAAGTTATGCTATGGTAAAGACAAAAAGACGTAGTTTTACCTATCGAAAATATTTTCTTTTACGTATAGTTGCGGCAACAAGAACAAAAAATATGGATGTTTGTTCCAGTTCCACCCATGACTTCTAAATGAGTTTCTTTGTCTTTTTTACTTGTGCCTTTTGTAAAGAACTCCTTCACAGAATCTTCATCGAATAATCGCTCTCATACTTTTGCTTACACATCATTCTCAACTTCACGAACACTGCAGCGACGAGTGGTAAGTTTCAGCGAAGCAGCATGCCAGTCATCACAGAACAAGCATCATCGATGTCTCACGAAGTGAAAGCGCCGAACAGAACGAGTTCTTGTATTATCGATGTCTGCTCACAGAACAAGTATCTACGAAGTGCCGGCTCTTCTTCGGATCCCTGTGATCATCTCGTCTACGATCGGCGTGAAGGAGAAGACATATGCAGCCCCAGTGCTACGCAACTGCCAGCAGGAGGTGGGACGACAGGTCGTAAAGAATCTTCGAAGCTCCTTAGAAGCACACGCTATTCCTGCTCATCTGTGTGTGCAAAACAAGGCAACAAAACGACAACGATCGTTTGTTAAGTGATAAAAAGAATATCTAAAAATCGCATCATGGAGCACTTCAATCCACTTCTAAACATAGCTCGTGGTATCGTATCCTCACACTGACTTTATCTTTTAGCACTTCTAGCACTTCATTGTTCTAGTTGAATCAACACAGGCTCTTTCCACCTAGCCACTGACGTTGTTCTCCAAACTTAAGGCTACCGCTGGACCATCCTCAACATCATCCTTGGCCCTTTTTTCAAGGAGAAAAAGGCACCAGGGAGGTTCTCGGGGATGCGAGCGCGGTAGCTCTAACAAACGTTATCGTTACAACAGGTTGCATAAGAGACAGCAAGAAGCCTGGTCAGATGAACCGCGAAACAGCGTTGCTGATGAAACGGAGTGTCTTAGGACCACGCCACGAAGTGGGCACTTCCTACAGCAGGGGAAGAGTCACCAGTTCCTCCATCTCCTGTCATGGGCACAGCTGCAGCGCAAGAACGTCGCGCTCTTCTCGTTATCAGCAAAGCGCTCAACATTAAGGCTACAGTGTACGTTCACCAATCGCTTGAGGCCCTTTTACGGTCACCAATCGTTAGGAAAATCTTAGGCAAGCTGCCGAATAGATTCGAAGCATCATATTCACCAAGTAAGTTGTCTTAGGCTTCGCCTACTTTTTACCATGTGCATGTGCATCAGAAGTCTCGTCTAGGAAAGCGAGAAGTAGTTGTACCTACGACAGCAGCTCTCCTCTAACTCCTCCTCCAGGACGATAACATATCTTTCGCCTTGCCATTGTGCGAGAGATCTTACAGGGACAAAATGCAGTCCGATATGGAGAGAAGTATACTTTTCAGGTATGACGAATGAGCACATATATTTGTTTCACACGACCCTCTTCTACCATATCATAGGATCATGGACATGTCTTGGGGACTACTATGTAGATGTACTCATTGTTTCTTTCAAAGAATATAAGTGATCGTTTCCATCTGATTAGATTTGTAGGCCATGGATCTACTTTCCATCTGATTGATTGTAGGCGATGGATCTACTTTCCATCTGATTGATTGTAAGCGGGATCATGAATCCGCAACCAACATTCTTTCATATAATCCAGTGCTCAGATCAAGTTCAGAAGGCGCCCAGCGCAGAAGTGGGAAAACAGAAGACGTCCTCCGCAAAATTGGGATCAAGTTCAGGAGACACTTTCCTTGCTGATCCGAGAAGATCAGATCGCTCTGTCCAAAGAAGTACTGTGAAGCACATCGAGCACTATCATTATTTTGATTCCAGTAATCATGCCAGCATCAAGAACATGAGGATGAGTTGTACTAACAGAGCACCAGAACAACAGCCACCAAGGGGACCACGACCTGTACAGCAGAATGAGCAACCGAATCATGTAAAAACACCGTCAAAACTACAGAAGCTCTCTTCGCGGTTCTTAGTACCTGATGAAGAGAAAGTAAGTGGCAATATGAAGGAGAACCTACCGCCTTCACCATGCTTAGAGATGAAGGACGTTACTAAAGATATTACGGCTAATACTATTAGTGGAAGTGGTGCTTCTACCAAAACAAGGAGAAGTAGAAGAGGTGAAGACCACGAGGAGAAGTACTCCTATCAGTATGATAATATTCTTTGTACACGACCAGACGAAGATGCAGCTCCCGCACGTGGTGCTCTACTAAATAAACACAAACACTTGTATTATGACAAGATTATTGAAGATTCGCGACGCATCATTCACCATCATCATATAGTCTACAACCAAGGATGGACGTGAACAGCAACCGCGGAGAAGGAACTTGTGTACTACAGAAAAGCCGGGAAAGCTTTTGTACTCCAGGCACAGGCTGAAGCTTGGCAGCTCAAGTAGACTCATCTCTGAAGTAGTTTTCCTGTTGTTCGATGCAGGTTCTTCGGCCGGACCAGGTGGATCGCTACATCAAAAGTTCTTGCACGTTATCATACTCCTGCTCCGAAATGAAAATATGATTAGGGACAATTTTTGCCGTTGTGTTCGTTGTTGATTTCTTATCATCTTCATTTATTTTGAGTGGTTTTTTGAAGCTCTTCATACATATCTTCATTATCTATTTCTTATCATATTCCTAACCCTATCATTAACGCTAACTTCTACTACTAGAAGGTCATCGAAGCTTCTTGCTTGAGTAAGCCTCTTGTTTTTAAGAATGGTCGAGTCGCTGACGGAGAACCAAGGGGCTCTCCTTCGCGAGGAGAATAGGCAACTGCGAAAGAGGGTCGCCAAGACCCAACAGAAAGCGTCCCACTTCCTGAAAAAACTGGAAACTCTGCGCATATGATGAAGTGAAAAACTTCCCTATTCAATTTCTAGTACTAGTGTAGGTGTAGAACTACAACTACAGTGCGTTGTTAGCTTCTTGTTCAATTGTTCATCCAGAAGATCAGAAAAAGAATCTTAGTAGAACGCGTTTTTGAACAAGAACTTGGACGTTGTACTACGACTAATTAAATAGGAGCCATCCAAGCTGGTGCGTCGAACAACTCGAAAAACTTGTAATTGTAAAATTGTAAAATTCATCTTCGGACGTAACGTTACTGGAACGAGAAGAGACGCTGCGAGGCCGTTCACGTTTGTTGTACCTTGAGGACCGGTTGGAGTTTCAAAGCGTACAACTTCGCAATCTCTGGCGCATTTCTGAGGACCCTTATGGAAGCGGTTAAACACACACGTAGGGTCCCCCTTTGGCCCAAAACAGGCCATTTTTCCAGGTAGTGCACGAAGCTGCTTGGGAAGTTGGCTACAGTAGTACTACTGTGTGAATACTGAAGTAGTACTACTTCGATCATCTTTACAGTTGCTGCTTGTTCTTACCAATACAGTTACTGGCACTAGTAATAGTATGCTAGCTCAAGAAACAAGGCTACAACTTTCTTCAAATTCATGTGCTGTGTCTTCTATTCTTGTGAAATCTTTAACAAGGTGTTGGCGACTCGGCGAATCCGCCACAGGAGCTGCAAGGAGGGCACCAGGACGGGGACGATGTGGCGAGCGACAGAAACCAAACCGCCGAAGAGGTTAGTCGCTTGCGCACCGCGTGTGCCGCTGCATGGCAAGCGATGGAAGTGGCGAATGATTAGGTCTCGAGTGATGTTGGCATTTTTATCATTCACTTCTATGATTCCCTAGAATCCGCAATCTTAGGATCCGCAGATGATGACGATAGAAAATGATCTACTAGCCGCGATAGCTCTAGCTGGTCTAAGATAAGCAAAGACAAGCACGAATGCAACGGGAATTGGAGATGGGGCGAGAAACGTTTACGGCGTGGGTCGAGAAAGCAACCGTCGGAGCGACACCATCGTCAAGGACATCTACAGGCTTAAGGCTCGAACATAAAACATAGATGAAGCCTACCAAGAAGACTTCTCAGTTTCTTATTAAACTCTTGCTTCATGTTCACCTTCATGAAATCTTAGTACTTCAGATTGAGTTGTACAAAAACTACTTGTTGGACGAAAGATATTCAGCTTTGTAGTTCTAAGAAGAGGCGGCACGGCTTCTGCCACGACTTTCACATCTACTACCGTACCGGAAGCTAAAGGTGGAAAAGACGAAGACGGTGTGCCCGTCGATTCGAGAGTGTCTGCATCCTATAGTGTTCAGATGAAGAAAGGTCGTGAGTCTACTGATAAACGACCCGATAGCAGTGTTTCTGTGCAACGGGAAGTAATAACCACGCAGAACCACGATGCTGCTTCAAAGTCCTCTGCTATAAAACAACAACCTAATAGCAGTGTTTCTGCGTCAACTACATCTGCAACTTCTAGCTCTACTTCAACCAAGAAGGGACGAGAATCAGATCATAAGGTTGAAGTTGGAGAACTATTAAAAAAATTCGAGACGCAAACAGAGCGACGGCGAGCGTCGTGCACGAAGGTCGAGAAAGAGCAGAATTGCGCTCACCATGTTAAGCGAGGACAAGGTCTGACATTTGCTACCATGATCTCTTCAGTTGTCTCTATCTCTGACTTTGTTGAGATTGTAAGAATATCCTGGTTCTATAAAGTTCAAAACATGATGAATTTGTGTAGCAAGAAGTGCCTACACGACTTGTTGTTGCATGATGAAGCGGCAAGAAGAGCAAGAACTTCATCGTCTAAAAAGAATGGGAGAATATTGACACGAACAACGAGGCCCAGCACCGTTTTACGAACGACAGCAAATCTTCTACGAAGTACCTCTACGAGGAATCAAGAAGCGAACGGCACGGATCAAGGTGAAGGTCATGCGACTACAGATCAGACTTGTTCCGTTATGGCTGCAGTAGGACTAGATGCTAGAAGCTTTATGCACAAGTAGAAATGTCAAGAATAAGCGTCATGAAGGAAGTTCAAGTAGAACTGATAAATCTTCCATGGCTCTCTCTTGCTTAAACCAAAAGAAAAGTAAGAAATTGTTACACAATAAGAAACAGTAGCAGAAGTGTCAAAAACGACCTTCATCTAAGAACGCTAGCGCGACCACAGCTCCCTCTGCAGCATCTGCCACAGAACTAGGAGATATCCAAAAGCGGTCCAGGGACGCCGCAATCTCGGGAGGCACCTCGACAGTATCTCCTATGGGAAAGAAATTCGTCTTAAGGCTAGTTTTTCTTTTTCGCTATCTCGCGTGAACTATGATGAGTGGACGAGTCCCCCATGATACTGATTTACAATGGAAAATCAGGGAGATGAAACTGGGCAACTCGCTCAACCACAACCAGGCATAGCCGCGAAAAACTATAAACTACCGTTAATGATGAAGTCACCGCTGAAAGCCAATCCCTTCCTCGTAGAGCGACGTTCTCCACCGAAAGAAATCCAGCAGATTTTGTTTCAGGGTGGAGCAGACTATTTGTGGTCGGAACACAAGAAGGAGAGCAGCATCTTGGGAAAAACGGATTTGGATTTGCTGTACCACTGCCCGCCTCTCTCATCGTCATCATCTACCACTGAAGACGGCGGAATAACCACGGAGACTTCAGAAGGCGAATTCTTGGGTCTCTCGTCATCGTCTACAAGAACTTCAGAAGGCGCCGAAGCTGCTTTAGGAATAGGAATGTCCTTAATAGAGCCTACAGCTCTAGGAGATCCACGTCCACCTAGCGTAGGCAAAAAGAAAAACTCCTGCGGCTCCATCGGCTCGTCCAACTTTACGACGAGAAAAGGAAATTTGATTCACACTATTGGAAATTTCGTCAATCCTCCACCTCAACTCTTTTGTTGATTTGGTAACTAAGAGTTGAGCTGGAGGATTGACGAAATTTCAAGTAGGACGAGATTCTAGAAGCACTATGCACAAGTAGAAATGTACTTAAACAAGAAGCGTGTCATGAAAGAAGTTCAAGTAGAACTAATTAATCAATGGCTCTTTCTCGCTTGATCCAAAAGAAGAGTAACAAATTGTTAGACAATGTGAAGCAGCCAGGAGTGTCAAAAACGACCTTCATCTATTAAGAAGGCTAGCGCGACCTACTTGAAATTTCGTCAATTTTCCATCCACTTCAACTCTTACCCAAAAGTCTGTCTTTCTAAGTAGCCACACGCCTCTAAGTAGCCACACACCTCGCCAGGACCAGGAGCAGTGGATATAGGACGCTACTTGATTCGGCGACGAAGCGGACCCCAGTCTGCGTCACGACCTGACTTTAAGGGCTGACGAGCACGTCGATACTTTATTCATCCTGTCAACATAGTGGAATGAAGGATGCTCTTGCTCAGGTATCCTACTGATAAGTAGATGTGGAGTTCGTTGTGTGAGTTTTTGCACTGTCCTTTGTGTTTCAAAGCTTATTCATCTTCACAGCCTTCTACTTCTTTTCTCAGACTGCTCGTCTTCTCAGACTTCTTTCTCAGAACTTTACGACCTACAAGTAATTGCATTCGTAGTGATCGACTCGCGCTCGTCTAAGAATTCAGCCATGGCGCTCGAAACGCCACCACGCGCAAGAGTAGAAGAGCTGCGACACTATCTCATTCGCTCAGCATCGTCGAGCAAGGACAGTGAGCGGACATCAACAAAAGCTTTTGCACTAGAGCACGCTGAAGTAGACGGAAATGAAGGGGCAACTACTAGAACAGTAGCGCCTGTACTAGAGCACGTTGGAGCAGACGGAAATGAAGGGGCATACTGAAGAAGAAGGAAGAGGAAGAGGACATGGGAATCTAGGACATGGGAGTCTACTCGAAAACTGAAAATAACCGAGTTACTGACTGAAATAAGGGAGGTAGCTTTGACAGGGCTACTCTTCCTTGTTCAGTATCTCGCTTATTTTCAGTAGTTACTCGCTTATTTCAGTTTTTCGAATACTTGTGATTGGAGAGGGACGAAACAAAAAACATCAACACCACCCACAACATTGCTAGTAGAAGCCGTAGTACTATTGCTCATGTGTTGTGGCACAACCGGCACTCCGCTATTTTCGAACGCACTCGAAGATGAGGCTGCTGCAGACAAAGATGAAGACGAAACAAAAAACGGGTGCGTGAGGATCCCTTGACTTGTGTCTGCAGTTGGGTCTTAGAAGAACAAGTCACTGTAAAGTTGTACGTAGTTTTTTATACGAACAGTTTTTATCATCTCGCTAGAAGATATTCCAAATCCAACTTGTTCAAGATATCGAAGATATTAGAACTCCACGGACTTTTCGTTCTCATACAAAACAAGAAGAGAAAAACTGAAGATAGATCCAATATATTGTTGAGAAGCTACATTTTGCACCAGAGGCGTATCTATGCTAGTTTCTAAACTACAGCCAGAAGTCCTTCAAGAATGGGTAAACTACGTCAGGTCGATGGAAGTTCAAGATGACTGTTCCCACTTTCAACACGTCATTGGAACGTAGATCTGCAAGACTATGTTGTACCACAAGTTGTTGTTTACAACGAGAGTTAAGGAGAGACAGTGAGGACTGTCGATTGATTAGAACCTTTATCACCTTATTAGGCTTCACAATTCCACGGCCGTCCGAAAGGATACACTGCTGGAACTGTATCATCCTGCCGGTAGACTAGAAGCACCACTAAGGAGGCGAACGAATGATTCCACATGAAGATCAAGCCACGTTGCAGAGTGATCGAGAGTTTTCTGTAGAGTATCGGAATCGGTGTCAACATCCATCCTATCTTATCGGTAAAGATCGTAGTTCTGATCGACCGCTAGACTCAACTCAGTTTAATCCAGATCGCCAGGAACGCCTTACCTCATGCGTAGAAAAGGACCATAATTGATGATGCGCTGGAGTAGTCCTGATCTTGCTGATGTATTAAACGCGTTCACTATTGTTCTAGGACTCCAGGTTCACATGAAGATGTCGATGTCCTAGTACGTAGAAGTGCCAATTTTTGCGTTCCCTTGCAGTTGCATGCTTACCAAGCACGGTCACGGTGGGTCACACCGTTGATGCGTTGCTGAAATTTGCAACTCAACAATTTACAAGGATAAGGAAGCAACGGCTGCGCCTTTGCCTACGGCAACACGACACTTACTACAGGTAACCCACCTTCCACAGTAAGCAACAGCAAGCAGACGAGCAGAGAAAATGGCAGTGATTCTCGGAACGGCTTTCAGGAGTTCGATCTGGTGTGAAGGGCGCTCCACCACTCCGAAGACGAGGCAGAATAGAGTCTGTGCATTATGAGCAATGTTCTTGCGTGATTTCATTCAACATATTAGCTGATGTGGGATGATTGAGAATTCATCGAATCACACGCGCAGGCGCACCCATACGGATGATCATGATGGAAACCTCTAACACTCCTCGCCCTCAGCTCAAGCTGAACGACTTTGCTTACAACTGAGTACACTTTAACTTCATTCAGATTCAGGCTTCTTTTCCTTTTTCTAATCCTAGCCGTACTCCTCCTTCTCGGAACATCATCAACATGGTTCGCAGAAGCAATGGTCATGTCTCGGACACAGTTTCCGGACAGGGCTCTGAAAACGGTAACGGAAAGTCGAGTGAAGAGGAAGATGTGTGGAAAACACGCATGTTGGGTTAACAAAGACCAGTTCAAGCTAGAGCACGAGTCGAGGGAACAAGAGGTGAAAAACTGGCTAGCAAGAGGATTGGAGGGCTGGTTCCTCAATCGTTAAGGGCATCGCGATAATCATGATGCGCTCTTCCATATTTCTTACAAGACGAGTAGTATTCAAGGCTAGACCTTTTTGTTTTTCCTTGCCCTCACTCTTAGTCTCTTGATAATAGAAATAGATCATTCTCTGAGGACCTCAAGAATGAACACATAAGCGCGCTGTACTTCTAAAATAGAACGTGGAACGAAGACGACGCCTTCCGAATGTGTCAAGATTCGTATGAAGAGTACCAAGACGTGGTAGCACTAGACGAAGACCTGTACCGCGAAAAGTACGCTACGCTGGAGTCCCTCACACGGAAAGCATCGCAGAAGGAGATTCTTCGTTATGAAGGTAGTCATGATAGTCCTCTCACTAGACATAATATTGCTTGAAATTCTAAGATCTACATGCTCATGATGGAAATAGGACTACCTCTACTTGGTCAATGACGAAGATTGCTGGTTTAGTACACGGCCAACATGAAGAAAGCTGTAGCTATAGTTTTTGATTTGAGAACCCCGTAAAAGCAGGGCAAAGGTAAGAGGTTCCTACACCAGATCCATTTTCTAGAAGATCTAGGTCTAGAAGATCTAGGTGCTTACTACGACTGAAAATGTACTAACAAACTACTTAGAAATTTAGGAGGTACTTACTACTAACAGGCTAAGTTCTAATTTGTGGAGCATGGCGTGAATCAGATGCGCTTTGAGAGGCCTCCGCAATCAGACGGGTTCGATGCTACGGTCTTCAAAGCACGCGCAGAATACTACAATCAAGACAAAGGCAACGGAACTTCTGCTCTCGACCAGCAGCAAAGCAGCGATACTTTCTTCTCAGCCCAGAACGAGACAACGCAGTTCATCGCTCTATTGGAGAACATCACTCATCCCGACACCCTTCGAAACTATCTTAAGGCTGATCATGATGATTCCAATTCATCCTCACTGACTGATGTTCATCGTTCTTAACACTACATGATTAAGTAGATAGATGACCCAGCACCATCTTTCAACAGCATCTTTGAAAGAAACTACACGATTAAGAATAGATGAGAGAGCATGTTGTACAAAAGGATCCTAGGATGTCTAGAAGTTCTTCATGACACCCTTCGAAACTATCTTAAGGCTGATCATGATGATTCCAATTCATCCTCACTGACTGATGTTCATCGTTCTTAACAGTTCATTCTTAACATAATGATCATGATGTTCATCTTCATTCTTAACATAGTAACAGTAGAATTTGAATTCATTCAGACTGATCCTTCATCCTCTCTGATCCTAGTAGCATGATTCATCCAGAGTCTCTTGCTGTTTTCCACTCCTGGATTATACCTTTGAAAAGGAGGGATCTTAAAGAAAGATATACTTATTCTTATTGTATGTATGACTGTAATATTGTGAGACTCGTGCCAACATGAACATGCCATACAAGTTATTTAGTTGTTGGTAATGTAACAAAAAGTTAGGTTATACTGAAAATGAAAATAAAATCATATCTTTCTTCACAATTGTCGTGAATAGCACTAAGGATTCTGCAGGCCTGATCCTGAAGCCTTCGGATGGGACAAATAGCATAGGTGTCCTCTGGGTCCAGATGTTGTCGGACAAGGAAGCAGTAGACGCATACTGGCAGCACCCTGCAAGGGAAGGAATGCCCCAGAGGGAAGGGAAAGAGTTAGGGGATGAGACTAGGAGAGCAGAGAGGGAAAGGGTTAGGGGATGAGACTGGGAGGGGATTGGTTTTAGAGGGGGCCCCTTGACGTAATCTTCTTCTGATAGGTGATCTTGTTTTCTATCCAATATTTCTATTTTTATCAAGAACCAGAAGTAGCGCAATCATGTGGTGCAAAACTACATAGACGCACATTCTACTTTGTTCATCGTTTTTAAACTACCAAATACGCCAAGAGTGGGCACATTGATTCATTCACACTCAAATTTTGAGGACGACAACTTTTGAATCCTAGTATGCGTATTCCCACCACTTCTTTCAAGGAAGGAAGTGGTGGGAATACGCATACTAGCCCCTTTCACGACAAATCTTATACCTCTTCCCTAGTACACCTATTGTTCCCACCACTTCAACTTCTTTCATTCTCCGGTGAGCCCGCCTTTAGAACGTTTGCTTTTTACGGAAATTTGGACCATTTCTGGCCAACCTGGGAAGACATGGTGGAGCATGTTGTCGGCTCGCATCTCCCGCACTACCACGAATACATGCAGCGAACTGTCTGGGAAAATCCTTATGATCATTTGAAGAGTAATTCTTGTAATGTTTTTGAGTAGGCTAATGTTCTTGAGTAGGCTACTTCCGGTAATGATTTGGAGAGTAAACATTGCAATGTTCTTGAGTGCTGAGGAAAGGGGTACGGATAGGAGGTAAGATGATGTTCCAACATTAAGAAGCCTGTCCATCGATCTATTCGTCCATCTAAGATAAGTTTGCTTATCTATCGATCTATTCGTCCATCTAAGATAAGTTTGCTTATCTATCGATCTATTCGTCCATCTAAGATAAGTTTGCTTATCTATCGATCTATTCGTCCATCTAAGATAAGCTTGCTTATCCATCTTCGATCTATTCGTCCATCTAAGATAAGTTTGCTTATCCACCGATCTACTCGTCCATCTAAGATAAGTTTTCTTATCCACCTTCGATCTATTCGTCCATCTAAGATAAGTTTGCTTATCCACCGATCTACTCGTCCATCTAAGATAAGTTTGCTGTCCATCTATAAGATAAGTTTGCTTATCCATCGATCTATTCGTCCATCTAAGATAAGTTTGCTGTCCATCTAAGATTGATAAGTTTGCTTATCCATCGATCTATTCGGTGATCTCTAAAGTTCTCTCCGAAAAGGCAGATGGTTTGTCGAGAAGAAAGTGCCAGTGTCGAACCATCCTCCAGTCTCTTGGACGCATAGGGCTTTGCTTACTGCGGAAACCAGCCCCATCGAGATCAGGGTCAATGTCATGTGCAGAGAGGTAGCTTTTCATTTTTTGAGACTACAGTGGAAGTAAAGTAAAACGAATTCGATCTTCTTCTTTCTCTAATGCAATTTGTAAGGAGATTAAGAACTCCCCCCTACGCCGGTAGCTACGCGGGAAATATGTAGGCAGGTTCTTCACGAAACTCGCTCGCGATACACTGAGGCCGGCAGAGAGATCAGCGATACAACAACAGAGCAGCAGAAAAAGTGAGCGAGTCAATCATCTCGGTTCCAACATAAAGGAAAACGAGTTCGATCTTCTTCTTTCTCTAATGCAATTTGTATGATCCACGTTGTTGTAGTAACGAGGACCTCTCAATACAGGTACAGGCTGTCCACATGGCACATAAGTACATTGATTCGAATTTGTATCTAAAGAAGTAGCACTACACCGACTTCACTTCTCATGATTCACTCACTACAGCCCACAGCACGTTAGAATTCATTTCGTTCGTGTTGACGCCGTAACTTCTTCAATGTCCCAATCTACATCACGACCCTGACGTACTAAACCTAGAAAACCTGCTGAAACATCAGATCCTCGGTTTCTGGATTTCCATAGAAGGCAACGAATTTGACAACTGTGTGCATAAAAAGGGTGATTTCAACGTCGTGAATCCCGAAATTTGGACCGTGCTTGCGAGAAATTGGGGAGGATTTGATAAGAATCCCAGAAATTATGCTACACTCATTTCTTTCTCTTTGATGGTTGTACCAAGAATTATATTACTGGAAGAATCTGCTTCTGCACAAGTTGTGTACCAGAACGATCTTCAACGCCGTCCAAACTACTACAAGAAGTCCATTATACTTTCACTTCCAGTACAAGAACTTCTTCCATAGTACAACGAACCGTCCAAACTACTACTTTGCTCTAATCTTCACAGTTCGAGAAGCTATTTGAAGACGTGGCTAACCTCTACATGGAGGTACATCCAGTGGAACTGGGGAATATTCCTATGATGCGATTCGATTTCTTTGCCCATCCACAAGACGAAAAAGGGCTGTGGCATACGTACAATGATTATGAACGGCGGATATTATTTTTAGTAGAGAAGGACTGAGGTTGGATATATATTCGAAAACTCAAAATAAGCGAGCTACTGACTGAAATAAGAGAGTCTTGACTACGTTCCTCTTCTTTCAGTATCTCCCTTATTTTCAAAAATAGTTACTCGGTTATTTTATTTCAGTTTTTCGAATATATCAATATTAATTACGAATACGACCTAGTTATGTACTCTCAATAATTTAGATTATGTGCAAGACTGTGACCGCCCTAAACGGCGTCGAAGCGTATGTCTCTAATCCCAAGGAATCTATGGTATAGCTGCGCATCTTCTTCGACCGTACGAAAGTCGGGTCCAGGCATGGATGGATGAAAAGAATGGCCACAATCGCGGAACGTTATTGGTATTAAAAAGATGACGTCTTTGTTTGGTAGTCATAGTCTATACTAAACCCAAGTGAAAAAGGAAAGAGAAAGTCCATTAAGTACAACTCGTAGTCGGAGGTGAAGATAATGATGGTTCTCGTCATGATCTTCATTTGCTTTGGATGTCACAACTACATGTCAAAATAACCTCGTTGATTCAGGGACAGAAGCGACCGCAGGCGGAAGGGCAAAGCGCCCAAGGCAAAAATGCGGAAGCGGTGGCTGACACCGAGCGGCTGACATCATTTATGACCTCCAAGTATGGTTTACCGATTGAGCACGACCGCTAGTACTATCTGTTCGCCTTAGTAAGCACTTGTGATGCTTGGAAACTAAAACTATCCGCAACAAGTTTATTTTTGTTTCGTGTTATTTTTCTCTCAAATTTTCCGGCCTAGAGCAAGCACCTGAAGTGCCTTGCAGACCGGCCACCTAGTATTCTCTGCTAAGTCTCATTCGCCTTAGTAAGCACTTGATGCTTGGAAACTATCCGCAACAAGTTGCGTAATCATTTTTCCCCTAGGGGCCCCCTAGGCTGTCTTTCCTCTCTAACTCCTTTCCCCTGAAGCACTTCGGGAACAAACTGGATGTCTCGCCTCTTGAGTGGCAACAGGCTCAGAAGGAAGCAGAGACCGCAAAAAATCGCGAAGTGGTGCTCGATGAGGAAGCAAGGGTGTCCTATATCGATTTATGGACATTATTGATAAGGATACAGTGAGTCACTCCTCACCATGGGGACAGTCCTCAAGGTGGGTCATTTTCCTCACCAGTTGTAAGAAACTACTCGACTCGCTTACCAGTTGTAAGAAACTACTCAACTCGCTTACCAATTGTAAGAAACTACGTACTCAACTCAACATTTGTCTCAAGAATGCTGTGAGGCATTGTAATACATACATGATATTAGATGTACTACATCTTCATCTATGATGGCATTACTTTCTGCGAACCTCGATTCAGATGTACACCTTCATCTAGTAAATCGCATTGCTTTCTCCCTCTCCGAACCTTATTCTAAGTACTTCTATTATCTATTTCCTTATTCTAAGTACTTCTATTATCTATTTTCTAAGATTCGATTTCGCTTCCGCTGAGGAGATGGCAGCCATGAGGGGTGTAGCGATGCCGCAGTTGGATCCTGGAAGGAGCGGAAAGAAAACAGGCAAAGTAGCGGAGATCGATTTTGACGCGCATCCTCTTCTAAGACAGGTCGAACTACGAAAGCACGCCTTGATAGGACTCGACAATCATATGCCAGGTCCTCTAATGCTTTCTTTCATCTCTTTCATCTTGTAGCTTTTTGAAGTGGATTGATGTAGGCCTCGACAAAAATCAAATATGCCAAATTTAGCGCTAGACTTTTGTAGCTTGAACTGGAAGTGGTAAAAATTAAAAGTGCTGGATTGATGCTTTCCTGGATGACACTCACACTCACTCCTTCAGTAGATTGACCGTTACACCTAGTAACGGATACACTCCTTCCAAGAAGTTGCATGCTAAATAGAACGTTACACCTAGTAACGGATACACTCCTTCCAAGAAGTTGCAAATTCAAAATTTGAAATATTGTCCACCAGGCACGACTCGCGTCAGAAGATATGGTCCTGGCGATGGTCATCCTGTGCACACGGATTGGTGGGATAGCTTCGTAAATCCTGCTCGACCTTCAAACCTGATCGCAACCTTGCATCTGTTCATGATTATGATGAGCGGTTGCTGAGCGTTGGTTCTTTGACATCATTTGTTGCGAAGTTCCCGAAATTTATTTGTGAGTTACTAGCTGTAGTTACTTTGCACGACAAATGTGGGGCATCTAGAAGTACATGTTGTAAGCTAAATCGTGTATTTGTAGTTTATCTGTAGTCCTCGACCGAACTACAGATTAAGACTTCTGATTTCTCCTCTTCTAACCTGAGCGACGTAGCGGTTGGCGGTGGAACGGACTTCCCTCATATCCAGTTATGACACGTGACAACTGGTCTTGTTCTTAGACAGCGTTCTTGTGGCTGATTTTCGTTTCCATTTCGCAGTTGTTCGTAGGCGTTTACTTTACTGTGACCACCATATAATTATAATTACTAAAGAACTTGGTTACCAGTAGTACCAGACTCACATCAGAGGACTTGAATGCTTCCATCTCTTCTAACGGCTCGAGAGGTTTCCCCCAAAGCAGGAAGGCTCGCCATATGGTGGTCTTGTGACCGAGATGGGCAGATTCTGCAGAGGAGTGAACATGAGGGCAAGCCAGTCGTTGAGGGCATCAAGTGGACCTCCACCACATTCATCTACAACTACATGGACCGTTGTATTCCTTATGATGGAACCATGTACTATTCCCTAGTATGCACAGTCACACAATTGTTAAGTAGAACTCGTCCCTTTCACCCCTGGAATGGGTACATTCATTCATTCATTCGTCTAATCCGGAGAGGTCGACCAAAACGATGCTGTTGTGGCTATTCCGCCAAAATCCAACGTGGGCAAGGAACTAAGAAACAAATTGCAGAACAAAGTAGAAGGACCCAAGGCGCGCAGCGAAGATGCCGATGCGGTAGTTCTAAAGACTGCAGCGGACGCGAAGGCTGCTCCTGCAGCAAATACAAATGCCTCTGAGGAGGTAGAACAAGAGGCTGAGCAGGCTGGTCCGGGTGACGAGGCTCTGGATGCAAGGGGTGCAGAGACTGGGAATGAGCAGGATGAAGATGAACTCTAGTAGAGCACTCTATTTGTACTTTTTTTTCTCATCTATCTAACTATCATTTTTATCCGGTATAGAGTAGCTGCTGTAGCAGCAGCTCCTAAAACATCATAATCATAACACTATCTTCGCCTCTACTCGTTTTTGATAGACACCATCCTGATTCTCATCGATAAGAAAGAAAACACTACTGATGTAGGAGATAGAGATTCCTGTTGAAAGGACCCCTTCGAAGAAGTGAATGCAAAAAGAAGAAGAATTCTCATCCTCCTCACTCTACCACGAAGATAAGAATATGCCCAGACCAGATTTGAAGATTGCAACGTTTTTGAAGTACACAAAAGAAATGGTTTTGGAAAATAGTTTTGCACATCATTTTGACTATTTAGTGATCGTGACGACGGGGAGTTTTTATTTCCTCGTGCGGGAGCTGCTATCGCAGTAACTGGTTTCTGGTTTGGAAAAAAGAGAGAAAAGGCTGCTAGCGCAGTAACTGGTTTCTGGTTTGGAAAAAAGAGAGAAAAGCCAACGCGGACAAAGGGACACCTTCAAAAACAAAGTGGCTCCTTCCTTGCACTTTAGAAACTGTTAAACGAGGACATGGAAGAAGGAAAATTACAAATCTGCTGAAGATAAATTGTTGACTTTCAAGCATTACGAAGAACAATGACCTGACCGTAGAGCAGGGCGACCGGGTTCGTGGCATTAAACACTACGCCATGGCCTCCATGCCAGCACACGCCGTTGCCCTGGAAGACGGGGCCATTGTCAAGGAGTACTAGATACTTACGTGCTTCTTGTTGGATACACACATGGATGAACACGATGGAGACGAAACTATGGTTATGAGGACATTGATTTTGAAGATCTTGTTGATTTTGTTTTGTTCATGCGTCTCTAGTCATGCCAGCTTGTAAACGGTCCTACCCGTTTACAGACCTCGACACTTTTCCGACTCGCTTCACCTCTACAGGTATGAAGCACTCTGTGCTGCCGAAGGGGAGAAACCTGTGGTCGCGGTCACTAACTCGCTGCAGACATGCTGTGCCGAGAAAGAAAAGCAGAATTATGACTTGAACTTGTTATTCACCCAGTAACTTACTCTTGCTGGTTGTATTTTGTATTTGAAGTATAATTAGATTGATGTTTGTAGCTTCTTGAGCTTGAAAGTTGAGTATGTTCGTGTGTAAAAATGCTCATAATCATGATCATCTTCTATGTATAAGTAGTGCGACTGAAACATCTTCTTCATCTTGGCTTTGCCGATATAGTAGGTGTGAAAGTTCCCATTCTGAACTCTCTCTCTCTCCTTTCCATAGCTAGAAGGAGGGATCTTTTTTTATGTGGAAGTTCTCTAAGCTACAATATGGATAGAGGCGCGTGGAAGTGCAGCAGAGGCGTTCACGAACCGGATGAAGGATAGCCATGTTGCAGTGCTCACCAAACTGCTCCAGCCAAGTGTCCAATTCTTGACCAGACTCGATTTGTCGTACTTAGAGGACTCGATTTGTCGCACTTAGACTTTTATACTTTACAACTAGCATCTCTTGATGTGTTTCCTTGGGAGGTTGGAAATCTCTAATCTGTGGCGTTATACTTTGTGTCCAAAGCTGTAACTATGTCGCTCCACATCTTCTGCAAGTGCTTCTGCTCGTATCTAATAATGAAGGCACAGCGTATACTTTGCAGATTGATAGCATTATAACGCGCATTTTTAGTTGGAAACACCTACGTCCTTATAAATTAAGTAGACACTTATACATAGCTAGTACACAAGAGGTGCCATGACATGACGTCAACAACAACTACGTCCTCCCGTCAGGTATAATAACATCACCGACGCCGGATGCTCAACACTGGCAACCGGCGTAATCAAGGACTCAACTATTATGGCGAAGTGATTTTCGTTGGTACCCGCCAGAGAGAAGCAATTGTGGTCCTGAAAAGGGTGAGCACTCCTGTGGTCCTGCTTACAACTCAACACTATCATTCACAGTTGCTCACCATTTTCAGGTTTCTAGCAGTTGTACACTATAGTGGTACCACTCACTGTCAAATGTGCCAGTTATTGGGCGGAAGTTGTAGAGAAGATTACAGTATACAATGTATACTTTAGACCAGGATTTTTCTCGTTGCACAACCTTGCTACGAAGTCCACAGGTTGCCATCCCAGACGAGGGGCCCCGGCTCAGCGGGTCCACTGCTAGGCTAGCGGAGTGGCGACGTCGGTCCATAGAGAATTGGGCCTCCTTAAGCTAGCCAAAAACGAAAAAAAAACAAGGTCGTGCAACGAGGAAAATCCTGGTCTAAATACTGTAATCTTCTCTACAACTTCCGCCCAATAACTCAAAAGGCGATTGTTCTAACACTCGCTTAAAAACTTTGGCCCTTCGAGGGAACGAAATATCATCGGCAGGAGTGGAGTCAATGCTATTGAATGTGGCCCCAGCATGTCTCACGCGACTATTATGGTGGCAGGCTTCCCATTCATTTTGATGGCGCGTCGGGCCTATATGCTTACCTTGTCGCAGGTGAGCCAACTCCTATCCTATCCTTTCGCACTGGTCGCGTCTTGTAGATTGTGAGTTGAGGGGAACAAAGTAAGGTGTGTTTTTGCAAGTAAAGAACAAGGAAAGGGTTTTTATCAAGTAGGAGGTGAAGGGCACCACGGTTCAACTTCGGTTGGTATGGAAAAACAGCTTTTGCACTTCAATAGAGACCTTTTAAGGTGGGTGCTCTCTTCTCAAGTAAAGAGAGAAAAATATCCAAGGCCTTGAAGGTCATGATGGTCTGCCTCCGAGAAGGTGGCCATAACGGTTCAAGACACGACCACAGGTTTTTTTCACCCAAGTAGAAGTATTTTACTTCTAAGCCCAGACGTTTCCGAGAACCCACTAGGCAAATTGGGTGGCCTGGCATTGGCAGCTTTTCTGCAGAGGAACAACACGCTATTGGAGCTTTTTGCTGCCGACACGGAGCTCGACATTGATGCCTTGATAGCGATCAGTGCGGTATTTTATTCTTTTCTTATTCCGCTTTGTGAAGATGATTGCGGTATTTGAAGACTCAATGAAGTTGTGATTGTTGCTGTTGAGAAGATGTTGAGGCACTTATTGTAGAGCAGAAGATCTTCTTGAACTTGAGGTTAAGTAGCTTTTTTAGAAACTTGGACGTCACAGACATAGGAGAAGCAGGATTGGTAGCAGCTTTGGAAACTTGGACGTCAACATAGGACCATTAGATGAAGTTGTCATGGCTCATCTGGCTCAAATAGAAGATGCTTGGAAACAGAGGAGGTACAGAAGGTGTAGAACATGCTGTGACCTCTACAGGTGCATCACCATCTTTATACTTTCCATCTAAACATCAAGAGTAACAACATGAATTATCATTATGCTCTAGCAACACTTCCATCTTCTCCATCTGAACAATATGAGTACCCCTCTAACTACGCTAGTTCCAGGTTCTAGTGGTGCCCTAACGAAAAGAATTCAGGGAAGCGGAAGTCGTAGGTTTAATCAGAATCGACAACTAACGTCTTCAATTATACCCTAACGAACCCTTCCGGGTGGTTCTCCTTCTGAACAATAATATCCTGGTAACATCATCAACCCTTCCACCATGTTCTCCATGTGAACAATAGTTATCTTCTAACGATGAACCCTTTCAGGTGGTTCTCCTTCTGAACAATAATATGGATATTGATATTCTGGTAACACTTTCAGGTTCTCCATGTGAACAACGACACGCTTCGAGTACTCGATGTGCAGAACCCTAGGATTTTTTCGCTGGAAGCTGACCATTGTACTCACTTCGGAAAGATGCTTGCGGTCAGCCCGTCACTGGCGGAAGTCTACTTATGATGAGTTTGAGTCTTGTCCATCATTAGCGGAAGTCTACTTATGATGAGTCTTTTTACTTTTTACTTCAACAATTTGTTGTGCATCTGCATTCCGGGCGCAACTTGATCTTCATTGTGATTTGGGGATCAACTACGCCTCCAATATCACATTTTACTATCTCAGAAGACAGAAGATCTGCTTGCGGTCTGAAGGCTTCTTGTTAGCGGAAGTTTACTGATAGAGAAGTTGAAGGGTTTTTTAGCGATAATGATGCACCAAGATTTCGAACCGGTTAGCATCATCATCATCATCATGATCAATGTCATCAGGTACAGGTGTTGATGAAGAAAGGAAACTTTATGAAAGCTGTATTTAAATAGTTGTAACAACAAGTCAACTAAGTTGTCAACCTATGCAGATGAAAAGCTACGCCTACCAGTTGACAGTTGTATCCATCGAGATAGCCTCTCGCAATGTCAAGTATTTATAACGTCTAGGTTCTGGTTCTCAGTCTCTAATGCCCTTCGGCAAATTTCGGCTGCGAGATAGCGGGTTGGAGCTGTTTCTGGACGATGTGCAGGTGGATCATCAGAGACTCCAAGTCCTGGACCTCCGATGTAACGAGATTGGAGCGCGTGGCGCAGAATGTGTCGCGGAATTGGTAAAAAAAAATAGGTATTCATCTGAGTAGCGTAGAAGAGGAGATTTGGTATGATAAATAAGTTTGTTCGTGTGAGTTGTAGAAGTTCTTCAACAGGAGATATTACTACCTAGTGAATGTAAAGTACAATACAGGTGGAGGTTGGCACTACAGTCTGATATTGCAGAGTCAGAAGAGCTCCGGATTCTCGGAATGAAACAGCGTACCTCTTCCATGATCAGGTGAAGGTATGGCAAGGCTATAATTTAAACAGACGATCTTGTTAATGAGGATGATCTTATATATTAATTCTTGATGTGTTGGTCAATGGTCATTACTGGCTCAAGATCCAATGCATGAACCTGATTTCAATGCCAAACGACTGCTCTCACTCGTCACCATGATCGTGATCAATACCGTTCCTTGTCTTGAACTCATGTTAGTTCCTCGTATGGTCATCATATGAACTCAATGAAGTCCAACACGAATTAGCAGCAAGATCTCCTAGATCTTTAACTGCACTATGACCCTTCATGATATCCCAATGACATTGAACCCATTTTGATACCATTCCAGGGCCTTAAGCAGTCAGTGATCATTCGGCGCGTCCGTTCTGATCGTCTTCCTGTTACATTGCAACGATAATCATTCCATTTACTCTCAAGAGCCTCATATTGCGCTTGGACGTGTTCGGGTGTTCCAACACTGTTTCAAGCCCTTGAGCCTTACCTTATTAAAAGAGATCGCTAGTCAATTCATTGTAGAAGTAGTGAAAACAAAGTCGCATCATTTGCGCCACAAAATGCCCGATGTGAGTCTCGGAGAGATTTCACCCAAACTGGGGCAGAAATCTGATTGGCGTGACTGGCTTCGAGCGGTAACGCAAGAAGCAGACCGCCTGGACCTAGTCCAATACCTCAACAATGTGCTGAACGGCAATGCGGCAGGGGTTCCGAATCAACCCAACAACAACGACCGCAAGCTCCAGCAGAATTGGCGAGATTTGAAGAGCGTGATCATCAAGTCACTCAAAGGTGCAGCCGAAGCACATATGAAGGATCAGGATACCACTGTAATGAACGCTGGCGAAGTGGTAACAAACCTCCGTGACGCTGGTTTCAGTCAAAATGACCGCACAGAGCAACGAATCTCTGCTAAAGCGCTGGAAGGGATGCACTTCACGAACCGTGATTCTCCTCCAGACGTTCCAACATTCCTGGCGAAGGTTAGAGATGTCACGAATCAATCTCCGACCGCATACCCGCCGGAAGTTGGTGTGGCTGTTGCTGATCAACAAAACGGAGCAATCCTCGACATTCTGCCAAAAATGTTTTCCAAAGCATTTCGACAGACAATCGAGAGGATGCAAGAAGAAGAACATCTAACGTTCGTCCAAATCGGTGACAGACTCACGAAACGGCTTCAAAGTTTGATTGACTCTGGTGAGTACAAGATCGAGAATCCATCTTTCGGCAAAGCTTTTCCAGCTGTCGAAGATTCCGATGATGAAAACCAGAACAATAACAAAACCAAGAAGCGTAAACGTCAAGATGAGAGTGATGACGATGGTGACGCGTTTGCCGCACTCAAGAAAACAACAATCAAACGACTTCGCAAGAAGATTCGCAAAGAAATCCAGAACGAGGTCTACGCAACAAAAGGAAGTGGAAAGAGTAGTAGTAGTAGTTCTAGTAGTAAGAAGAACAAAGGAAATGGCAAAGGTAAAGGTGCTAAGAACTCAAATCCTAATGAGGGTATCCAGTGCAACTATTGCCACAAGTATGGACATAAGGCGCGCAAATGCTGGCTAAACCCGATGAGTCAAAGCTACCAACCTAACAAAGCCATGGGCAGCAACTTCTTCAACAATTCCTACAACTGTTGGCCGCAAGGTAACACTATCCCTCCGTGGCACCAGAACAGCTATCCACCGCAACAAAGTGGAGGAAAAGGATTCGACAACAGTAATCCACAGCAGCAATGGGGTGGACAACAACCACAACGCTGAGTCGAAACCAATCCGGAATGGAATGGATATGGGAGACGAGATGGACAATCCCAAGATGAAGAAGAATTTGAAGAAGATTTCGAAAATGAGGATGGAAGATGTTCGCTGAACTTTGAAGAAAACTTTGAGAATAAAGAGTATAGAAGTGAACTGTTTAGAGGTGAAAGCTACATGATTGATAGTCGCTCAGATTGCTATCTTAGTGCAAACCAAAGCAAAACGGTTTCACTCGTTGACAGTTGTGCAAATAAGTATTTGTCTAGCCATCGTTCCGATTTCAAGAAAATTAGCTACCGGCTTTGTCACATTAGTGGCACCGCTGGAAAGCGAAGTGGGAACTTAGGTAGACTAAAAGAAAACAAATTAGGATTAAAATATGGCGTACACTTTGAACACTTACCAAAAGCCATAGATCGCATTATACCGTGGCTAGGTGAAGGAAACTGTCATGAGAAGGGTTGGCAAATGACTTTCACAGAAAGTGGCGGAACGTTGTATAATACCCGCTCCGGCCGCTCTCTACCCATTACAAATTAATTGCCCCCAGATGCAGCTACCTACTCTAGGTTGTGACATGTTTAGCAAAGAAGAAAACGAAGCTGAGGAGGATATAGCATGCACTAGTATAGAAGAAGCTAGACTTCATTCACAAGCATCAAGATTAGACATACATCGTAGACTTGGTCACTTTCACGTTGATGGCCTTAGTGTATCTAGTCCAGAATGTGATCGAACCAAAGGTCAAAGACGCTCTCATGCAAAAGTGGGACCCCCTGGGCATATACCTTCTCCATTGAAAACACTTGCAATTGATTTCGCAGTTGGTATTAGACCAGTGTCTATAAGAAGCAAAAGATGTGCTTTCATCATTATCTGTGATTCGATTAAGATGTTTTTCGTTCGTCCTCTTTGCCTTGAGTCGGACTGCGTAGAGGTGACTGAAGAAGTAATAGGAGGCATTCGCCAGGACTACTCATTGTCACTCGACGACAAGGCGGCATGGTTCATCCGTAGAGATAGCGAACCCGTCCTAAGTAGTGACCATATGACCAAAGTCATGCAGTCGCTACTGGTTTCGGAAATTCCTGGAGTTCCTTACAGCCCAGAAATGAACGGAACTTGCGAACGTTTCACGCGGACCATTTTCGGTGCTGTGCGTACCATGTTGGTCAAAGTCGACCGACGTCTTTGGTGTTACTGCCTACAGTATGCCGGAGATTGTTGGAATCGCTTACCGCATCGTTATGCAAAAATGCCAGAACGTGACGGAATGAGTCCTGTCGAGATACTAGAAAAGAGGATAGGCAAGAAGTCCTCGAAAAGTGGTCTAGGTATGTTAAGAGTTTGGCTGTTTGGTGTACTTTCGTGGACAGGTCGTAGACACCACCAACAAGAAAGAAGCAGAGCTTGCGTCTCCTTATCGGCGTGGTGTGTTTCTCGGTCTGTGTCCAGTTTCGTCTGGTTGGCTAGTAGGTACATATCACAACGATGGGAGAACGAAAGCTGGCTTCAAGTGGAGTGAGTATTCCACACTAGATGTAAAATTTCGAGAGTCGATATTAGTCAAGAACATTGATTGGCTATTACCTACGTCGAAGGGTATTTATGTTGATTATGACCCGCTGGAAAACCTGCAGTCTGGCACGCCGTCGCTGGGTCCCGTCCTGCACAGACATGCGCTGCAACGTATGGCCTGTCAGCCGCGCTTCTCTGGCACGGAGTACAGCTCAGGCGATCCAACCGGCATGGAAATGATATTAGATAACAATGAAGTCGATGAGTTTTTCTGTGAATCTTTGGACAAAGAAGAAGATCCAAAGACCGGTGATGATTCCAACTCTGACGCGCAACGCGTTGAGGAGGGGAATAGCTCATCGGAGCGTGTGTCACCTGACTCTAATCCTGAAGCAAGGGATCCAAGGACCTTACCAATTCCACCATCTCAGCCAGGCAAAGTTGAGGAGGGGAAGAAAGGCCGAGGAAGACCTAAAGGGAGCAAGAATAAGAATCCAGGACAACGCAAAAGAAGAACAAAAGCCGAGCTAGAAGCATTAAGAAAAGATATGCATAAATTTGCCATGCTAACAGGCGGGCATGAGCTGGAAGAAGGGGAGACTTTTCTCGAAGCACGTGTCACGCTGTCAGTTTCCCAAGCCTTGAAAAGCCCTGACGCCGAGAAATGGCGTGCAGCTATCACCAAGGAGGAAGCTAGATTACTTGCCTTTGAGACTTGGGCGCCAGCTACTGACGAGGAGCTGCGAACCTCTTCTCAGGTAATGCCTATAGCAATCGTTCTCACGGTAAAACGTGATGGAACATTCAAAGCTCGTGCTTGTGTGCTCGGGAATCTTGATCGTTCGGGGAATATCGACACCTACGCCCCTGTAGTGTCACACGCTGCGAATAGACTTTTACTCGTTTCAGCAGCGACGGACTCTGACTTCGTCATCCCCTTCGACCTTGATTCTGCGTTCCTTAATGCTGAACTCGATCGCGACGTCTTCTGCCGTCTTCCACCAGTGTGGGCGGAGAAGCATGGAGCGGATATCGTCAAGCTTAAGAAAGCTCTATATGGGCTCAAGGACGCTCCACGAGCCTGGTTCAAGAAGTATTGCGTGCTATTGTCCGAACTCGGATGGGAGCCGTGTCCTTCTGCTCCAGGATTGTGGCGGAAAAAGAGCAAAACGCACCCAGGAAAGTATATGAAGATGTCAGTCTATGTTGATGATAACTTAGCTACTGGACCTGACTATCACGAGTTACGGCCTGAAGTCGACCGGATCTTTAGTCGCGCCCCCGGCCGACCTATTGAGATGGCAAAGCGAGTCGATTCCCACACGGGTTTCGAATGGCTAGAGTTCGACTTTCTTGGTGCGATTGTGCACTATTGTCGGGAAGCACGTTCAGTGAAAATCCTGATGAGTGTGTACATAGCGAAGACCTTACAGAAGTATAAAATAACATTAGGTAAGCCGGTGTGGTCTCCAAATTTCGACGAGTCTGCGTTGCTTGAGGAGGGGCTTAAGCTAGCAGCCGGGTTTCCATTGCGTGAGATTGTTGGCGCACTGCTTTGGATATCGACAACCGCAAGGCCAGATATTTGCGTCCCTGTGGCGACATTGGCCCGGTATGTCAGTAAGCCCGTTACTGAAAGAATTGCAAAAGCCTGTAGAAAAGTATTAAAGTATCTAGCTACGACAAAAGACCAAGGACTCTATTATTCTCCAGAAAGTGAGGAGGAATTCGACGAAATTTATAGGAAGCTCCTACCAGAAGGAAGAGAGCTACCGTATACCAACTGGTTCTCAGATGCAGGATTCGCGAACTGCATAAAGCGCATGCGCTCGACCAGTGGTTCGATTATGTACTATCGGGGTTTTCCAATCTGTTGGAAACGCAATACACAAACCGCGCGTGCATATTCAACTGCAGAGTCAGAGTATATAGCCGCGTCGGACACTATTGTCATGAGCGAGCTGCATGATTTTACAGATTTCTTCAATCCCTTACCCACTCAACTAGTGGAAACGCGGTTTGGTATATCGCCATCCCTCGATGATGCCATATTGTGGATAGACAACCAGTCTGCAATCTCGACAGCAAAGAGTGAGGATACGAAGCCTAAAAGTAGACACTATGCACTACGTTATTTAAGAGTTAGAGACGCAGCTGAGAAAGTCGTTTTCTGTCCTACTCATCTAGTGAAAGCTGATGGACTAACGAAACTGTCATGCTCATCCACTCAACGCAGATTATTACTACATCACATAGAGAACCCAGTAATTAACCGTAACCATGTTGAAGATGATAGTGACTCGGCAGAAGGTGATGAGTCTGGTTCAAGTTCTGCTTCTCTGGCAGCGCTTACCTATTCTATCTTCTTAGGGTGTTAGATGAGATCGTTGGTCAAAGGTAACGTCAGTGGCTATACAGTAAATAGTGATGGTTCTGGGTCAGAGCAGGTAACGCCAGACCGTTCGTGACTCCCGTCATTTCCTCACCTAGCGACTGAGGAGAGGCGTTGGTCAATGGTCATTACTGGCTCAAGATCCAATGAATGAACCTGATTTCAATGCCAAATGACTGCTCTCACTCGTCACCATGATCATGATCAATGCCGTTCCTTGTCTTGGACTCATGTTAGTTCCTCGTATGATCATCATACGAACGCAATGAAGTCCAACATGAATTAGCAGCAAGATCTCCTAGATCTTTAACTGCACTATGACCCTTCATGATATCCCAATGACATTGAACCCATTTTGATACCATTTCAGGGCCTTAAACAGTCAGTGATCATTCGGCGCGTCCGTTCTGATCGTCTTTCTGTTACATTGCAACGATAGTCATTCCATTTACTCTCAAGAGCCTCGTATTGCGCTTGGACGTGTTCGGGTGTTCCAACGTGATGTAGTATAGGATTCTTCACCAGGATATATAATTCTTGGTAACAGCTGATCTTGTTGATGAGGATGCACACATTTCTCGTGATCTTCGCGTGGATTTATATTCAGGTGATAGTGTTACAACGGTTAATTCTTTGAATACAAACTGCAACAGGTGACGTAAGGCTGATAATTGAGTATTTATGTTGTGGAACTATTTTTTAGATAACCTATCATTCACAAATGAAGCACAATTACTTCCAGCAAAACAAGCTACTTCCCACTTCTCCACAACTCACGCCTCCTCTAATAGCATGGGGAAAGTTGCAAAAATTGAATCTGGACGCGAACCGGATAGGTGAGCGCGACAATGTAACAGGCGCGCAAGCCCTGGGCGACGCCTTAGTGGAAACGCGGAGTCTACGACATTTGAGCATAATTATGATGAACACGACACTCACACTCCCTGAGAAGTTGCTCATACTTCATTCTTTTACTTAGAAGTAATAACAAAAGGAGTTACTCATATTTCTTGGCAGCATTCGAGTTAAGGAGTCACTTATCACAGTCATACTAGATATGACATGACTCCACCTGGAGGACGTAAATAAAGATAGTAGATTCAGATTGATACCACCTTGATCATGTTCCACGACCTCTTCTACCTCCATCCGAGATAGATCGAACTACGTATACACGCCAGAAACAAACATTTTTACTCCCTCTCCCTGGCTAATACCTCTCAGGCTAAGATAGCATGCATCATAAAACCTCCGCAAGAAGAATCTATACCATCATAGTGCTTACAGGCCACAGACAGCCACTACTCCTACGTTAAGACCTTTCATGGTACTAATCACGAACATAAAACCTCTACTCTGAGACTCAGGCTAATCACCACTATAAGAAAGACTTCCCGTTCCACCGCATACCATTGCCGCAGCACACCATTCTTCTAACCTGCATTCGAATTCGCTGTGTGATGCGGCACTGTGCGTGCTTTTGAAACCTGTGGCCGAAGAGGCCATAGTTAAGGCTTACAACTACAATTCGTCTTCGGAAGCTTCTTTGGCGCCCCTTAGAGAGAGGAGAGGAAAGAAGCACTCGGAGATGAATATATGTAAGGTCTAACGAGGAACGAGACTTCAGGTTGGAATGCTTCGAAAATCTATGGAGGAGCCCAGCAGACGAAACAGCGACAACAAGTGCAGTCAAAATCCTCCACGAAATCGGAACGAAGTTATGAGAGGAGGACTATTTTTGTCCTAAATACTACAACATTTGATACGAGGAGGGACTAGTACATGAAGAAGAAGATAATGATGCTTGTTATCCCCTGCTGGGCCCTAGGATCAAAACCATGAACATGTTGAACACGACCCAAACACTCAATTTAAAATGGAGCAGATTTTTACAACTCCTATTTTACTCTGGAAGAGAAAGTATCCACGACCACGTCTGGAGTACAGCACCCTTTTCATAGCTTGAGCGCATATACCGATTCAAGTGCGACGCCGGCAGCCAGAAGGTAGACACCAGCCTTTTCGTTTGCGCGAAGAACGTTGAGGACTGAGGAGTGGAAGAAGCAGATAGCAGTTCGAGACATGACGTTGACCATGACCTTATTTGTTGCAATTGCTCCTACAGTTACAATTTAGAGATAACGTATTTTTACTATACTCTTTCATCCTTTCGGAAACATAGTAGTCTATATTAGACCGAGTGCACTACGCACTTGCTGTTGTTTCCTACATTTTTGACGCGATGACGAGTAGTGCCTTCATGGACACGATGAGCATTACCTTAATGGAAGCGAAAAAGAAAAGGACCATGGCGCCCTGCTATAGGTTGACTGCATGTAGTTTTTGATGAAATCTATTCGGTTGTTTTGAAGAACTTCTGAATGTCCCAGTGTTGGGGGTTGCAAATACCTCAGTCTTCATAAAACTCGTAGGCTCGTGTTGCGCGATCGATCCAGTGGTGGAATCCAGAGTTGAGCAAGGCGCACTTTCGGAGGCCGTGGAGCAAAGAGTATCGGACCTATATGACTGGAAAAGACTTCATGTTTATTGGCGATGTCTAGGTCAAGACGTAGACGAAGAAAGGCAAGATCGGTTTTGAATTGTAGAAAGAGTCGGTCTCGGATGATGACATAATGAGTTCTGTCTTCCAGGGGATCGGTAGAGGAAGCAGCCTTCTACTGCAAGAGATTCAGGTAGAAACCTACTGAAAGATCGGTTATCCTCTAATGTTCTGTTTTTTTTGTCTTCTTTACACCACATTTATCTTCTTTTTGTTCCCGGAGCCTCACCCGTTCGTTTCCCCGCTTGTTTTCATTCTTTTCCTTCAGACCAACATCCAGAAAGAAATAGCCACTTGTATAGATCAGATATATTAATATGCATTTTTTCAGAAAATTTCTTACGAACATTCTTTCATAGCGCACACTCAGTGAGACCGATAGGGGATAGCGTTGGAGCAGCTTGTTAACCTTGTAGACGTCCGCGTTCTCTTTCTCTGCATGCACCCTTTTCTATGTTTGGGAAAAGAACGATGTGGAGGTGAATTGTAGGGATTCGGCGGGAGCCTGGTATCGTCCTCGCAGAGGAGGTTTTTTATGCGTAACATAACACAAAATGCGAATTACTCGGTTCTCAGAGTCATTCGAGGTATCGAGGTGAAGGAACTCCTCGAGGAATGGTCGAGCTCGCTCGTTGAACTGTGCCAGAGCTTTGCTAGTAAGGACGAAGACGAGGTGGTCACCAGGTTAACATCGTTGGAGGAGGATAGCGAGTATAGAGCTGGGAAACTTTGTGACACGACTACACAAGGCAAGATAAAGACAGCATGAAATCCCTCTGCAGACATTTTGGCAATGATGCAGTCCCCATTTGATGACGGTTTTTATGGCACCCAAGGATTTTGTGAGCCGATTTGGAAGTGCTACTGACGTCTTTTTTTCCGATGGTACTTGGCAAGTAAAGCAGCTACTATAGTTCTTGCTGGTTCCTCTCGAAGAACTCCCCATTCGATCGGATTCCGGCCTAGCAGAGGCTGGCGCTTGGTGTAAAGAGGACAGTATAATATGGTCTCACAGTGAACTGAAGTCCGGAATTATAGGCCGGAAGGTAAATTTGCGATACAACGTGGAGTAGGTATTAACTAAGGGTGTTGGAAAAGGTTGATTCTTTGACGTGGACATTTCCGAGTTGCATGGGTCCATTGTGGTTCTGCTATGTATGTTAGAGTTTTTATAACGAGGTGATACTGATATCCATCGCATGGTGAGTACGAAGTTTTTCCGTGCGGCTTTACGGTGCGAAGATAGTACTGTAGGGTCATAATTGACGCTACGCAGGCGCCGCTTGTATAAGTGCAATTGATGGAACTGGAAGAAATGTATCTTGCTTTTCAGATATGGTGAAGGCGATTGAAAAATAGGGTTCGGGAGAAGAGTATCGTTTCCAATCGCAGCGCCAGCGCGTAGGTTTACCGGGATTGGACGCGGTCGGGCGACAAAGGATCTGCAAGAGAGTGCTCGATGGGACTTCGTATCGGTTCTCTCGCTGGGATGGTATTCCGTTCGGTTCTGTGATCTTCTTCGGAGAAAGAAGCAGGCGCATTGTGACCGGGTGAGCTCCTCACCTGGATTGAAGCGGATGCGAATCTACCATTGGGAACGGTGCTTCCAGTTCCTTCTGAATTCGAAACTATCAGAGAAATTGCTATCCATTGTACATCCTCGGTGTCAACTGCGCATGCACGTTCCTGTCCGGGATAGCAAACTGGAGAAGCATGCGACGGCTGCGAAGTGCCATGGTTATGCTAGGGAGATCCGCAGACTCATCCGAAAGACCTGCGAGAAATACTGCCGTGGGCGTTGGGCTAGGGTTTAGAGTACATCTGCCAGACGGAAGCTCTTGGATGCCGCGACGGCGTAGCACGCAGTTGAGAAAGTAGACGGGCCGCGTGAACGACACTGATGCCCATTTTGCGAGAATGATTATATAGGGCTTTTTGTTAGCTTTGAAGTATTCGCTGTAAGTCGTCTGTTGCCTCCTGCCTGAAGACTGACGCTGGGCCTTCAACAGGTTAAGTTTGTAGACGAAATTGTAGAGCATGTCGTGAGTCGATCTTTAGATTTTTTAGACTTCCAGAAACCTGGGCTTTGACGTCTTTCTATTACTCTTGCTGCTCCTTAGTAGGCACGACTTTACTTACTGGAGCATTTGATGTCGCTTAACATATCTACGGTTGCAATTCAAATCTAAATTGGATTACGCAATACGAGGATCTGACGTTATATATTGCTAATGCCATTTCGATGAGAAGGTCCGTCACACCAGTTTACAAGAGAACAAGTTCGGGAGCCTAGAAGAACTCCCATGTGAAAAGGAAAGAGCCAATGAAGGCAGCTAGTCTCCTCGTAGAAATACGCGAGGTGACTCGGAGATTCAGATTCTTGAGGCATTATAGAGATATCAAGAAGAAGGAGCTAAGAGGAGACGACGTGCCGGATGAGAGATTTCACACCTCTGTTGTGGGAGAGCTGTCAGTTTCAGAGAGGCAGCTTGTTTGAGAGGAGTTGTCATCTAGATTTGTTACATGAATTCTTATATGCGGTTTTTCTCAATTCCTGCTTTTTCAAATTTCCCATGCAGTCTTTTCTCATCTTACGTTTCTTTTTTTGAATGCCTGTGCTTTCCTTTAGCGTTCACTAGGTGTATTTCTTTGAAGGTGTTGCGTTTTGTTTTGTTATTAAAAGAGGAATAATTCTCTTCTGTAGTACTACTCAAATATCACCAATACCCACAAGAACTTTTGATGGCGTGATCATGGAGGTAAGATACGATTCCCTTTGTTGAGCACATCATCTCGTCACCATCCTCATCATCATCGTCACCATCTAAAAAGAATCTGAAAATAAAAAACAAGGAGCTTTCTAAAGATCCGGAATCTATCATCATCATCTTCATTGTCGTCATCACCATCTCAAAATTCACCATTGGGGGTAGAGGGTTTCAAAAGAGAGAGGATCTCAAAAAATGAAGTGCGCGCTTCTGATTAGTGCCCTGTTGGGCGCAGCCAACGGTGAATGGACTGAGGAGTGGTCCGCTGAGCTGCGTCACTTGTCGTCAAACGACTCCAATTCTTTTACGATGAATGAAATAACTCAATGAACGAAACACTTGAATGAATGAAGCAAATACTCTTGTTACTTACAAAATCTGAAAATCAATTAGGCATTTGTACGTCAAAACCATGTGAAGGATGAAGACACTCTAGGCGTATGCTTCGAGAATTGCGATTTCACCTCTTGGAATTAATACACTCTAGGAGTATATTTTCAGCTCTAACGTTTCCAACGTCACTTTGGCGCCCGCTGAAAATGCGACAACGCTCGTGCCAACTACCTTGGCTCCAGTCGACAACACCACCTTGCCTCCAGCCACCACCTTGGTTCCGACCACCTTGGTTCCGACCACCTTGGTTCCGACCACCTTGGTTCCGACCACCTTGGTTCCGACCACCTTGGCTCCGACCACACTAGCTGCGACCACACTAGCTGCGACCACACTAGCTGCGACCACACTAGCGAGCGGCGCAACAGCGGCGCCAACCACGACAGCACCAGTCACGACTACGCCATCTCCCGTTGTCGTCAAGTCCGACCTGAAGGTCGCGTTCCCACCGGCTGCGAAGACCGCGCTCATGGCAGCTGGGAACGAGGTACTTAACAATGATCACGTTTTTTTCACAATGATGCAGGAGGTAAGCAGATGATACCATAAGAAGTTGGAAGACGCTGGGATATGGTAACAGTTGTTTGGAGCAATTTTTGATGTCCGATGTATTCGGTAATGGTACCACCTAACTCTGAGATGTAACTGACCGTAGCTTCTACATTGCCCTTTTACGACGACGTGGTCTTTGTATGTTCTTCTTCGCACTCTCCAGCAAAAACTCGCTGCAGTCACGAAGGCTGTCGGATCAGTCAACTTCAAGACGTATTGCGAGGGTTTGGTTGTAACAAGAGCTTTCGAGAGTGTGGCCGAGTGCAAGCAGGCGTTCACGACCAGCGGCAACGGCAACCCAGTGGAAGTCACCATGACGGAGCAGGTTTTCGGAGGTGATGCCGCCGCTAAGCCTCACACGGACTTGGACCTTACGGGTTTTTCGCGCCGACGTCTGGCAAGCCATAATAGTGACAAGATCGTCAACGAGTTCACGCTTACCGTCAAAGCTCCCGACGCAAAGGCTGTTGCCAGCTTCAAGGCACAAACCGAAACTCTGCAAGCCGCGCTCACGACAAAGCTTAACAACGCAACCGAGAGTATTTGACAATGTAGTCGTTGAAGTTGAGTGCAGCAGTCCCTGGATTAGAATGATATGAATTATTATGTTTCCCCCTGAACTTGTGACTCAGGGACTCGATTCGTTCTGGTTCTCGCTACACCAGCATGATCACCACTATCATTTTCTCACTTTATCAAATAAGTTGTGAATACCATTCCATATTCTCTCAAACAATTCTTCTACATTCTCTGTCAAACAGCGGCTGCGAGATTCAGCTCGATCAAGACCATCGCTGAAGCAGCTCCCGGGGGAACGGCACTCTTCTCCGCTGCCGGATTGCTAGCCAACGTCACGGTAGCGTCGCTAACGACCGAGGCTGTTTCAGCGCCTCCAACCGGTGGTGACCTTCCGCCTGCCGCGGTGTCTTCCGCTGCCACCGTAGCTATGTCCGCTGCTGCGTCTCTCATCATGGGCGCCTTGTTCTTGTTCTAAGTGACGACAGTGCTGAAACATGATAGTGCGGACTAGGATGTGAATTTGTGGATGTAGGCAAGCCGCTGAGAATCACTTCTGTTTTTGCCACGTAAAGTTTACATCGCGCTTCACACTTTTTTTAGAGCATTGTCTGGTTCTTTCAGAGTCTAGAGAGACCATGAAATTCCAAGAATATGTACTTGAGAGTTTTCCCCTTCAGTGGGTGTTTTTTCTTGTGGTTCCACATGCTGACCTGGTGAGCCTCCCAGACAGCAGCCACTACCTTGCTGCAAAGAGAGACTTTCTCCATTTTGGATGTCGGGACCTTGGGCTGTTTATATTTACATCCTTGGCAATCGTTTATGCCTCTTGTATGTGATGCGGATCTGCTTCTTCAGAGACCGACTGCTACCTCCTCTTTCAGGCAAGAACTTACGCGTTGAATCGACTCCTTTGTCGGGCCGACCTATGTGACGAGATACCAAAGGCGTGACTCGCCATAGTGTTCTACTGCTGTTGTATGTTCTTGGTAAGCTGAATTGACTCTGTCCAAAATACTGTGGAAGTCGGTTCTCGTATCTTACTGGAAAATTCACTTTGTCCGAGATACTGTGGAGGTTGTGGTCATTGGACAAGCGTAGAGGATCGTAGACACGCAATGGTCGAACCGATATGAAATCGCGTTCACTTCTTCTTCGTGTGGCTTATCGATTGCTGCCAGGCCGTATTCTCTTTCGACTTGGAGTCATTTGATCGCGTTCTGCTCTTCTATAGTGCACAAGCACGTGCCAGCAGGCGAATGCCTTGTATCCCCCTTGCACGCCTTCTTTGCAAGCGTTTCATCGCATCGCTGAGTCACGGGTGATGAGGTATCGCTGAATAACCGCTTCACGTTGCTTCACCGCGTCGCCGCTCCTCACGATGCGGCGAGGGGTCCTCCTGATGTTGCTTTTCTCTATTCGTTCATGGGTCCTCACAGTAGAAGTACTAGGATGGTCACCACGATGTCCACCGCATCGCGCCATACCGCCATGGTTACAGCGCTACAGCATTCTCCACGATCCGAGCTTATTCATGCACGCGCTTACGGCTCAGAGTTAGTGTCAGCAGCAAGGTTGATGTCGTATATAATGGGTGGACTGGTAGGGTTTATCTCTCTTTCTTCTTGCCGCTACCTATTCGCCTCTGCTATCCATTTAATTGGGGTTCTTTTTCTCCTGTGACTAACTTGAGTAGGTAGCTGACTGGGTGGTAGGTATCCTATGGTGAAGCTAGTCTGGTAGTCCGTTAGCAGTGAGTAGTAGGTGGTCGGTGGTTGCTAAGAAAGTTCTTCAGTTTTTTCTCTGGGTGGTGAGCCCTACTTACATGCTGTCTCCCTCCTCTCTGTTGATTGCGAAACGTACTGTGCCCCTTTTGGTGGCCAGGAAACTTTTTCCGAAATCTCCAAATCCAAATAGGTTTACTTGTCTTGTGTGCCGGAATGGAACATCGGACGCCACTCTTAATTCCTTCCCACATTTATCAAGGCCATTGCTTGCCATCTATGTATCTTCACATTCTGCCTTTTCCACATGCACACCCATCTTGCTGGCTCCATCACAAACTGACCAACGCATTTTCGCCATTATTGTGCTAAAGAAGCTGGTAAAAGTCAACTCGCATCCTTTCACTCTTCTAAACCACCGCAAGAGCCGAAAGAACCAGATGGAACCAGTGGCAGAAAGAGAGAATCACTGGCGTGGATGTATGGGAATAGCTTCGCGGCTGAGCAGGGCTCTTCTATGATAAACCTACTACCGCTCGCGCGTGCCAGCCACTCCATTGTCTTCTAAAATTGCTGTCCCTAAGCCCTTTTCGTCCAGGCATTACTGGCGTAAGATACAATAGAACTTGATTATTTGCGTGCTACGCACTACGTTGAGTAGATGATCTTGAGATGAGCTAGAGACTCCGTTGCATATCACATGTGCCGTTTTTCTAAAATTTTGAAAAGAAGGAATCTATTTGGCTACAAGAGTTGATCCATATCAGATCTTAGCCTTACGCACCTCGTCTAAATAGATTCGAGCGTCGCCTCTACTTCCCTCAAATCCGTCTTTTTTAACGGAGTTGAGATGCTACGAGGAGAAGAGTTGCGATACTTTTTAGAAGAATTAATTTGAGAGACGTAGAGGCGACTCAGCTCTTCCAAAGAAGTTCCCCATCATAGCACTCGCACTCTTCTAAGCGTCTTCGTCACCTCTAGTAATTAGTAGCATGCCCCTCGGCGGTACAGTAGTAGTAGTAGTAGTAGTAGTAGTAGTAGTAGTAGTAGTAGTAGTAGTAGTAGTAGCACTTCCGCTTCCCTCTAGCTCTAAAATCTACTGAGTGGTAGCACTTCCCACGCCATTCCCACTATAATCCCATAGGACCTCTTCAACCCTCCTCAACTCTTAACTCAAAGGCCTATGGGCCCTCCATGTTATAATCTTCTGAAACGACCTATAGTAGTGCCTGGTAGTACTTCCCTCTTGAAGCTCTATAATCCTATACCACCTGCTTTGAGCGACTTTCTTTTCCAAGAAGTCCTCTGGCAAGCGCCTCTCTCTTCTAAAATCCTCGACACAAAACCGCTTTCGACTCAACCGACGATGTTTGAGAAACGGGTTTTGAAAAGATATGGACTGATGCTTCCTGACATTTTCGCCATCTATCTAGCGCATGGAGGACACGATGCCCTGGAAAACGTACTGCGGGAGCGTCTGGCATCACTGGATGCGGTCATCGCGCGGCGCGAAAAGCAGGCTATTGGAGAAGAGGTTGGTACTGGACAAGAGCTTAGTATTGGACAAGATGCTAGTAGTTCAAAGTCGGAGCCAAATGTTGATGAAGAACAGGGTAGTGCGGGACATGCAGCACCTTTGAGGAGTGTGGTTAAAGAGGGCGCGGCGGGTGTTGAAGAGGATACGGCGGGACAGGATGAAGAGAAAAAAAGGACTAGTTCTTCTTTTCTATTTCTACGGCGTTTACTTTAAGGCCTGGGGGCGTACTTCTCTTTCTTTCTCTCTCTCTCTCCCTCTTCCTCGTGCATCACAGCCGTAAAGGTAGGCTCGTCAATCTTTCCCGTCAATTTTAAGAGTAGGTTTATCTTTCTTGACGTAGCTAAAGCTACGTACTTTCTTCAAGCGCGAAACAAACACTTCAAGTATGGGACTCTTAAAGATGCAATTTAGTTCCAAACGCTAACTACAACTGCAAGCCTCTAGTACTGCAGCTGCAGGCGTAGATGGAGAATCCGCAAGATCGAAACAGGGAGAAGCAGGAACCGCAGGAGAGACTGATGAAGGTAACTCTGCAGGAGCTGCTGCAGAGAGTAGAACTAGAAATGTCGCAGCGCAGGACTGGAGTTTTCTGAAAGAATACGAGCACTTGCTTGACCAGTTTATAGAAACGGAAGAAACTTCTACTCCTAGCCACACAACATCTCCAAGATCCTCTTCTTCATCTTCTCGTAGGGAAATTATAGAATACGATTTAGTTCGAGACGCGGCACGTCAAAGTCTAGTGAACGACTTTCTCTTGGGCCACTTTCTGAGATCCACAAGTGCAGCGGACAAATCTCTCTATTATGATTCCTCATTTTTGTTGTCCACCTATTCCCTTTATTTAGTATAGAATAGTTGGGAAGGTGGGCGACGCTGGGCGGCCACGCTTGGCACGGTGGGCGGACGCTTGGCACACATGGGGGGCACGGTGGGTGCGCGCTGGGCGAGTATAGCGTTGCCCCTCTGCTTCCGCCAATGTACAGGGCCGCAGTCGAGGGCGGCGCGGCGCTGCGCTCCTTTGCGGAGTGGCCACATTCTCGCTGCTTGCGGTGCTTCGCTGCTGTATGCAGTGCCGCCTGGGTGTGTATCGTGCGGCGCAGCGCTGCAGTGTGCCTCAGTGCTCTGCTGCAATTTGCGGCCAGCGCTGCTGAGGGATATGCCCAGGCGGGCCAGTAGGTGGGCGCTCCGATTCGTATGCAGCTTGCTGCGGATCCAGGACGCATGCGCGTACGCTGCCGAGCGGCCTCAGAAATGGGCGCCCGAAGGGCGCCCCGATTTTTGCTCCTGGGTCTCATGGTGGGCGCACGGTGGGCGAAATCTTTCGCAGGAGACCCACTCTGGGGCGGCCCAGGGTGCCCACCGACCCAATTCTGGCGAGGGAATGAGCTTCCTGATATATTAGTTGTACTAGAGACAGTCTACCTAGAAATAGATTGCCAGACTATTCGAGACAGGTTGCGTGACTATTCTCACGAGACGACTATAGTTTCTAACTCTACTCCACCAAAGAGGAAAGGGGGACTCGGCGTTTCGTCTTGGCAGTGTTGATCATGAGAAGCCCCCTGTTTTGATCAAGAGAAGTCGCCGGCTTTCAGTGCTAGAGTCGTAGGCTAAAAAGTGGCTAACTGTAAACTTTCCACCTCAATCCCCAAGGAATTCCCTCGGTTTTTACGGGGACAGCGACAGGCGACAGCGACGCTGACTGGCCCCCTAATCCTTACTATTATAATCACGAGACGACTTTTTTTGCTGTCTCTATAATTTCTAACTCTACTCTACCAAAGAGGAGAGGGAAAAGAACTTTGGTTGGCTTTCGCCGCGCGATTTAGGGGACCAGTTCTGGGAATGGGGCTCACTACCTAGTTCTAGGCCCCGCGACGTGCTTCGGAAGGAGCTGGGGAAGTTGCGTGCCAGGAGAATGGGAGAGCTGGAGGATGAGAAATTCATGTTACGGGTAGGATAAAGGTGGTCCTGTAACTACCGTTTCTTTTGCCTATCCTAAGGGAGACACAGACAGGTAAAACAAACTAACGGGAAGCAGAAATACCAGAATCCCACCGCTAAAACTGAAGGAGGGCAAATTGATGGAAGTGGTGGAAGGCAATGACAACGGGGACGAAGAAAAGACCGGTGAAAGAGAAAGAAGATCTGCCACAGTTAAGGATCTGAAGTTAAAGGGAAGTCCGAACATCAACATGAAGGAACAGGTTTCTGATAAGAAATCCAAAGCCACATGCGCAGATGAGGTCATTGTTCCGCAGAAGAAGAGAAGCTTTTCATCAAGGGTAAAGGGTTCCGTCAGGATGCGTTTCATCTAGGAGAGAACACTCAAGCTTTTCATGATCAGGGGTCTCACTCAAGGTCAACAAGCGTCCTCTTTTTCCCCAGGATATACTGTGTCTTGATGGATCAGCATTAGGATTATAGCCATCCGCTAAATCTGCATCCGCTACCGCCTTGAAGGAGGTTCTTCGTGCTCGTCTGCTCGATCTGCTAGCCTTTGTGGATGTGGGTCGCGCGCTCTTCGGAGGGTCCACTGCAGGACTGTCACCAGATGGCCTTGAGGCTGGCGTTCTCTCGGTTTCCTTCAAAGTGCAAACGTATCTATTGCACAATACCCAACTTCTGTTGTTAAGGCTCCAAAAAACCCGACTTCTCCACGTGAAAGTTCTTAGTTCTTAGTTCTGCGTTAAAGTTAGAAGCGCTAATCTTGTGTTTGAACCAACACGCTGCATTGGAAGCAGACCCGATGGGGATGGCACTGGAAGCAAAGCGTCTCATTGCTTCCACTGTTATGGACGAGGATATGGTTAGCTAATATAGCACCTTTGGGCGGTGGTATAGATAAAGCAACTTAGGACAGGACTCTGCTAATTACTGCGTTGTACTTATATGGTCAACTGATAACTTTATCCATCGTAATAAATATAGTAAGGGCCGTACCTTCAGAAGGACACGCATATAAGACTCTGCATGTCGCTGAATAGAAATATGTAAGGGAAGAATGTTTTGTTCCCATAAAAGAATGTTGGGGAAAAGAGCCCGAGATGAAAATGATTACAGAGTCTTCCCACTCTCGAGACAACTCACTGGCGCTAATGATATTGGAGCAGGGTCTTCCCACTCTCAAGAAGAAGGGCACGTTGCTTTTCATGGCGGAAAAGACGGAGCTTCTCAAGTAGAGGAGTTTCACAAGAACAAGCGTCAGATGAACATCATACTCGATGCGCAACTTCATCATCACCTGAGCCAATTGACAGCGGATGATATCACCCATCTTGCCGCAACGCGGAATACAAGCAGTGCCAAGACTAATGGTAAAGGTTGGAAGTTGACTAGAGGCACTAGAAGTGGTTCGCCAGGAGGTTCATTATCAGTTTATGTTTGAGGGAAGAAGAAATATGTTTGCACAAGGTGGTCTGTCGATAATTTGTCGGTATTTCTGATTCACGATGTGGTACTAGTTGGGAAATCCAAATCGTACTATGTAACAACTATGTTGTAGCATGAATCCCATTCAAGTCGTCAAACATGCCTAGTACAACTGCATCAACTTGTGGCATCCTCTAATCATTTTCGTGGATCAAGAATTACTTCTACGGTATCGCCCAAGACATGCGACAAAGCAGGGAAGCGTTGTGTCATGCAACTGCAACACTCTTTGAGGAGTTGCAAGTTATGGCATATTATGATATTCTTATGTAAGTCTTCGATGCACCTCACGTCCTCCTTGGGGCGCTCTGCTATTGCTTGTGACGTCACCACGTGTGGCAGCCAAGTGGCGGCACACTATCCTATCCTATCCTATCCTATCCTATCCTATAAGTCAAGCATTACTAGGGAAGTTGCTCCTCTGGACCCCACGTGGCAAATATAGTGGGCTAGGAAGTTCCTCTTTACTGCAGCAAGATTTTTTTAGCTTCCTTGACTATTTTGAAAACGAGAAAGAGAGAAGAAAAACTTTCAAGCAGCTTGAGAGGCTCAAAGAGTTGCAACGTCGATCGCGAACGAGAATAAGACTGAGCGCTGTTTTTTGTTGTTGTTGCTGCATTTTTTTAAGATGTGAAAGCCTTTACGCGTGTACAGTAACCCGAGGCCATACCTGGCTCAGCCCGCCAGAGTAGCAAGCCAAGCCACGAACCCGAGAGGGCTCGCCGCTGCCGTTTCCGCCGCGAGCCCGATTCGGCCCCATCTTGCATGCTTCGCACAAATCAGCCTCGCGAACCCGAGCCCGAGCCTGGTCTCGCGAGCGCGGCTCCTTGCGGGCCCGGCCCCGTGCCAGCCCAGCTCCGTGCGGGCCCGGCCTTGTGTGGGCCTGGGCCATAACGTGCCCCGCCCCGTGCGAGCCCAGCCGGCATCGCCGGCTCCGTGCGAGCCCGAGCCGGCCCCGTGTGAGCCCAGCCCCGTGCGAGCCCAGCCATGTGCGAGCCCAGCCCTGTGCCAGTTGAGGTGGGCCCCGTGCGAGCCTGTCCCCGCGCGAGCCCGGTCCCGCCGGATCGGTGCGAGCCCAGCCGGCCCCGCGTGAGCCCAGCCCCGTCCCTTCGAGCCCAGCCCCGTGCGAGCTCAGCGGGCCCCCTGCGAGCCAAGTGGGTCCCGTGCGAGCGTGGTTCCATGCGAGTCCAGCCGGCCCCGTGCGAGCCGAGCGGGCACCGCGGGAGCCAAGCGGGCTCCGTGCAAGCCCGGCCCCGTGCAAGCTCAGCCGCGTGCGAGCCTGGTCCCGTGCAAGCCCAGCCGTGTGTGAGCCCGGGCAGGCTCGTTTGAGGCCTGCCCCGTGCGAGCCCGGCCCCGTATGAGCCCGGCTCCGTGTGAGCTCGACGGGCCCCGTGCGAGTTCAGTGGCACCCGCGCGAGCCCAAGCCCAAGCTTGAACCATGCCCAGCGAGCTCGGGGCGGCCCTGGCGAGCCCAAGCCGGCCCCGGCGAGCCCAAGCCGG